GTTTATAACACTCTCAACGGATAACAGCTTCGCGGCAAAATAGGCAGGAAGCTCCGCGTGGGCAACGCCATCCCACCAATAAATTATGTCTACGTAAAACATCTCTTATAATGAAGGTACAACATTGCTCTAAATGGTCCCCAAGCTATTTGATACTACAAAGCGATAAGTGTGATTAGTAACAAAAGTGAACTCATTGGATGGGTTGAATGAATTCCACAACCAAACGTAAATAAAGTAGAATTGGCAACAACAAAACACTTAAAAAATAACAATTTGGGTGCTTTTTCCGTTTTGAAGTCTCGTGTGACCAAACTTCAATCACAATGTTTTCCTCACACGAACCTTCTTAATGTACACTTCAAGGTTTTCGTCGAGGTTCTCCATCAAGATTCACGTAGCGTGCACAATAGTTATGGTCAGCTAATGACAAATCGCGGTCCGTCTCGTCATGACATCAAGGGGAAATTCGTAAGCAGTTCGTCAATTTTTGATCCATATTAAGCGTCAGTATGGCTTTGTTTGTATTTATCAATGCCGTATTCAAGTTGGTTTTCACTAATGTTTATTTTAATAGATACGTTTTAGTGCATGCGCAAAACTGACAAAGATTTCGCTTCAAAATTTTGGAGAAACGTAGCTAAAATTATCACCGGAAGCGGTACTATGATCTCGGCCTATAGATACGAATTGATACGTGGGTAGAACGAATTATGGAGCAAATTCAAACAGTCACAATATTAATCAGGGACTCAGTGATTTGGTATTACCGAAATTAATGCCTAACTTGAGACAAAATGACGAAATTTAATTTACTGTGAATATTTATCATCTCAGAAGCAAATTGTGAAATATGTCTATTGGAACCTAGATACCGTTACTGTAATTTTAGTTTATATTAGCTAATATGAGCAGACTATCTGATTACCCACATGATTTTAAGCAATAAAGACCTTTATGTGAATAATCTGCTAGCTTGAGGCACAAACTTGATCAATCCATTGCCTTGCCTTCGAATCAGAACGCAAAATAAGGCAGCTCTTATGAATCATGTCATCTTTGTATTTACAGTCGACATTCAACTATAAACACTTGTAATTTTTGATTTAAGAGTTGAGATTGTTTTGCTAAGCCCTAAACAGAACCCACTGAGTTTCACACCGGATCTTCTTCTTCAGTGGGCTAGTGTTAGCAAATTCTCTCAGATTGAGCCCGTGAGCTCACGTAACCGTCCGCGCGTAGCTGGAAACAGCTCCTTAGGATACCAGCGAATAGGTAGGGGAAAAACTTACCGGTGGTAATACCTTTTATGAGTCCGCACGGGTAGGTACCACCATCCGGTCTATTTCTGCCGTAAAGCAGTAATGCGTTTCGGTTTGAAGGGTGGGGCAGCCGTTGTAACTATACTTGAGACCTTAGAACTTATATCTCAAGGTGGGTGGGGCATTTACGTCGTAGATCTATGGGCTCCGGTAACCACTTAAACCCTAGTAGGCCGTGAGATCGTCCACCCACCTAAGCAAACAAAAAGCTTTACAATTTGTGTCTAAATAGGATATATTAAATTAAGATGAAGCAGAATTTCATTTCCCAAGACCGTTGTAAAGGGCATCAGCACTCTCAATGTACATACACGTATTAGAAGTAAACAATATAACTTTATAATACCTAATTATAGTTTGACATAGTCATCTTTTCCACGTTTCAATTCGCATCTGTTTACGTAAAGATCGTACTCAACGCCAACGAACGTACCGATTTAAATATTACGTTAATATTGTTGTGATCTCATACATGATTCACTTTCGGCGAAATGATACGGACAGTCGCGTCTGTGCGACTTATCACGAAATAGACAGAGAGACTGCGCTCTGTGATGCGTATTGAGAGTCCTCACGGCTAGTTAATAATGGTCGTCCGTAACCAAAACAATAAGCCAATGTATATGTATCAAGCGACCCGACTATGCCATGGTTCAGATAGCGCAGTTTGATATCGACTTTTCAATAGAAATACTATGACTTCTTCGCGAATGGCTCATGGATAACTGCAATACCAAAGGCCCAGTGGCTGCCTACCGCACCGTATTTTCAAGCCTTTTTTTTATTGACCTTGTAGGCAGACGAGCATACGGCCCACCTAATGGTGAGGGATTACCGTCACCCATGGGCTTCAGCAATGCCAGGGGTAGAGCTTAGTCGCTGCCTACCGTTAAGTACTCTCCAAAAGCCTCGTTTGAAGAAGCATTTCATAGCGCTCGGGAAACATCGTGGAGAGGAGCTCATTCCAAAGCCGGATGGTACGTGGTAAAAAAGATCTCTGGAAACGCACTGTGGATGAACGCAGTGGCTCCAGTAGTATGGATGAACTCTACTCCGATGACGGGTAGTGCGATGGTAAAAACGAGATGATGGAATCATCTCAAACAATTCCTCAAAGCACTCCCCGTGGAACATACAAAGGCAATTTGAAGATGACCATATCATAGTGCCCAGGAAATACAGAGATCATTCCAGAGTCGGATGGTACGTGCCAAATGATATCAAATGCCTAATGATGTTACATGTAGACAGCAACAATCATCATCTCAAAAAAATTATCACATCACACCACAGGAAACATACGCATCAGTTGAGACAATATCCTTTTCGAATAATAGTTATTTATGCTTTGGTCTAACTGTTATTATTGAGTATTTAATCACGTGCTACATGCTTTGTATTGCATCTTCAAGTTAGCCCGTGGCTGCTATATATAAAATATATAAAAAAATATATATTTTGCATAAATATAAATACAATAATATAAATTGTTCAACAAAATTACTCGACTCCAAGTCAACAAGTTAATCGAAAAATGTGGAATAATTCATTGTAATTTCAGACGAGTTTTACTAATAAAAACGTCAAGCATGTGCGCAATCAGCACATTAAATCATTGTCTTTAATAATTATGATGATTGTAATATTAAGTTACTCAATGTTGATAAACTAGGCACTTAATTCGCGTGCTTAGGTAGGCGATTTTTTTGCATCCACATTTGGCCGCTGCCGCTCCAACTGCCTATTAACAAACCTGCGGTCTTCCTTAGTTGCGCCTTTTCAAAAGGGTCACAAAAGTACCTTCATAATTATTCATATTAAGCTTCATATTAAATATTTGGTCGTCGTAGCAGATTGCCTCTCAAATAACCCTTCGAAGGGACGCCAAGGATCGCATCGACAGACGGAGATAGTTTTCATGAGTAAAGGGATATAACGGACCTGCATGCGAGATGACAGCTTTCGAAAGCGTATGACGACCACATAATACATGGCTAGAGGTATTCTTCAAGGCGTCGCAACGCACCTTTCACAAATATCGACAACATCAAAGCCGCTATTTATCTCTAAATAAGCCTCGTTCCAAAAAGGATGTATCATAGCGCCGAATATTACCAAGGAGTTAAGTAAGATTACTTCCCATTTACTCTCGCTTTTATAGTACTCAATCTATACTAATATTATAAAGAGGAAAGATTTGTTTGTTTGTTTATTTCGAATAAGCTCCGAAACTACTGGACCGATTTGAAAAATTCTTTTTCCATTAGAAGCCGACATTGTCCCTGATGAACATAGGCTACTTTTTTTAATTTTTTATTTATTTATTTTTTTTGTTTCAAGTGTGTTTTAATGTTTCCGAAGCGAAGCGAGGGCGGGTCGCTAGTTGTACTAATAAACAGAAAAATAACGCATGTCCCAACTTCATTTCGCATTTAGTACATCGTTGATTGTTAATGGAATCACAGCAAAACTATGATCTGAAAAAGCACTGCGAATGATCTCGTGAATATACTCTTCGAAGAAGTTGTATTGTAGTTATGTAGACGTTAGTGTGACGTCGAATTATTCCTCAAGAGTCTTAGTTTATCCGCCCAGATACGAAAATAACAACTATTTCTTTTTGTAGATGTTCCAAACCGTTCCCCAGACAAGTTCGAAAGACAGACCGATATCCTAATCTTTTCTGGATGGAAAACTCTCTGCATTAAAGATCGGTATTGCTTATTGCATATCATCTCGTATAAGTAACTCTTACTGTATTTAAAAGGCATAGAAACACACACACACATACCTACTATCTGTGGCATCACGTGCCTTTTAAAACACAGGCTTGGTTTACTTTGGCTTTATGAGGCATGAAGCAGGCCTGTTCAAATTATTCACATCATAGACAAAAGAACTTACTGCCCACCCATTGTCAAACAAATACTCCTCATACTCCACAGTATAAATGGCATAGGTCATCCTAAAGTGTCACTTACTTTGGAATAGCCGCTATCGCCCTTTTGAAACCGGAATGCATAATAGTTTCGCAACAAAAACGCTCAGGAGTACATACTCTACGAGCCCTTATGCTTTACAACCATTAATGATTGTATGTATTTACGAATAGTCGATATAGAATTGGAGTACATACTAAAATATCGGTTTCTACCCACACAAACAATTCAAGCTAGACATTGCACGTTGGTTAATTATCAAGCTAAATTGTGGAGGGTCCTACTGATTAACTTATCAACGCCCATGTGTCTGTTTTAAAAGACCTTGTCTGACCAGACCCCACACCGAATAAGTCTGCGATGACATCACGTTGTTTATTATCGATTATTTAACACAAGGACGACAATTAATATTCAACATAGTTTGTAATGTCGCATTGTTAACGACTAAAGGTCAAGCGCTCCTTAGAGGGACATAGAACATAGAATGTTCACAACATTTAATATCACATGTTGTTATCGAGTAATTGAATATTGACCTAAGGAATTGCTGCGGCTGAGACGCGTTTCCAGTGTACACTGCAATTCATATTAAGGCCTTTAATACCAAACGAAAAGGTATTGACGATAAATTCCTGTAGACAATGGTGACTTATCTCCATAATCCACAAAAAGCCCTACAAAAACACTATTAAAATAACTTTATACCAAGATAATGTACCTATGAAGAATCACTGACCTGTATTATAGAAGCACATAATGCTGTCATGGACACAAGCATCAACTGTTGCCTCGTGTATTCGTGTAACTGCTTTCCGCAGCCCCTGAGATATAACGCGGCGCATTCTGATGCGTAGGGCTTGTGTAGGGAATCGAGAGGACCTTGGCCACAACAAGAGAACGGTACGTGGCCTGATGTCGCGTAATCATTTGGCCCTGTGACCCCACAGCATTCGAACTGGAATCAATTTTTTTTTAGATAAGTTAAAGCTTTTTGTTGGCCATGACAGGTGAATGGTTTGTCTGATGTTGACCAGTTACGGGAACCTTTAGCTGTTTATGCCGAATCTTCAGTGGAAGAACGACGATCAGAACATAAATGATGAACGCATCTTTATCGAGCATTTATAATCGGTGCACATAGATGTCGCTAAAATGAGGTAAGTACGTATTGACCATGCTATAGTTTGGCTGCATGCGCGCAATGCATAATGGCTCTGGTTTAAATACATAGTTTTATTAAGACAAAAAAAATGATGTCTTTTTTCACATTAATCATAATTTATAATTCGTGGCCATTAAAAGATTAGATAAAATCTCGCACCTTTACATGTAACCGATCCCATTTTAAGGACTCAGCGGAATTTGCATCAGCACCCCTGGTGTCTTCGAAGAACTGCGTCATGGTAGTTTTCACGTCTATCTCCACATTGTCCCACACCACCATAGCCCACACAAAGCAAGTGAACTCTATGATCACCACTAGTACTATTAGGATGCCTGTCTAGGAATAAGAAAGAAAAAGTAATCTATTAGAATTGCGCTTAACTTTCTGAACAAAAAAGATAAAAAATCAGAACAATAAACAGAATTATTACAGTACAGTTCGCTATGCCTCAATTAATTTGCAATCGACACGAATACGAAAGCACCGGGCGTCTCATCATTTTAGGCCTAACATCAACATAATTACAGGATTTTCAGATTTCATGGGCTCTCGATAATTCAGAGCTGCCGCTGCTGAGCCTGTCCACTAGAACCCATTAAATAATAGCGTATATGGTTTTCTCCAAGTTAAGGTCTTCATGCTCGCGACTCCGCAACCTTTGAATTTCCATAGATACGACCTCAGAGCCCTCTTGTAATTCTCAAAGACTAAGGAAACTACAATTTATTGTCACGACTAATTTCGACACAATGTTAGAATACAGTTTATTTAAAAGAAAAGTTTCACCGGTCAAGGCAAGTTTTTTTGCATTATAATGCTTGTTTCGACTACACTGCAGTTTCTAAACCACGGTAACCGGGTCAACTGTGGCACGTGATTATAAAACTCTAACCTATAAAAACACGTAGATCGACGGGCAAGATCAAAACAGGTACAGTGCTAATCACCGATGCGATAAGACATTTCTATACAACGGCCAAGAAACTAGAGAAGTCTAAGTTAAAATCGCCTTACTATTCACAATATTTATTGCTTCATGGCAGAAACACGCAAGAGTAGGTTACCAACTAGCGCAGACTAACTCACCGTGCCGCTAAGACCAAGTTCAGGGGTAGGACGAAGTAGGAAACTAAGAACTGACGTATGGTCTCAACGGAAAAATAAGTTATGGTACTATGAACTAGTGGCTGTATTTTGACGACCTAGCACGACCGATGACTTCTTGTGGGTAACGTAAGCGGTGTCTAAATTAGTCACCGGAAAACAGGCATCAGCTTTCTATAACTATCGTACCAGCATACTGCATTTGTCAATCAGCAGTTACTGGAGTTAGGCCGCATAAGGCCGCACGGGCATCCAGCCTATTAAAATAATCGGCACGAGTCTTGAGATCAGACCTTGACATGCGCAAAATCCATTTTTGGGTCTGTTTAGGGGGAACGAGGCAGTGGGGAGGTGGCGCCGGCCATGTTGATTACGGGATTGGATCTTCCCGTGTCGTGTCACATGCCGTCAGCTGTGATTGCTTCCCTGTGTTGTCCACGCGCATCACTGCAGCAAACTACACTTTTGTTCAATTTTATTAGCCACATTTTTTTCAAGACTCGTGCCGGTTACTATAAATCTATATAGTTGTGCTTTACGGTCTTAAAGTTCGAATAGCTGTAATGCAATACACTCGAGATTTTGACATCGTGCCTTCAGATGGATAGTTGCAACGTTGGTACATCTATGGACTTTGGTAAACATTTAATACCAAGTAGGCTGTCTGTTGATCTATTTCAATGCCAAAAAGGGGAAAAGAAATCATTATATCTTCAAGATAGAAATGCTAGCAACTTTATTTATGTACTAGACAAAGTACCTACTGACGCCAAATCNAATACACTCGAGATTTTGACATCGTGCCTTCAGATGGATAGTTGCAACGTTGGTACATCTATGGACTTTGGTAAACATTTAATACCAAGTAGGCTGTCTGTTGATCTATTTCAATGCCAAAAAGGGGAAAAGAAATCATTATATCTTCAAGATAGAAATGCTAGCAACTTTATTTATGTACTAGACAAAGTACCTACTGACGCCAAATCTTTACCTTTATACGATCTCCAGAACACAGAACTAAGTTAATAAGTATAATTTAAGCTTCATAAAATTCATAATACCTACTATGATAATGTGAATCTGGTGCAATGATACAGCCGTCCTCCATCCTATCCATGCTATAGAACATGTTATGATCGCCATCATCAATAATAGAATCGCGGGATACTCCACATTCACACCAATAAAATGTCTGTATATAAAAAGTTTGTACAACAAAAATCCACTCGCTCCGAACAGCACCACGGCTGACATCTGTTGACAAAATCATGAAACAGTTACAAAAAGTATTAACCTAACAAATTTAACATTCCACCAGTTATTTTTTGTCTCTCTCACACAATATTAAATTCGGTAAGTTTCAAGAAATTATTCTATGCCAGTTTGACATTTGATTAATTCTGAAATCACCGCTTAGGACTACTATAATTGAGACGGTTAAAGTACAATGCACTCGTAGATTGAATTTTTTGCAATTAATAAACTAATCACACTGATTTAGATAGTTAATTATTTTAATGAGTATAATGGTTAACTAAATTTCGATTTGATTTTCTCGCTTCGAAACAAATCAGTGATTCCGCTGCGTTGTTATGACAACAAAGCGACATTCACTGATTCAGCAAATGCTTCTTAACTTGCGAGTGAAATTTTCAAGAATAAATAAATTAAAATAAGTGTACTTACAGCGAATAATACATTAAAAGTTAACACTAAATATTTCCAACAGTTCGTCGAGAGACCCATTGTGCTGTGTTGCGTTCACATGTCACTTGATCTTTTAAGCTCGCTTCAAAACAAAGGCCCCGGTCGTTCCACCTCAGGGAATGTTTGTGTTTCGTGCTCCCGCAACCAACAATGATGCAACAGTACTGCGCGCGTTACGGATTTAAACATTCAATATTTAATCTATACCAACTTTACTTATCGTATTATCTTTAAATTCGAAACAATTTAGGAAGGTGTGTCACAGAAGAGATTCGTTCTTAGTACATTATATGACTCCTTAATTCCTACGAAGTAATATACCGCTATCGGTATTATCTCGAACGATAACAGTTCTTTAACAGTTGCAATCTAACCTACTTTCTACGGCTAGTGATAGCGTAGAGTTAGACTTTCAAAACTAGGTAGCCAATTTATAAATAGACCAGTGACACTTCTATTTCTGTACCATTCTGCGTTCTCTGCATCAATACTCGGTACCATGAGATTTCAATATTTCTTTGGACCTCCCAAAAATATTTTTAAATCAGATATTATTAATTAATGCGGGTCAAAGAGAGCATTGTGATTGTGTCTAAGTGGGTTACAGCTACTCAATGAATAAATTAGATTTAAAAAAAAAAACTCGAACATGGATAATATTTATTATTATTAATAACGCAATATAATTAAATTACACAATGTCAATCATATTGTTTTGAGTAGCACACATTCCTAGCAAGAAAATCAGGTGTTCTTTCCAAATTAATTTTCGCCTTTAACGATTCAAGTGCCTCGTTAATGTCATTACTGACCGTACCTACTTGATTTGCGGTTCGCATCATAGCTTTTGCATTATCAATTTTTCTCTCGTGTAAGGCCAATAGCGCTAAAAACGCCCAACCATCTGATAATAAAGGTTCAGATTTGACTGCAGCGGCCGCCCAGCGCTCTGCTAATTCTTTTTCACCTAATATATTATAAATACGAGCTAAAACGAAAGCAGAATATCCACTCGGAACCATTTTATGCGCTCTTGCAGCCCTTTGCAATGAAACAGCTGGTTCACTTTGCATCCCACCTAGAGCTGCTCGCAAAAGAATAGCTGGACATGGTTGGGCACCAGCTTTATCCGCTTCTTCCAACGCACTTTCACATTGCCCATCCCAGCCTCGAGAACAAGTCAAGCAAGAAGCGTTGATTTGGGACAGAATAGCCGACGGTCCAAATCTTTTTATTCCTTCATGAGTTATCTCCATTGCCTTGTCATATTCTTGGCGAAGTAGTAATGAAGCTGCTTGCAAGTAATAATAGTCCGGGGCTATTTCAATAGTATAATCAAAACGTGTACCTCGGTTGACGCAATTTCGTTCCACGCATACTAAGATTTGATTAACAAACGAATAGCAACGGAGACAAAGAAAAAACGCTGCGGCTAATATGAATGGATTTGCAGCAGTCACTGACGCTGGTATCCAGAAAATTTCTTCTTCTCCGCTTGCATCTATCCAGCGTCGAAGAAATTTATCCCATTCTTTGGCCAGTTCAAATGATTTCCGCATTTTCTTGGCAGCAACAAAAGCAGCATACGAGTTTTGATGGTAGTGATAGAATGAATGCAGAGCTGCCCACCCAATAGCGATGCCGGTCCCATCAGAATAATCACCACGGACCGCGATACGGAATGCTGCAGCAGCAAGATCCTTTCCTTCGGTGCCCTGGTCAAAATTTAAAGCACCATAAATCCATAATAAATATCGATTTTTGCTGTGAACATTTAAAGCTCTCAACAAAAAATTTTTGGCTTCCATGTTATTACCTTCTTCAAGGAGTCTCAGAACTTTAGTAAGTAATACGGCAGGACTTTGTTCTGCGACATTTAAGTTATTTTCAAGGTGTTTCTCGGCTAACTTCCTATAACCAGCTATTCGACATCTAGCCACTAATGTCAAACTAACTGCGCGCGGGGAAGGAGGTCGTGGAGCGAACGAGGCTGTCACTGCTCTTCTACAGGCAACATGCTGATGTGTTACCGTATCTTGCAAATCAATAACTGAACAATTTCCCGCTGGAAACTGTTTGAGCAAAGACCTCACTCGCATCAGTAAACGATTTGCTGCAGATCTTTTGATACCTTGGTTCATCGGAATTGTACCTTTACAAGCCAGATCACTTAATTCTTGGTGTACTGTCAGAGCACCGCCTTCGCTTCTTATTCGTCTAACATCAATCGTTTGATCTTCTGGAGGCGGCTCTACCGTTAGCTCGTTCACAGGTACAGTAGAGCCATCGGTAACAGGAAAACCTATTCGTTCGTAAAGTGAAACCATTTTGGCTTTCGGGACTAATGGTTCGAACAAGTCAAATCTTATGACAAAATAAGCGCCGTGACCGTATTCATCAGTCACAGTGTTTATCTCTCTAGCACTAGCTTTTGCGCTTGCCGGTGGAAGATCTAATAACGGACCTACCTTCTCCGGTAGTTCAGATTCATTATAATACATCAATTGGGCACCGACCGTCACACCAAATTGACCTGGTTCCAACAAAACTCCGGCGTCAACGAATCCCATGAATCGACCGCGAACATCAATTTTTCCAAATCTAGGTACTCCAGCCATTTCTACATAAAATGGAAAACGTAGTCTTTCTTGCAATAAATTGGGGTCAATCAATACACGTTTCATGGAGTACCAATAAAAACGGTTACATTCAGATGTTTTCGAAGGTGTTATTACATTTTCAGGAAAATAAATATCTTCGTTTGGAATTTCAAATTCGGTGTTTGCAGCTTGACCTGCATTCGAAACATCAGCCCAAACAATTTTTTTGGCTTCAGGAAAACTTAATGAATTACCAAAATTCATAACATTTTGCGTTAAGCTGTCCAAGCCAATTGCTCCCAGATAAACCGTTCCATCTTTAGCGTTAGGAAGACAATGAACAGATAACAAAGTTATCATCAACGGAACGCGATTGTTTTCTGAATAACCGCGGGCTTCTAAATGAGCTATTACGCTGCAGTTTGTACGGTCACCGTTATGAATCAAAACAAGGGGAACTCTTACCTTTATCTCTTGCTCTCCCAATACAAAAGGCATCAAATCAACATTACCACCTGCCCAATTATCTGAATTCAATAACGGATCGACATCCTTAGCTCCTTTTCCCGAAACAGAACGAAGAATAACAACTATAGGACTATCGGCAACCATTAATTGATGATCTGGATCATTTAAGTTTACTGGAAAATATTCTATTTCAATTACGCTCTCAGTGTACCATTTTGTGGTCATCACAACTTGTCCGTTGAAGAAAACTAACAATATCCATTCGCCGGAACTTGGTGGCTCGCCGATCATTTGCAGGAGAATGCTGATGTTACGTGGTGGAATAAGAATACCATCATCTTCCGCCACCACGCTTGATTTTTCTGTATTTGTATTTTTTATTTTTTGTAAGTCTTTCATTTGGATGGCTTCACGGAATGTCCGATTTTTTGCTTCACAATGGTGAATTTAATACCTATGTTTAATGCAGAAACGGAAAAAATTAGGTTAATCGTTATAATTCCACACTAAATGAGTTTGATTTATACCTCATTTATCATTATAAATTATGGATACATTAGATTTACAAAATTAATAATAGCGGTTTTCGTATTTGTCAAATATAACGTCTTGCTTTTGTATTAATGATACTACAATAATAATTATGATTTGTATGGAATCATAGATAGGTTTCATACTTCAGTGTATGGAATGCAATTTTAGTTTTGACTTTGACATAAAGTACAGTTTAAAGTTGTAGTCACAAAACTATTTAAAGTTTTACATTTTTTAAATAAATTAAATAAAAACTTTTTGCCTTGTAAACATTGCACTACAGTTGGTATCTGAGTTATTAAGCAAGTCCACTGCATAGCAAAGAATACAGTTAGAGAGTAAAAAGAAGATATGCTGTATAGTGAAGTCATAAACAACAGCATACGAAAATTATGAAAATGAACAATAATTATTAGAATAATAGTAAACACGATTCAAGTTTTTATCTGGTGTGCTTCAGACCATCCGTAATTTCCAACAATTAGATATATTGCTAAAACAATGGACAACGACTGCCCGATAAAAATAGTAAACATGTAAAATTTTTAAATAAAAATATTTTTTAAGAGAACCTTAACAGAAATTGTTAAAAAAAAATTCAAAATAAAATTATGAAATTAAATAACTTAATCCTGATAGTCTAGTCATTATAGGGCAGCGGTCGGGGAACCGGGGTAAATTACCCCAAATGGGGTAAAATTCATTTTAAATTTCATTTTTGGGGGGTAAAAATGAAACTTTTGTGAGTAAAAAGTATTTAGTGAAGTGAAACTTCTTTAGAATCGTTGTGATTTCAAACTCGATGAAACGAAATGAAACGAAACGAAAAAATAAGTCCATAGAGATACAAACACATAAATGTATAGGATTCAGCGGGCGAGAGAATGAGATCGAAAACATTATTTGGAAACACAAAGTTCACGTGATTGACTCAGGTATTTTATTGTAGGCATCGTTAGCCGCGATTGGCTTGCCGAAGCGGCTCCGAGCGGAGCCGACAAATCACAAAGCGAAATTTCCCGAAAAAAATCATTTAAATTAAAAAAACTTTTTTATGGGGGCTATATATAAAATTGAAACTAGTTTTTTCCTCTAATAATACAAGAAATATATCATATGAATTATAAAATAACAAGAAATTATCATTTACTTATATTTTCTGAGGGGAGGATTTTTTTTCCTCAACTGTATATTACATAATTATATTACTATTATTACCGTTATGTATTACTAGGTGTAATACCTTGATAAATTGAATAAATGATGTTTAAATTAAATTTTTAGTTATTATTTTCTTTTCATAATTATCATAGGGGCTATAATATGAAAGATGCTAAAAAGAAGTGATTTCGTTTTTTTTTTGTTCTTCGTGGGGTAATATCAACTTACACAAAAATATTTTGGGGTAATAATTAAAAAAGTTCCCCGACCACTGTTATAGGGGATTGACCTCGGAATCCATAGAAAACGAAATATTTACAAAAAATGTAAAAAAAATGATTTTGTGATCTTTGACCCCTGGCTTTAAAACTTGCGACCGTCCAATTATATAATATATTATGTGAATTTTGAGAATAGATGCCAAAATACAAGTTTTTACGTGCTAATATACTGGGTATGTCGATTTTCCGAGATATTCGCCTAATTTGGCCTAAAATGACTGGACTATGAAAAAAAGAAATGGTTTTAGTTGAATACATAATTTTTTTTTTTTTATTGCTTAGATGGGTGGACGAGCTCACAGCCGACCTGGTGTTAAGTGGTTACTGGAGCCCATAGACATCCAAAACGTAAATGCGCCACCGACCTTGAGATATAAGTTCTAAGGTCTCAAGTAAGTTACAACGGCTGCCCCACCCTTCAAACCGAAACGCATTACTGCTTCACGGCAGAAATAGGCAGGGTGGTGGTACCCACCCGCGCGGACTCACAAGAGGTTCTACCACCAGTAATTACGCAAATTATAATTTTTGCGGGTAATATTAAATTAATAATATTTATTATCTGAATCATTTTTATAAAAAGCATGTTCTATGAAATATTAAGAAGTTAAGAGGCAACAATAGTAGACAAAGACACATCAGTTTTAAGTATTATCATGTATTTTTAAAAGATTTTATGGTCTGGGAACGAGATATATTATTATGAGGTGTATTATTCATTATCCATGCATCAGTACAATCATAATTTTCAATATAAAATGCAACCTCATATTTTGCTTTTTGAATTGAACTTTTTTAATACCTAACTTATTCACCGCTATTGGTTACAGGATCATAAAGGCTAGCTTGAATTTAATTTCTGTTTAGAACGGAGTTCATAGAAAATTCCAATGTTCTGTTAAATAAATAGTAGTATGAAGCAAAATGGAATGAAGTCGTATAATTTGATTCCTTAATCATATTGATGTAATTAAAAGAACCGTGATGAGATGAGATGACATAAAGTTTCAGTAAAATGGTGCTTATTTACTAAATGTTTTGTGGACTTTTTGGAATAACCCGAGAAGGCATCTCTAGCGACTTTGATTATATTGCTCACTTACAATATCTCTGGACCTCGCAGGAATGTGAAGCCCCTGCCCGTTTCCCTTTCGCCGGGTCCAGAGATAATCTAACCGGGTTGTAGGTAAGTAAATAGACGTGGACGGAGTTAAAGTAAAATAATAAACAAATTACAAAATACAAGTAAAAAAACAATAAATGATCATTGATGGTTAAAAAAATTAAGACAAGAATCTTAAAGATTTTATTGTCATAAAATAAAAAAGGAAATGACAAAATATATTTTTTAATATGACAATCAAATTGACAGTGTTGTCAGTTTCATCATGCAAACTAACGCAAACGAAAAACACATTCCAGTTTCCTTTTGTAGCTATAATACTATTTCTATCATTTCATCAAAACTTTTCTCTTACTTTATAAAACGAAATGTGAGACTACAAGTAAAAAAAACAATACATGATGGTTGACGGTTAAAAACGTAAAACAAGTAGGTATCTTAAAATTTTATTGCCATGAAATTAAAAACGGAAAAGACAAAATATGTTTTTATTATGACAATATTGAAAATCAAATTGACAGCGGGACTTTTTGGCGGGAACGCGAGGAGTAAAGTTGTGTGATTTGTTTTATTTTGTCTATTTAGTATTATTTTGTCTTCTTCAGGTTTAAATGTGTAATAACGGTGGTTTATTAACTGTTTAATATCTGTGAAAGTGCACAAATGTGGGAAAATGAAACAAAGCCGCTGGATGTGACTTATTTATTAATTTATTTGGGAAACAAACAGTACAATACAAACATAAAATTTTAAAAAATATACCTAAAACAATAACCAAATATGTTTCCACAATCACATACAAGTAGAAAGTGAACAGAGACGAGAAATTTAGAAATTTAAATTACAAAAAAACAAAACCAAACACAATATGCACATATTATTTTATACATCAACTTACACTATAAAACTATAATACTCATCGGGCTAAATCACCTTATAAATATTTTAAAATAGCTTTTCTATATGCTACAAGTGACAAGCAAAAGATGTCAGCATTAGAGAACTTAGCATCATACAACCTACAAGATCTACGGACAAAAGAATTAGAAGCATATTTCGTTCGAGCCGTGGACATGTGGAAGGTCTGTTTAGAACGCGCGGAAATACGACTACATTTAAATGAAATTTTGGAAAGAAGATAGCTAGAATCAATCTCATTATTTATTATTTTATATAAAAACATTTTATCCCTCAGTAGCCTACGATCGACTAGAGAGATAAATTTTGTCGGTTCTGGAAAGCTAAAGCGACGACAATGGTATAAAAGATGCTTAGAAAACTTTTTTGGACTCTTTCTAGTCGCTCAATATAAATATTATATTGGGGATTCCATGTGACAGAGCCATATTCCAATATAGACCGTACAAAACTGTTATACAATAGAATCAGAGTAGATAGTCTTTTAAAGTCTTTACCAGCTCTAAGTATGAAGCCTAACATTAGAAAAGCCTTAATTACTATTTCATTAACATTAACATCAAAAATCAAACTGGAATCCAAACAAATACCCAAATCATGAACAACTGTGGTGCGTACCAAAGTTTGATCATTAATAGAATAGTCATACAAGATATTCAATCTTCCACGTGAGAATGTTATAATTGTACACTTATTAGTATTCACTGTGAGTTAGTTATTTTGACAGTAAACAAATAAGTTGTTCAAATCATTCTCGACTTCTCGGGATCCTCCAAAAAGTTCAATGAAAAAGTCTCAGTAGATGACCACCATTTTACTGAGATTATATTTCATCCCATATCATCTCATCTCATTTCATTTGATTTCATCCCAGTTGATTTATGTCTCAAATTAATCATCTTCATTTCATTTCATCATTTTTCATAAAAATAAGAAAATAAATTAAATTAAGACATGACTTAAAGGCTTTAGTTACCAAGTCATAAAATCCGTAAAAAAAATATTGACAGCGTTGACAATGTCATCTGAAAAACGCATTCCAATTTCCTTTTGTAGCTTTAATACTACTTCTAGCATTTGAAACTTATCTCTTACTTTTTAAACAGAATTAAATAAAGATAGCTAAAGGTCCGTTGAATACCGCAATAGGTTTTTGGTACTACTCCGATTGCTTCGTTTAATTTCTTGTTTTCCCTTCTGCATGAATGTAGATTAGAACTTTACAATTATGTTTTGTTAGAGTAGGTAAATTATTTAAAATGTACACTTTACTGCACGGCTTTTATAAGTATATAATACAGAAAGACGAATATTGCGTTCTAATACTCGGCCTAGACAATGCTGGCAAAACGGTAGGTAATGCTAGAAAGTCCCCAAATGTTATTGTTGTAGGCACTAGAAAGTTATTGTTTTTATTTTTATTGCAGACATATTTGGAAGCAACGAAAACAAAATTTACCAAAAAATATAAGGCTATGAACCCAAATAGGATAACAACAACCGTCGGACTTAATATAGGTAAAATAGATGTGAACGGTGTAAGACTTAATTTCTGGGACCTTGGTGGTCAGCAAGAATTACAATCCCTATGGGATAAGGTAATAATTAAAAGTTTCGCTAAGTATAGTCCATATTTAAGCAAAATATCCATGAACCCTTTTAAACCAGGCTGACTGAGCTTACTCATCTGTTTAAGAAATATAAAAAAATACTTAGAACTGTAAAGATAATGTCTGTGTGATGCACCTTAAAACCTATGGCATTCATCCATGCAGTTATAACTACCATTTAAAATTATTTTCAGATCTTATATAGAACTTATGTTGATGGATTATATTTGAAGTGATTCCTGAAGACTATGGGTCGAATATTAAATTGCATAATATAATTAAATAGTTTATATTTTTTATTCCATTGACGAAAAACTTAAAGTTCCATAATACTTTTCTATATGCTGTTACTGAGAAAAAAGGTCTTGTCTTCTGGTATACATATAACAAAGACGTGATCTTATAAAGGGTTAATTGTTTTCCTTTTTAAGATCAAAACCATAAGAAACCAAAAGTGTTAATGTTTTAACATAATTTCAAATTTGTTTGTATTCTTTATTTTTAGTACTATGCTGAATGCCATGCAGTTATCTACATAGTTGACTCATCAGATAGGGACAGGGTATCTGAATCCAAGGAAACCTTTGGTATGCAACATTTTGTTTTTTTTGTTTTTTTTTATTGCCCTATAGGCAGACTAGCAAACGGCCCACCTGATGATGAGTGGTTACCGTCGCTCATGGACGTCAGCAATGCCAGGGGCAGAGCCAAGGCGTTGCCTACAAGAATGACCCTTATTTACAGAAAATGAACATAATATCATTTATTAGCATTTATATATTAATAAGTTTTCTTATACAATGGATGCCGTTTACCGATTTGTTAAACAACATGGTTTGTCCTGTGATGTGCTGTTGTAAAATACATTCTTATGTTAAATTAAATTTAAAAAAACCAAGATAATTTTTTTAGATTCATGTATCAAAGTATTCCTTATTTCAAATCTATAGACTTTGGTAACCACTTAACGAAAGGTGGACCATGAGTGAGTTTACTCATCGAGTCAAAAAATGTTATAAATCTTTAGAAAAGAAAATGCAAACAAGCTGCTTAAAACTGAATTAAAATATAATTCATAATTATTTTTAAGATGATTAACACAGAATTGAGTCGACTATTATCAAAGCCGGCAATGTGACTTTTGGACAATTATTGGTAAATCAGAAAAACGAATTATTGACTTTGTATTCCATTGGCAGTCACAAAACTCTTCTAAATGACATCTTAGATAAATAACAGGTTAAGTATTAACCCATATTTAATGCAGGTTTTGAACCGTATTCTTTGAAGGAGACGATTATATTCAAATCAATCTGTATTGACATATCAATAACATTTTTTTGTCCAAATGCACAGATTGCCACCTTTGATAATAGAAGACTCGGATATAAAATTATTTGCGAACACAAAATTTTGCAGATAGAATGATATCCTCAGAACATTTAGCCGGTGTACCTTTGCTGGTGCTTGCGAACAAACAAGACATTCCAGACTGCATGGGCGTCCACACAGTGAAGCCCATATTCAATCAGAACGCACACCTGATTGGTGCTAGGGACATCATGTTAATGGCAACATCGGCATTAACTGGGTAATTTTTATTGATATATACTGTTAAGTCATTACTAAGGTTTAAGGCATGTATTGACATGCCAGAGCTGGGCTCTATGAAACGCCCCTTCTTGAATGTCCAGATTGTCTATTTCCTCACAGAACTTGAATAAGTCATAAGTTTCTATACATGTGCATAAATTTATTAGTAAATATTGGGGGTTAAAGTATGAACTTGCCGATTTGTACTGAAAAATTTATATTCGTTTTTATTTATTTAACATATTAATTTAATCAAAATATCCACCATTATTATCTATACATTGCTGCCATCTAATAGGAAGGTCATTTATGCCTTTGCGATAGAATCCTGGTGATCTAGAATCTACAAACTGTGTGAAAGCATTTTGTACTGCCTCCTGGGAAGAAAACTTTTTATCACATAGAAAATTATCCAAATCACGACAAAAATGGTAGCCCGTAAGCCCGCAAGCCCGGAGCAAGGTCTGACGAATACGGAGGGTGACGAATTGTTTCTAATTGCAGTTCATGTAGTTAAAACGGTTTTTCGTGCTGTATGAGGTCTCGCGTTAACATGGAGCAATAATGGTAAAGACCGATTCATGAGTCGGGGCTATTTCACTGCAAGTTTTGCCATCATTGTTCGGAGTTCGGCACAGTAGACATCTGCCGTTATTAAGCAAGCGACCAGATCGGAGAAAGCTATAGTGAATAACACCATCCTGAGACCACCAAACAGTTACCATTACCTTTTTATTGGTAAGCTTTGCTTTAGGACCCAGTTGCGGCGTTTGACCTGGGGTCATCCATTGAAATTTTCGCTTACGGTTATCGTAAAGAATCCACTTTCCATCACATGTCACAATTTGATCCAATAATCCTTCATTTCTGTATCGATTCAACAAGGCAACACAAGTTTCAACACGCGTTTATTTCTGCATATCAGTCAAATCATGAGGCACCCATTTGTCCATTTATTTTATTTTATTGATTTGACGCAAATGAGTCAAAATTGTTGGTAAGGTAACGTTAAACCATGTCGCTAATTCCTGGGTAGTTTGGCTCGGATCGGCTTCCACCATCTCTTTCAATTCATTGTTATCATATGTGTGGGCGGTCTTCCACGTGGTTCGTTCTTCAAACCAAAATTTTCATCACGAAAGCGTTTAAACCAAAATCGCACGGTGCGTTCATCACCAGTCTCCTCTCCAAACGCAAAATGATATTGCGAGCTGTTTCTGCAGCGTTAGTTCCGCGTCGAAACTCGTATTAAAAAAATCACTCGAATTTTCGAAGTAACCATCTTTCTTGTCTAAGCTGAATTAAAAAAACAACTGAAATTTAATAATCAAATGTTGCCCATTTTTTAAAAGAAGAACCTCGTAGCTACCATTTGAAAAAAGTTTCACTCAAAAATCTCAAACCATGAAGGTTCTATGTCAATTCGAAGTACCAATTACAATAAAACGGCAGTTTCATACTTCAACCCCTATTACCAAATGTCGCTTAAATTAGATAGCCTCTCACCCCTCGATATTTAAATTCTGTTATATGAAAAATGATATGAAACTAAATGAAACAAGATGAGATGGGATGAAATAAAGTCTCGATAGAAAGGTGTTTCATAATGAGAGCTAAGTGGATTTTTTTCAAGAACCCAAAATGCCAGGTATACGAGCTTTGTATTATTTTCCGACTTTTGTTTAGTTTCATAGACGATAAACAGTTAATAAACCACCATTATATTACCACTATTACATTGAAATCTGATGAAACGCTAAATTAATAAAATAAAACAAATCAGACCACAACGCTCCTCGCGTTCCCGCCAAACGCTGGTAAACTTACGATCGTTATTCTCTTAAAAAACTACTTTAGATAGAAAACTTCAGGTAGGCAAGGACGGACAATGTGCACCAGGTATTTAAAATTATCATTATAATAGAACTCAACTATTTCAATCGAATTCATGACTTCGATCACATACGTACATAAAAATACGATCTTAATAACCATTCCATCATCCGTTCGCCAACGCAATACTCTATTAGTCCAACAATATGTATTTGTTTTAAATATTGAAATAACCCACTTTGTGAATGTATGCGATTCTATTAAATGTTTAAATAGATAACAAATGTGAAGAAAAACACTTTAAACATCAGAATTTTAGAATAAATAAGTATATGGAATATCTTGGAATGTAAATTGACATATTGTTTTGAATTAACTTTAATTTTGTTCATATTATTTTTTTAGTGATGGCGTGGACGAAGGCATCCGATGGCTTGTAGACTGCATAAAACGCAACAGCGTCGATCGTCCTCCCCGTAACCACGATGATAACTTATGAGCATTTAAAGAGCGACACACGCACGATACATGCTCAGTAATCGTATCGAGTCGTACCTACATAATACAATGAATAATAATTAGTTTTCCTATTAAGATAATGTGTATATGACTCGTTCAGTCCATTGTTTTGTACAGTATTGACATTTGAAAATAAAACATTACTAGAAGTGGTATTGCTGTCCTTTTTCAGTGATAAATTGTACCTTTGATAAGAGATACGTTGTGACTGGATATTTGAGGAGCACCTGCACCTGATAAAACACCTCTGATAACAGTTTAGTTTGCACTGTCGTCAAATATCGTGGCATACTGTGTGAAATGTTTTTATTAAAAGATTTATAGTTATTTTATGTGTTGTTTTTCACTGCAACCATGGCATATCCTATGTATGAAGTAGATTGGAGTGTGTTGCCGCCTGAGCAAAATAGAAGGTAGGTTAAAACGTGACAACGGACATTTATATATCAATGAATACGACTAATCAGCCTCCGTGTTTGTAATACACAGATTAGTAGATCAGTATCAAAATGAAATCGTATCTCGTAGACCGGAAACTATGTTCATTTCAGACAGTAATGGAAAAAGTTTTCCACGTAACGTTCGTTCTGAAACATCAGTTTTCCAGCCAAAATCATATTTTTACTTTCATTTTACAGAATTATGTTTACATTCTTGAAAATTTTAAGTAACATTGATTTTTATATTTCCTTTTGCATATTAAATCTATGGATTACGTATATATTAAATACAATTTTCAAAACAGAAATTATTTGACCAGCAGCGGTAAACGTCATGTGCGAGTCACGGCGGCCATGTTGAATTTCTTGCAACGCACCACGGAAATGTCAGCTGGCTATTGTATTAATTCGTTACAATTATTGTGATAAAAATAATCAATTATATTTAAATATTCATGCGTATGTGATTATAAAAAACTTTAGTTATTCCTAAATAGTGTGATTTTAATCCTTAATTAAGTGAAAAATATGTCAGAATTTAATCAAAGGTGGCATGAGATTTCACTTGCATTTCTATGGTTTGTGACGAAATAAAATGCCTTTGAGCTTAACTAGAGACGTGTAATTTATTATTTAGTTCTTTAAAGTTTGTTTTTTAAGTATAACCAAGTGAGAGTTTGCGTATTCTGCGGGTTTGTTTGTCTGTTAACATATTCTACGTTGAGACATTGAAAGATTATTCGGTCTGAAATACATAAAAGCAAAAACTTTTATTTGTCTAAAGAGAAACAACTAGAAGAGTACGAGATGAACGGCTCCGAATCTGGGTAATTTTACGTATAATTTAATAAGCTAACTAATCCATTCTTATGTGAAGATCTCATTACTTTCATAGTCATTGTATGCTCTCAACCTAAACGGTCCACTAATAAACGAATCATCATCACTTAAAAGAAATCCAATATTATTTATATTTATTCATTAGCAAATAAAAGAACATTATATGAACCCCATTGTGAGTGACTTATTCAGGTTAGTCCTGAAATCAACAATCATTGCTAAATTTTATATTCGAATAACATTACAATATATTTCTTTAATTGTTTGCCTATGAAATTCAAATCAACAAATCCATCAATTGCACATAAAGTTCATAGAATTTATTAATTTACTATTTCAAAAAGCTTTTATAATAATAATACTGAAAAACAATATCTGCTGTATATGGCTAATAAATAATAATCTTATCTGTCTATGACCAAATTTAAATAGATAAACCTATAAAATTCCAAAACAACAAAAAATTAAAAATACTTTTCATTGAGTTGATACTGGTCAAGATATTAAAGTGAAATCATTAAAATTATTATATTGTCATTGCCCTTGATGTATGTACAAATTTCAACTTAATTGGACGCCTCGAAGTAAGTGAAATGACATTCAACAATTCTGTTACACATAAACCCAGCTTATAAAAGAGTATTAAAAAGAAGCACATCATATACCAGCCAGAACGGTGAAAAAAAAATACAACATTAAGTACAATGTTTTTAATTTTATTCTGTTATTTAGTGGTTCAAATTTCTGTTATTATTATCTATATATTTCTGTTATATTTATATATTTCTGTTATGTCTATATATTTCTGTTATTATTGAGTAGTTCAAATTTAAAAAAATCTTCAAAGTTTTATTTTATAAAAATGAAAAAAATGATCTTATTATTAATATTCATTATTTCACCATACTATAACTGATGATGAGCAGACATGCTAAATCCCATGTGCTGCATTTGTCACCAAAGCAGAAGCACCACCCAGCTTAAAGCAGCAAATCTCAACTCTCTATTGTATAACTGCAGGCTTACCCTTCAAACTAGAATCCACAAATTGCACTAGAAATTGTCATAGACCATGATATGAGTTTATTTGGCAATAAATTGAAAGATAATTTAATCTAGTGGAAATCTATCTATTAAATCCAGTGGAAATTGTATTATTTTCTAAACGGAGTTTGAGAATCAAACTGTGATTTCAAAAAGATACTCAAATTTGTAAATAAATTGTTTATTGGTTTTTAAACAAAAAAATATAGTTCATAAACCACCTTTGTAGTAATGATCACTTCCCATGAGGTGCATTTTGAGGTTGTATAATATGTCTGTTAAGGCCAGCCTGTTGAAATGTCAACCTTAATAGAATTTTTGCAATAAAAATAAATATCTAAATCAAATTTGATTTCATTTTAAGCTATAAAAGAATCAGTTAAATTTTCAATAAAGTTATCAGGTGTATGTTTAACACAAGTTTAATAACATACATAAAACCATGTATATGACTGAGTTGATTCAAAAAGTCTATTGTGTGACCATAATAGTTTGTAACCTACCTGTGTCATGGTGCTTGACGTAGTTGGATTATACTTATTGTTAAAGTACCGGTTTCTTTCATGTATCTGCATTTGTCCTGAGCCTCGAATTTTTTTATAAAACGTGCAAAAATTAAGTAAAGATTTTGAAAGGCGGCCATAATTCTGTAGATTCAACAAGGCTACCTACTGGCTGGGTGGAACCGCTGTTAGACATCACAATATACATTTCGAACTCATGTTTCAAAGTTGGCTGCAACATTCACTTTGTTGTTGTGCAGCGATTCTTGTTTACATTCACCAATCTCGTACAAATCAAGCGAAGTCAGTCCGGACCATATTACCTAAGGAATGATAGAATAATAATTAAAAACAATAAAGCAAATCTTTAACAAATCTCTAAACAAATATTTATCAAGATTAGAAGTGAGTTAAATAGAAGGCGGCATTGAGTTATCTCTATCTGTAGGTGTGAGCATCCGTCTGTGATGTGACTTTACAGTCGGTTACAGAATTTGCAATAATGATTTTTGCTTGGCAGCAATGTCCGTCGGCAACAACTGTAATACTCCGGCGATCTATAATCGGGGTAATCCACTCGCAAAGTCCATTGTGGTTTTCCTACGCCAGTAGATAAATAAGCCTTAGTGATGTTGAAGCTCAGAGAAAAAGCCATATTGCTACTAACGGATTCGCATCAACCTAGGGACTAGTAAAAACTTTATCACATCACTAATTTCCTGACTGGTATTGATTATCTACACTGAGGAGAGCGGACCTATGATTGGCAAGGTTACGACCTGGTACTTAGTGTATCCTTAAAGAAAGTTATAGCCTTGCTGGCTTAGTAAGTTCGTAAGAAAGATGATAACCCCTAAAACGATAGTCAACTTTTCGCTTAAATCGAAATCTAATGAAACTATTGATATTGATCAACTTCTGAGAGAAGTACCTACCCTAGTTTTAAGGTTAAAATTGGTCTATTCACTTCGAGCCTGCGTTATCGAGCAGTAGAAATTACCTTCCTTCATTATTTTTATTTACGTCACGTTGTTAGGTGAATATGATTGATTCATCCAATGCTTACATAAAAGGTGTTTTCTACATCTTAAATGATAATTTACAATGTATAGAGTTTCAGTGCATTACATCATATTAGGGAACTTCTAAATAAAGTGAGGCCCATAATCATTGTACTTTCACATCTAATAAAAATCAATTAAGTAACATTTTCTGCAATCTATTCTGCAAATCATTTTCTTATACTAACTTTATAGAGTTCATTGCGAACCTGTAAAGTACGCACTGATTGATCGTAATTGTTACCGATGGCTCTATCAATCTAAATTAACACTGATTTGTTTGTTCATGAGTATGAACTTATAAGTCATGGTCTCATATTTGGATATTGGAATACAAATAAAATATATGTGTGTAGAAACGATCGTAGTGCAGAGGTTGATGATGACTATAAAAATTTGAGATTCGGCCCAATAAGTACTTTATTTTAATTGGTTAATTATTAAAAATTAAACTCCATGTTTTATTTGGTCAACGTCATTAGATAGAATAAAGTTTGCAGCTTACCTAAAAATATTCATTTGATACTAGTATCAAGTAGTATTTTAATTGTGAGCTTCAAATGGTAGGCAGCGGCTTGGCTCTGTCCCTGGCGTTGCTGAAGTCTATGGGCGTCGGTAGCCACTCACCATCATATGAGCCGTATGCGCGTCTGACTACAAGGGCAATAAAAAAAAAAGATAATCGTTCGTTCCAGTCAAAATAACTATGCAAATTAATGCATTTAATATCGCTAATTTGAGACGTCGAACCCTAGTTTTAGGTTCCGTCTTGGGTTCCAATTAGCTGTAGACAACAATTGGCCGCATGCTTTTGACGGACAAGTCAGAGATTTGTAAGCAACATTTAAAAAAAATCGCCGCAAAAGTTCACGATTATCTCCCACCGCGGCAGAACAATCCTGCAAGAAGCCTGCAGCAAGTTCGATTTTCAAATTTCAGAGGCTCTCTAGACCAACGGGACCATCTTTGACTACGTGAGAAAATTATAACGATGTTTTATTATATGTAAATAAAGTGATTTTTCATTGATTACAGGTTCAACCCGGCCTTCAACATTGCCACTATCAAGCAAGTGGTAAACGAGGCCATAGAGAGAGGTTAGTGCAATGAACGGTCGCAATACTAAAATAGTCTCAATCAGTAAAGATAATTAAAATTAAAACTTACTTTGAAGTAATAAAGGACATAATTTTTAAGTCCTATGCTTAAAAAAAGAAGGTAATATGCAACTCGTGTAGGTTCAATTAAAATATTTTCTGAAAGTAAGCGTTTAGCTTTTTAATGCTTAAGTGAAAATTGTTTGTTATACTTTATAACAGGCGTTCCCAAACTTATTTTGTCTACTGCCCACTTTGAGAATTAATTATTTTTGAGCGGCCCCATTTTTTCACCTACTTAAAAACCACTATAGCGAGAGCTCAGTCAGTGTCTAAGAGTCCTAGATGAAGCTATACATCGCTTCCCATGTCTCTATACAACCCCCTCATTTTTATTCTGGGTCTCTTACCGCCCCCTTTTAGGCCTGCAGCGCTCATGAGGGGGCGTTATCGCCCACTTTGGGAAAGCATGCTTTAAAAGGATGAAAGAAAAAGAGTAAAAGTTACGCTTTAAGTATTACAAAAACCCCCTCTAGATAGTTATCACAAATCTTACATGTTAAAGAATAAAATAAGATAATTTACGAAGACACAGTTTCTATTTTTTTCATTTGTTCATATATGTAATTAGTTTTAATACTATTTGATTGCCAAATTCAGAAACCTAAAAGCCTAAAAGTTTTCCCCACCTATTCGCTGGTAGCCTAAGGGGCTATTCCAGTTTCGCGCGGAAGGATAGGTGAGCTCACGCGCTCAACCTGAGATAATTTGCTAACACTAGCCCTAGCAAGAGCAGCGCTTCGTAGAATCTACCACCGGATTGAAATCGCGACCCACTGATAAGATCCAGCGGGAAACTCAATGTGTTGTATCTATGGGGGTCCTAAAAGCCAAGTGTATTCGTATCGAGCGATGCGAAAATGCCTATTTCCAAATCCCAGAGCTTCCTATTTAGGAACGTAAGTACGTAATTAACAGGTGTTCACGAACGATATCCACGATGAAGAAAAGAAATCGTGTAGTAAACGTATATATTTATACGGTTGCATAATCACTGCTGGTAGGACTTATAGTAAGTCTATGAGAGTAAGTACCACCATCCTCCCTATTTCATGGGTTCCGGTTTGGAGGGTGAGAATGCCAATCACACAATCCAATTGAAACTTCGATCTCGTGTCTCAAGGTGAGATATGGCATTCATGTTCTAATGTCCCATCAAACCGTTAATGAATTAAATATAAATGTTATTTTTCTGAACAATAGTGATGTAAATATCTAAGCAGTATGCGCACCAGCTTAGCTTCCTCTAACCACTAACTCTATCATAGTAACTAGAATAGCTTTACCCCTTATAACCCGTAGGAACAGTGTCTACATAAATATTTGAAAAAAAAAAAACGTCCACTATTAATGTTTATGGATAAAATAAGACGATTAATTATATACATTAAAGATTAACAAATATAAACAGCCAGTGAAACCCAGCCAAGCTCCATTTGACTAGGTATTGCTAAAAGCTTGTATTCGATTTTAACTCCTTATTGAACACCACCATAAAACACAGAATACCGTAGCAAAAATACAACCGGATTGTTAGAATAAAATCGAAACTTTTGTAACTACCGCCGTGCCATCATTGCCGAATGTAAAAAAAAAACATTCTATGAAACATGAACAGCTTTGTAATGATTTTTTTAAAATTAAATTCTATTGCCGAAAACCTACGATCATGTTTTGGTATACCATAATTTAAATCGAGTACTATTTCGACACTGTCCCTTCCTTAACGCTTTAGCTATTAAGTAAAAAGCACTAATGCAAATGCACTGATCAATGCTTTCTATGTGTGTGTGTCGTCCGTAACAGTCGCGCCGGTTTCAGTGCGGATGCCGACACCGACCCGACTCAGGGATCTTATAAGGCAAATCAGAGCCGCTAGGACCGCCGCAGAAGAACGAAGCGTCGTCAACAAGGAATGCGCCTACATTAGGTCTACGTTCAGAGAAGAAGACAGCGTCTGGAGGTGAGTCGATAAGTGATTCTTCTAACGATTTGTCTACCAGACGCGAAAATGATTCACAATAGTACCGACATAACATAATACAAACCCGATTATATACGATCTAATATAGTTTTGCCATTGCGAGAATAGAGTCCCAACTTCGGCTTGTAGCAGAAATATAGAACGGTGACGTCATAGTGCACGCTAACAAAACGTTCTAACACCATTGATGGAACGATGATGCCATCAATTCCTAAAGGCATATAACATGTTACAAAAGTGTCATTTTTCAATGTAAGTTCATAAAAACAGCGGGTAAATATTTTTTAGCTAATAAAAACCATTTGTCCCTGAAATATAATGAAGCCAATACGTGTGTTACAAACTGTACAAATAAGGTCTTTAATATAATTAAAACGTCTACATGTCACATGTATTGATTTTTGCTGGACGTTTTGAAGTTTGGTAATTCGCCGTTGTTGCTTTGTGGTACCTAATTGAGCGTGGACTGTATTTGTTGTTTTGAGATATTTATTGTACCTTTATATGACAAATTAAAGACAATATAAGAGAAATAAAAAATTTGCGTTGCTCTTGGCGGCTGGTGAAAGAGAATGGGTATCATGGCCCACGTCACTCGCTGACATTTTGACGTTCAGAAACTGAATAACCGTTACACATATGAATGATTTTTCTGTGGCCTCAAAAGATAAGACTGTAGACTCGTATCAAGCGATGACTATACCGGTGTTCAAATAACGCAGGCAGGTACTTAACGCATTTTTTTTCTCCTATCTATTCGCTGGGAGTCTAGTCTAGGAGACTATTCCAGCTACACCCGCACGGGGTACTTAAAGAATGCTCACGAAGTACTTCCACCGCGAATGAAATCTATATATATATATATAAATGAATTGCTGTTCGTTAGTCTCGCTAAAACTCGACAACGGCTGGACCGATTTGGCTAATTTTGGTCTTGAATTATTTGTGGAAGTCCAGAGGAGGTTTAAAAGATAGATAAATATGAAAATGCTAGAAATTAAATAAAAATAACAATTTTGTTTTCCCTCTGATGTGTCCCCCGTCGGACGGACGTCCTTAAGTTTATTTTATACAAAAGTTTAGGTCTTTTAACTATCGATTGAAGCACTACGAAGTCTGCCGGGTCAGCTTGTCGTGTAATAAAAATCAAACTTGTGTTTTTTTGAGATATTTTCTGCTGACCATGATATGAACATGATGATTATCCAGCTTATTTCTGTTGCCAAGCAATAATACGTTCCGATTTGAAGGGAAAAGTGACAGTGAAAATCATGTCTCAAATGGACATCTACAATGTGATGTCCTCGGCCTCAATAACTACATAACACCACCCCGAGCCATGTTGAACCCTTTCGTTCATCCGTCGATGCAATTTAAAAATAAATCAAAACTTTCGACGCCTTTAAGGCCTAGGATGTTATATGGGTCCCAGAAACGTTATCTCGAGACAAGTAGTAGTAAACATAAACGACGTGAAGAATATATCGCAAAAACATACTGACTGCGACTAGGAATCGAACTGGTACCTCACGGTAACGTAGTCAAAGTCACTCGACCAACGGAGCGAGTGTCATCGTCGTGTGCGGTCGTTGTATCGACTATTAATAATATATGTAGTTGTTTTGAGATTATATTGCTATAAGACCGCATCGTAAACCGCACGATACGTATTTTGTAAACACGACCCAATAATACAAGATTGTGTCCCAAGTCTGCCTCCACTTAGATATAAATCTAGTGGCTTGCTAATCTTGTAATGTACAATGGCCCTCTGTAAAAAACTACAACTACGCTGTTAAGTTGTAAGTCGGGTTCTTAAGTTTTAAGTCGTGGCCTAAAGGATAAAACGCCCAGCTTACTCGTATCGAGCGATGCGACCGTGCCGGTGTTCGAATCCTACAAGCAGATACCAATTTTTTTATTTAAATTAGAATTAAGTTCTAAAAGACGTGTTCGCGTACAAATTGCACAATGAAGGAATAACGTCGGGTAATAAAAATGATAACAACATTTGTGTAATTACCATACAGTATTGATAAAGGATGTCAAGTGTCAAGCTCTATAGCGGCATTTAAGGTGGGATGTACACGAGCCCCGGTAATTTTTTGAGAGCTGAACCCGTGAGCTTTACCCAGTTTCGAATAAAAGAAATATACCAAAAAACATATCATTGTATGTATATTGAGTGTTACGAGAATAAGAGCTAAGAAAAAAACACCTCCATGTTTTAGATGCTAGTCCGCCGTTTTTTTTTTATTGCTTAGATGTTTGGGCGAGCTCACAGCCACCTGGTGTTAAGTGGTTACTGGAGCCCATAGACATCCACAACGTGAATGCGCCACCCACCTTGAGATATAAGTTCTAAGGTCTCAAGTATAGTTACAACGGCTGCCCCACCCTTCAAACCGAAACGCATTACTGCTTCACGGCAGAAATAAGCAGGGTGGTGGTACCCACCCGCGCGGACTCACAAGAGGTCCTACCACCAGTAATTACGCAAATTATAATTTTGCGGGTTTCATTTTTATTACACGATGTTATTCCTTCACCGTGAAAGTCAATCGTGAACATTTGTTGAGTACGTATTTCATTAGAAAAATTGATACCCGCCTGAGATTCGAACACCAGGGTGCATCGCTCAACACGAATGCACCGGACGTCTTATCCTTTAGGCCACGACGACGACATAATTATATATTCCTGATATTCAATTCTACATCACTTTTATCTTTGTTAAAATCGAACAAAAATATTTTACTATAGAATATTTTTTATCTTGCTTCTTATCGTGTATTATTAGAATCGATTGATTTGATTTAGCACGATGTACTCTGCATTGTGATTGTTCTACGTGTGTAATAACAAACAGTCTTATGAATAATAGCACTATGTAGGGTTGTTACTTTGAGTACGTATAGTAAATGATTTTGGATGATTTTTATATAGTCTATAAACTGTATCACATACTTAAACATACCTGCGCGTAGATCGATCGAATAAATTTGTCGTGTGACTTGTATTGTAATAAGATATTGGGGTTTAAGGGGACTTCCCTTTACATAATTACAATTATTTGGAAAAATAACGAGAAACAATTTACTTTCTCGGACAATAAGCATACTTAGTTGAAATTGATTCCATTCTAAACTTCAAAATTCTATGCCCAATTTTTTATTTTTTTATTTATGCTGCACTTTATTAAACCAGTGTTTCAAATATAATTTTCTCTTTTTATTTCTTTTTTTATTTTTTATTTTTTTAATAATCGTCTTTGCTCTCTACATGCTGTATCCATGCTATGGCTATAGCTATGACAAGCGCCGTGCCAGTAATACACTGGTATTGTACACTGTACTGGTGGTAAGACCTCTTGTGAGTCCGCACGGGTAGGTACCACCACCCTGCCTATTTCTGCCGTGAAGCAATTAGCGTTTCGTTTTGAAGGGTAGGGCAGCCGTTGTAACTATACTGAGACCCTAGAACTCATATCTCAAGGTGGGTGGCGCATTTACGTCGTAGATGTCTATGGGCTCCAGTAACCACTTAACACCAGGTGGGCTGTGATCTCGTCCACCCATTTAAGCAATAAAAAAAACTTACAAACAATCGATTTGACTATTAGGCTATAAGAAAGTTCTGGATCGAACGTTTTATAACCATTTTTTTTTTTTTCACGAAGATGTCGCAACATTGCCAAGCTCCTGTACATCCACATGCTGGGTTATCCGGCCCATTTCGGTCAGCTGGAGTGCCTAAAGCTGATCGCAAGTCCTCGATTCACGGACAAACGAGTCGGCTACCTCGGCGCGATGCTGCTTCTGGACGAACGCCAAGATGTCCATCTCCTCATCACGAACTGCTTAAAGAAGTAAGTCGCTTTACATTATTTAGTTTAAAAACTGTATTTCAGCTCTCATCCATTAACAATCTGAATGAAGTATTTACTTGAAATTTTGGAAAAATTACGAATTTAATAAATAGTATTCTCCCTAATATCAGTTCGGGGTAAATCGTTAGGAATTTTTAGGCTACGATACCAGAAGTAAAAACAGCATATATCGTTTGCTGAATAATTCAATAGATAAACACATTTTTCTTTCAAGACTCATGTGAGCATTCGTGCACACACTTCATATTACGTATAGTTTCACTAAATCAAACAATAGTTACACGGTCGGTTATTTACAACAAGCGATCTATTTCGGTCAAAATGCTCTTGATACATGAATGCGGTGGTCCGAAGATAATCAGGGAATATGCTAAACTTACTGAAACGGTAATTACTGCAGCTTAGATTCTTGATAACTTATTGTGCGTTGAGTTATAATTAAGAACTCATTCACTTGGACAATACTAGAATCGTGTTTATTAAAGAACTCAAACTATTGTCTTTTTTATGTTTGAGAGATTATTCGTGGCCCGGAGGCCTTTCCAGTTTTACCAGGGCAGGTGGGCAAGCAAAGGCTCAGCCAGGAGGGGTGGGATTTACTAACAGCTACCCGAGCGCCTCGCAGGGAAACCTAACAACTCAAGAGTAGCTAGCTGCTTCTCTTTGCCGAGTTCGACGAGTACGGTTACCGGGGTCCCTACTCCTAGTGTTAGAGCTAAAGGTGTCTAATGCAAGGGCTATTGGATCTGATAGATCCGTAAGGACATGTAAACTATTGTCATGCCAATGCACTTTGGTATTATCCATAGGCGTTGTGAATTTTTATGAAATTCTTATCAAACGCTGCAGCATATTTTATCAAGATACCGTCATGTTTTGCATATACAATTAGTCTTTTCGGGATAGAAAGCGCGTGATAGATTCAAGGTAAACTAAGCAAACATTATATATATAATCGCATTTACTCATTTTGACCTTGAAATTTAACACGTAAACCGATTTATTTCGTGATCAAACGACGAATGTACTTAATTATTAATTTAAGCTACTTTCATTTTATAAATCTAACCACAAACGAAACATGGGTAAGTGATTATTAATTTTTATAGATGTAAAAACTCCTTATTGAGAAAGGAGGTCGGGTTTCCGTCCGCTTTATTGTAACAACAAAATAGGTTAGGTATTCACGATGATGAACGATTACTAGTGTCTTAATCCGATACGCGGAGCAGTCTCGTTGTTGACCCGACGAAGTTACGACGTCGGTACACAACAAACAGACTAAGATTACCCTCACTATGCGATAATTAAAAAACGGTCTCACACGTCAACAGCGTTCGTGTGGTTATTGCCTTATATCAGTTTAGATGAGCTATTCCGCGTCCTGATATTAGTGGATACATGATCTAGTGATTGAGTTGAAGCATAAATCATAGATAATACACATAAGTTAGTTACATACAGCAACTCAAGCACTCAGCAAAAATGTTTACGGGCGTCGACCACTAGATGGCTTCGCTTCAATTAGTTTCTCATTGCTCCTGTTGATGGCATAACAAATTACCTATCCTATATTTTATTTTTAATGAAGGATTTTGTAAATTTTCATAAATCACAAATTGATAAAATTTCATAAATTTGTCTATAACAAATAAAGACTTGTATGATTTATTGAATTTTTATTTTCTGTGTTTAGTTATAGAATAATAAAATGCCTTAACTTTAACAACATATAAGTTTAGGGGCATCCGCTACAAGATGTCGCTAGGTTCCATATATAATAATATTTGTCTTAAAGTATCGCAGTTTCAGGGCCCTGGCATAAGGCTCTCTCATCTCTAATGTAAAACTAATTTAATATAGTATGAGCAAATAAAGATGAGTTTAAAAATGCTGTGGCCGAATACAGACAGGTGTCTACTGTCAGTGAATTTGAAGCCTGTAAATATGACAGCCGCGTGTCGGATGACAACTTTGGCAAATAAAAATAAAGGGCGGAATAATGCGAAATAAAGATGTGAACATACCGGTGGTCGATGGTTATGTATATGTGTGTACATGCGAGTTTTGTGATTAATAGCCAAATTTACTATTAATTTTTTTTACTGGTGATAGGGCATCTTGTGAGTCCGCACCGGTACACTACCCTGCCAATTTCTGCCGTGATGCGTTTCGGTTTGAAGGGCGGGGCACCCGTTGTACTGTTAAAAATGAGACCTTAGAACTCATGTCTCAAGGTGGATAGCGGCGTTTACGTTTTAGATGTCTGTGAGCTCCGGTAACCACTCAACACCAGGTGGGCCGTGAGCTCGTTCAACCAGCTAAGCAATAAGACCTCAAACTGTAATGACTGAAATAAGTGTTTGTTTAATTTAGTCTACCAAAATGGAGCCAAGACACACATACACGCGCATATTTGTTAATAATATAGGATATCTTGGTCGTATTATCGCTCGCTTGACGCGCGAAGTCAACGACACAGCTCATTCTCGTGCGAGCCGACAGTTTTGGCGCTAACAAGCGATTAAAAAGGTTTGGAAACGCGGGCTTTACGTTAATGACCTGGGCCGTTGGAAATATTGATTTTTTCCTATATTTTGACGCTCGGTTCATAAGAACTTCCATCTAATAATATAAATAATAATAATAAAGCCTTTTATTCGGACAACAGATATACAATTATGGGTTTTTTAAATACGTGATTTGGGTACTACCTGAGATTTTTTTTTTTGTGTCCCCAATTCAGGTCTGCTATGAGATGTTTCAGGATTATCCATTTTTTCTGGGACACCCTGTATACATAACGAAATAGGCGATTACGCCTTCGAGCTTGTTGCCAAAAAACAATAACAAAAAAAGCTAAAGTTTATATTTTTTTCAATATTTTTCGTGTCTACGTTTTTTTTTTATAAATGTCAACTCAATGATAAATTTAAAAGCAAACTTTAAAATTAGAATGTACATTGCATACTCGACACCGTTTTTAACACGATCATTGTAAAAATGTTTCAACTATATATGTATGCATGTACGGTGCTAAATAGCATATCGAATACATAGATTACTTTTTAAATATACTAGCCGTACTCGCCCGCTTTGCTGGACATTTAAAATTAACATTACTATTTATTGTCATTATTATTAGGGAGTCCAACAGTCATATAAATATTAGCCTATCCATTAAGTACATGTATTTTCTACATGGATACCATGTTTCAAGTGAATCGGATGCATGGTTCAGTAGTTATAACGGAACATCCGTAAAAACTACTGTAGATTTATATATTAGTATGATGATTCATCCGACCGATTTCGGCCATGGCGACCACTTTGACTCCTATCCGTCGGTTTGGCGATATCCATTAAGTACATGGATACCATGTTTCAAGTCAATCGGATGCATGGTTCAATAGTTATAACGGAACATCCGTAAAAACTACTGTAGATTTATATATTAGTATAGATTATGATGTACTTTGAAAGAAAAAACAGCTCATTAACTGCTTCATTCAAATTAGACAGATAACCTGCAAATGCGTTTAAAAATTAGCACTTGTCGCTAACATGTTCGTGTACTTCATTTGCATATTTATCATAACATACAATACACTTAATATACGAACCTAAAACACGTTAAAGTTAACAATGTACTATAATATATAAAGATAATTTCTTGATGATGTCAGAAACATCTATTAACATAACTATCTGACCCGACAGACTTCGTAGTGCCTCAATCGTGCCGACGGGGGACACATCAAAGGAAAAACAAAATTGCTATTTTTATTTAATTCCGAGCGTTTTCATATTTATCTACCTTTTAAAACTTCTCTGGACTTCCACAAATAATTCAAGACCAAAATTAGCCAAATCGGTTCAGCCGTTCTCGAGTTTTAGCGAGACTAACGAACAGCAATTCATTTTTATATATAGAGATAAGCACTTATCATAACATATAAATCAGGTACACAATATTAGCGTTTGTTTTTTATCTTTTGTTTTCTTCGAAATAAATATTTATAATTGATTGTCTGACTGCGACTAGATTTCAGTTGAATTTTAGCAAATAACTGTGTTTTTGTATTTTTACTTCATTAAAAAGTAGCATAATAATTGGAAAAAAAAGACGATAATTTTACATTCTGCTCGGTGGCGAATTTATTGACCACGTATCTTCTAATGAAAGCCAAATATTTCCAAATCTATATATTGATTTTTTTTCTTCTACTTACAACTTTTCTCTCTTCTCTATACATAATATGTTACGGTAAATGTACAAAATGTACACTAATGTGCACATTTGCCAAAAAGTTAGGTGTATGTGAACTGAATATAATGTATATGTATAATACATTTACCGACAAATGTGTACTCTTGCCTTTTTGGTAAATGTATACTCCTACCTTCATGTTTTAAGAAAAGTTGGAATACAACAAAATTAATAATGCCGCTGCAGTAAAAATACATTTATTTAAATAAACATAATACAAAAGGCTTTAATAACGAAAATTATTTTAATTAAAAAATGTAAATGACAAACAAAACATACTTTTCTTTGCGTATTATATAATATGGCGTAGGTTAGGTTAAGTTAGGTTGTGTGGTGCACATTACTAGCACTTGCGATTTCGTATTTTGTATGCCATGCTCACATTTACCAAAACGACATGGTCATTGTGAATTCAATGTACATTTCCCTTCTTTGAAATTGTAAATCTTATACCTTTAAACGAGCAATTCTTGTATATTAATATATTTATCTGAATCTCGGAAACGGCTCCAACGATTTTCATAAAATTTAGTATACAGGGGATTTCGGGGGCGATAAGCTACGATTTATTTTCAGAAAATGTTGTTTTACTCGTGTTTTCAATAATCAACTCTTCCCGACATTTATTGGCGAATAATAATACTATTTTTCTTAATTGAGGGCAACTAACCGCTTTAAAAACACAACAAGATGGCGTTATCAAAAAAAAACCGAGCAAAGTTCAGTCATCATCTAGTGTTAGTTGAATGCACATTACCCAAACGTGGATATGTCCAACAGTTTGCTAATCGCAATGTCTCACTTGCCCCGTTGTCAACAGCGACCTCAACAGCAACACACAGTTCGTGGTCGGGCTCGCGCTGTGCACCCTCGGAGCCATAGCCTCGCCAGAGATGGCCAGGGACCTGGCTTCGGAAGTGGAGCGTCTGATAAAGTCACCGAACGCCTACATAAAGAAGAAGGCTGCGCTTTGCGCGTTCAGAATTATCAGGAGAGTACCAGATTTAATGGAGATGTTCCTGCCGGCCACTAGAAGTCTACTTACCGAAAAGAATCATGGTTGGTAATTTGTGTATATTGCCTTTACATTGATACGAAATATGAATAAAAATGGATAATATCTAATCTTATAATAATTATTATTTTATACCTTTAAACGAGCAATTCTTGTATATATATAATTTGAATCTCGGAAACGATTTCCATAAAATTTAGTATACAGGGGATTTCGGGGGCGATAAAATGATCTAGCTACGATTTATTTTCAGAAAATATTGATTTAGTTGTGTTTTCAAATCAACTTTATCGATAATCAACATTATGACTCTTCCCGACTTCTATTGGTGAATAATAATACTTTTTTTCTTAATTGAGAGCAACTAACTGTTTTAAAGACAAAATAACACTAAAGCTACTTCAGCAGATGGCGTTGTTAAGCAATCCAAAGCCAATGAGTTTGGTTTAAGGTTAGACCAAGAAAATGTATTGTTTATTTTTATTATTTGTGTCTTTTTAACTCACTTAAAAATGCCTAAACGATCTTGGAATATTTCATCATTTTATCAATATATAATTCGTATTTAAATATAATTTCTAAAAAACACAATTTATAAAATAAAAAAATATACCGAGCAAAGCTCGGTCATCATCTAGTAGTACTGAAACGGATTGATGTTCTGTTGTTAATTCTCTATTAGTAGTTTGAAATACTTTCATAAACCGTATTAGAAGGGACACCATCGATCGATTCATTTTATATCTTGACTATACATGTTCTAGTGCATATTAGTAGTTGAGCCGCTGTGATAGCTGCTTTGATACTCAGATTTTTGTGTTCAATTATATTATAAAGTCTAATAATTTTTTTCTAATTCGAACAACAAACCTTATAGCTAAGTGCTTAATTGTGTACGAAAATGTCTAAAACTCTATCTGAAACTCTATAATAATAATGTATCATTTTAAAAAGCTATATATTGAAATCTATGTGTATTAATGTATCGGCCTTAATTGAAGCTGGAATAACCCCTTATGCTACCAGGGAATAGGTAGGGAAAAAAAACAAAAAGAAAATGAATACTATTTAAAATTACTTAATTTCCAGGTGTCCTCATAACAGGCGTTACACTCATCACCGAAATGTGTGAGAACAGTCCCGACACGCTTAATCATTTCAAAAAGGTGAGCATCCGGCATCCTTATCATTTATAATATCATTCGACGAATCATTTCGTAATTCTGTAAACAAATAATCGTTTATCGATAAAATAAGTAAACAAAAGTCTGATAAAATTAAATCGATTTTCAAATTGTACTAGAACATTCTAGAAGATCTGACTTGTGTTAACGTTTGTGTTGAGAAATTAAACATGTTTGTTGTCTACGGTTTTGTTATCTTAAATAATCCACCGCAAGCTAAGTCTAGTTGCTGCAGCAGTAGTGGCTGGCATGTAGTAGAGCTATTATTAATCAACCTTTGGAAGCTATATAATTTTTTCGTCAATTATTTTTTTTGTTAACCGGTTGATTTAATCACTCTTCAAACTTAAACTGGTTATAACGTAAGCGTAATTGGAACATAATGTTATTGATGATTTCCTCTTTCTTGCATTGAATTTCTTGTTAAATTAAAATAATTCCAAGAAGTTTTAATATAAGGGAATTGTGTAAGCAAGCCTTGATTAAGTCTAATTCCGTAAAACATATTACGAATTGTAATATTTTATAAAACCAACTTCACCCACGATAATAAAAAAATCCAATATCTTTTAATGTAACTGCATAAGTTAAAGAACTTACTAGAAGTTTCTGTTTTCACATTGAACACATTTTAAACATACCCTACATTTGATTAGAAAGTACCAATTTGTAATATAAAAAAACCTATTCTAGTAAAACTAACATTTTGTATTTGCTTGTCGTGTGAATTTGAACGTTAAGCCCATATAGTAATGTTTTTTTTTGCATTAAGACAAAATATTAACATGTTTTTGTGTTGTCCTGTAGGAGAGCGGACAGCGTGAGGTAACAAAACATAAACGCCGCTGGTTCATGCACTTTGATTTAATATTAATGTGGTTTGATGACATTCCTTCTAATATTCATTAACTCTATACCTACTCATTAAACATGTTAATATACGGTTATGCAGGGGATGGTATCTTTTAAATTTTTCTAAAAAATAATCTACCCACAATTTAATGCATGCGTGTACGCAAAATTGCGTGCGCGTACGTAAAAATGCGTGCGCATACGTAAAAATGCGTGCGAATTTAAATAAGCAACCTGTACTGTGTTAACGAATGCTCGAGAGTGAAAGTATTATTTACATTACATTACAAACAACACTACAAACCTCATTTTCAGATAAATAATATTAAAAATAAATACTCCTCTTGTCTTTCCACTTGTGGAAAACAATGTTTTATATCCTCTGCCAAGCTCGCGTATAAAGAGCAAAAACCGTCTCAGTCAAACAAACGTACTCAAAGAATACCATACAACTGTTGATACTTACCTATCTATATGTTTAAGTACTATACAAAAACAGTATGTCATAATTGAAAATTAACGTACAAAAAATTGGTTAGCAAACAGTAATACAAATTAGTTATAATAATTTTAAGGTATTTTGTCTTATTAGAGGCCTACATCCAGCAGTGGAGAGATACAGGTTGATGATGATTGTCTTATTAACATATCCAGCAGTGGAGAGATACAGGTTGATGATGATTGTCTTATTAACATATAAACACTGAATTTAACTAGAATCCCCACAACTCGACCCCAGAACTTCGACTCCAATATGATCTGTGATATTTTCAAAGTCAAATTATTTAAAAATAAATATTCAGTATATTTATCATTGTAAAGTTATCCTTGTCTGCACTGAGATAGATATGGACTGCAGTATTAAAAAAAAAATTGCAGTTTCTCTTTTTGTAAGTGAGAACCATAATAATAATTATAAATATAAATATACATGTATATATCAAGATTAGATCGAGGCTTTAATAATAGAAATAATGTCCTTAAAGATTATAGAGGCCTTATCTGAATGTCATCAGACTACAAATAAAAGCATGAGATATGTTGATTTATATATACCAATGTACGTGGGTTATATATGCATATTATATGCTTTCTATCGAAAGGCCTTAACGTAGTTTTGAGACTTGTTTGTTCATAGAAATAAGTTCTATAATCGCGTGAATGCTTTTATGTAACTTAAGCCTTTTTTATGTCGAGGTGTTTTTTTTTAAATGTGATATCACTGTATGGGGATGCACCTTATCATGTTCGATGTTAAATAGTATTTTATAAATATATCTACCTGGATTCATTGTATACATTACATTTATTTCTATTCACAAAACATTTTACTAACCATGAAACACATTTTTGAATGAATATCACGAAAAAGTTGTAATTAATCCTATGTGAGGCGGTTTGTAAAAATTTATAGATAAGTTTCCTTAATTTTAGCGTTATAGTAATATGTTTAAATAAGAAATAAGAATATAGTAGCTTCAGTACAATTTGCTTAAACAAAATTAAAGTTAAAAAGTAACCCCATATAGATCACGTATCGCGTGTTCGATCCCATTCATAGTTGTTGTGATAGTGAATGTTATTTGGTATGTTATTTGAAAGAAAATTAAAATATACTATAAAGTAATTTTTTTTCCTAATTTATGTTGAGCATAATGAAACGCCTGACATTCATTTTAAAGTTTCCATTTGCTTTTTTGCCAACAAATTTTGTTATCTGTGCGATTTGAATGCCCTTCTTGTGTACTCTGTGGCGGTGTTCTTTAAAGTTGAAAACTTTTCTTTTTTTAGATCGTTCCTAATCTGGTGAGGATATTAAAGAATCTGATACTGGCCGGATATTCTCCGGAACATGACGTCAGCGGCGTATCCGATCCGTTCCTGCAGGTATGTTCCCGGTCGATTGTGTCGTCACAAGTAACGTCAACAGCTATTAGTATTTAACCGATGTCTTAGAACCACGGGAGACAAAGTTGTTCTGTCGTCGGTGCCTTGTTGAGTAAACTGACGATCAGAATTCGGAATTTATATAAATGGAGGATTATCTTGAAATTATCGTTTGCACGACGTTTGCACGTCTAGCTTTTGTCGGATTAGTAGCGTTAGTAAAACAATCATTATTTTCGAAATCGTGCCTTCTACTTCACGGTTAATTATTACACTAGCTTTGAGACTTCTCATGTCTCAAAGTGGCCGTTAGTTATGCTGTGGTGTCTGTCAGCTCTGGTAACCTCGTTAACAACTTTTATTACTATAATAATAATAATAACAATAATACATGAATTAAACAGATCTTTAACACAACGTATATAAAAACAGAATAACGACCAGGCCATAGTATATCTATGTATTTAATAGCTTAATGCAATTAACTTGCTTCACGAATAAACATTAGATCTTTATCATTACCGAATAGAGATAAGAGACTGTCGTAACCGTGTTGCACACTGTACACTCTCCAATGACTCTAAATCATAATATCGCTCATTCGGACAGTGACATAATTGCTAAATATTGTGAAATTGATTTAATTATACCACAATGATTTTTTTTGCACTTGGATATGGTTTGATTATTTTTTTTTAAAAATTTGTCTCCTTTCAAGCCTTCAGACTTCAAACTACAAAAGTAAAATAAAAGAGATAGTCATTACCTATCAGAAATATTTAGAATCTTCATTAGTATTACGAAAACTGGCGTGGTGTAAAATTTACAAATTTACAGTTGTGTCACAGTCGCTCCAAATGAGCGATATAATAAAAACTGATCTTCTATATTATTCACGATAAAAATGCTCTTCAATTTGACAAAATGGCAAACGTCCTGTTTGTTTGTCATCAGGCCACGAAACAAAAATAATTGACAAACCATGTGACTATTTATTTTAATGTACCGTTACAAAATTGTAGGTGAAGATACTGCGTCTGCTGCGGATACTGGGCAAGAACGACGCCGAAGCTTCGGAGGCGATGAACGACATATTGGCCCAGGTGGCCACCAACACGGAGACCAGCAAGAACGTCGGCAACACCATCCTGTACGAGACGGTGCTGTCGATAATGGACATCAAGTCCGAGAGCAGCCTCAGGGTGCTGGCCGTCAACATCCTGGGGAGGTTCCTGCTGAACAACGACAAGAACATCCGCTACGTCGCGCTCAACACATTGCTGAGGACCGTGCACGTGGACACCTCGGCCGTGCAGAGGCACCGGACCACCATCCTCGAGTGTCTCAAGGTCTGAATAGCTTCTCATCGTGTTGTGACATGCTGACCATGGCTGACGTTAGCACATTAAACTATTCGTGGAAGTATTAACTATTGAGTCGTGTGCTCGTGGTAGGACGTCTTGTGAGTCCGCACGCGTACTTACCACCACCCCATCTATTTCTGCCGTGAAGCAGTAATGCGTTTTAGTTTGAAAAGCGGGGTAGCCGTTGTACTGTTTAAAAGTGAGACCTTAGAACTCATGTTTCAAAGTGGGTGGCGGTATTTACGTTGTAGATGTCTATGGGCCGTGAGCTCGTCCAGCAATCAGATTAAAAAAAGGGTAGGCATAGGAGTTGATTTGTATAAGAACGTCATGGCATGAAAAGATCTTTTTTTCGCACTCGGAGAAGGGTGTATTGAATTTGATTAAATTAGTTGAAAGTCGAATTCCTTGTCCCCCCAGGACCCGGACATCTCGATCCGGCGGCGCGCCATGGAGCTGTCGTTCGCGCTGGTGAACGGGCAGAACATCCGCGGCATGATGAAGGAGCTGCTGGCGTTCCTGGAGCGCAGCGACGCCGAGTTCAAGGCGCACTGCTCCAGCGCCGTGGTGCTCGCCGCCGAGCGGTACGCGCCCTCCGACAAGTGGCACCTCGACACGCTCTTCAAGGTCCTGCTCAAGGTAACCACGCCACGAACACTTGGCTACGATTTTTTTTTTTTGCTTAGGTAGCCGACTCGTTTGTTCGTGAATCGAGGACTTGCGATCAGCTTTAGACACTCCAGCTGACCGAAATGGGCCGGATAGCCCAGCATGTGGATGTACAGGAGCATGGCGATGTTGCGACATATTCATGAAAAAAGAATAAGGGTTATAAAACGTTCGATCCAGAACTTTCTTATAGCCTAATAGTCAAATCGATTGTTTGTAATTTTTTTTTATTTTATTGCTTAGATGGGTGGACGATCTCACAACCCACCTGGTGTTAAGTGGTTACCGGAGCCCATAGACATTTACAAAGCAAATGCGCCACCCACCTTGAGATATAAGTTGTAAGGTCTCAGTATAGTCACAACGGCTGCCCCACCCTTCAAACCGAAACGCATTACTGCTTCACGGCAGAAATAGGCAGGGCGGTGGTACCTACCCGTGCGGACTCGCAAGAGGTCCTACCGTCAGTGTGAATTCATCTATCTACTGGTGCTAGGGGGGCTTGTGAATCTGCACACGTAGGCACCACCACCCCGTCTATTTCTACCGTCAAACATTAACGCGTTTCGGTTTGAAGGGCGGGGCAGCCGTTGTACTGTCAAAACGTGAGTCTTTGGAACTCATGTCTTAAGATGGCATTTACGTTGTAAATATCTAAGGGCTCTGGTAGCAATTATATTATAACTTTTGGAGGTGAGGACATTGAGAAGGTATAATCGCTCAGTAGATGGACGATCCAAATGTTATTGTTGGGAACTTGTATATATATGCACACTTATTCAAATTGTAATTAGTGAGATTCAGGCATCATTCAAATAGCTTGTGTTCTATCATAGCTACCTCACAAACTCTAACTTAATTTAAACAATTTTCCTCGACAGCTATTTATTTAAGCTCCACTGATTCGTTAGGACTAATAAGTAGCCGTGTTCTTTTACAAAGCTATTTTGCCTAACGGCCTTTTTTGGTGTAGGGTAGGTGAGGTGATTGTAAATGTCAGTAAATATTATTATGTCGGAATTTGAAAGTGTCAATATTTCCCGATGTACAGTCCAAGTTTTAGATAGACATTTCGAGCTCCGGTCACCGTTCTCATCGAATCCGGTGGTAGATTCAGCGAAGTACTACCCTTACTAGGCTAATGTTAATTTAACCCATCGAGGTTATTAGGGTAGGTAGAATAAAAACAAAAAAAAAACATGAGCGAGTTAAACAAAACCAACTTCAATACGATTTGGTTCCAGGCCGGCAACTACTTACGAGACGACACGGTGTCGAGCACGATACAGATCATATCGTCAGCGGCGACGGAGCGTCAGGCGTACGGCGCCATGCGACTGTGGACTTCACTGGAACAATCGGCTGTCTCGGGACTTGCCACAGAAAAACAACCTTTAATCCAGGTACATTTAAAGTCCTATTTATCTTGATAACATAAATGTGTTGTGCGCTTTTGAAGCGGTGTAAGACATGAGAAACCAAAGCTCTTTTAATACAAAAATTTTAAAATTCCAATATTCATAATACATGACAAATAAACCAACCAACAATTAAAATAAAAAAATTGTCACATTAGGTACTATATTAAAAAATGAAATTATTTAATTGTTTTTCAATAAAATCATTTATGTCAAATATTGTCATTTGTCTTAAACATGGTATATTTTTTGTCTATTGACTTTTTTTATGTAACTGTAGTATTTATCTAAAAAAGTATTTCATTTGCTATTGGGATATATATTATATTATACTGTGTTATTTTTGTTTATATATTCATTAATTGATAATATTAATAATTTTAGGTTGCCGCTTGGACTATTGGTGAATATGGAGATTTGTTAGTATCGGAAGCCAGCAGCGCCATCTCTATGGTGGACGAAGATGGTGTCGGTGAGTTACAAAAACGTGTTTTTTAACTTTTTAAATCGCACATCTGGCCATAAGAATCCATATCTTACTATCTATGGTAGTTTTCCAATGACAGCATAAGAGCGCATTATGCGGCATAACGCTCAACGTTGAATGTTCCAACTACAGCAACGCTTTGCACAATCGAGCACTCTTAAAACTACTGCTCTCACGTGATACTCGCAATCGATACCGACTCAGTGACAGAAAATTGACAAGTGTTTTTTCTTTAAGTTGGCATTGATCGAAATTTTGTTTATATTATCGTTAGTAATATTATTTAATGTTGAAAAAAATTGTAAGGCTTTCGTTTCGTCGTAGCTTCTTAGAAATAATCAATGTTAATTAAAACTGTGCTAACTTAGCGCACTCTGCTGATGCATTTGAAAACTAATTCACATTCCAATTAAGTTTCAGCATAATTCGGCATTGTGCGTCACTGAGTCGCATTATGCTCTGTAATTGGAAAACTACATATATTGCCAGTTTCTATAGTGCACCTATTTCTGTCTGCTTTGCAATCAAATGAATCATAATGCTGCTTCGGTCACAGATCTTCTTTTTATTATAACCCCTTAGATAGTGGTCCTATGACCAAGCTGCCATTTAGTGTTTTAGGTATTAGGCACGACCGTGGACATCCATCTTGCTCATTTCTGCAGCGAAGTAATTATGTGTTCTGGTTTGATAACTATAATAAGCTTTATGCAATAAATGGGTTCCTATACCAATTAAAATCAGCTGGACCATTAGCTGACTGACAGTCGTGTAGTTTCCACTATTAATCATAGACAATTTATTTTGTTTTTCAGATGATTTTGTGCGGCCGACTGAAGAATACGTGATTGACATATATCAGAAGCTGCTTTGGTCCACGCAGCTCTCGATCAGCACTAAAGAGTTTCTTTTACTTTCTTTGGCCAAACTGTCGACTAGATTCACCACGCAAGCCAGCCAGGAGTAAGTTCACGAGTAATACTGGTATTCATTTGCATCAAAATGTTGTTGACTCTGTCTTTGATGGAAAACTGGATGTTGATGAATAATTCAATAACTGAAAAGTCACGTTAGGAGATATATTTATTGTATAGATAAATATTATTCAATATCGGACATAATTGTTTAATGAAAGATACGTATCGCGCATTTTCACCATTGTTAAATTGGCTAATAATAATAAAGAAATAATCTGAATTCTTCTGTGATAAAGAAATGTTTCTGTGACTCTGATGCGTAAACTGCGAGTCCTATAGCAACGGTTACCATGGCAACTTGTACTATGCGCCTGTATTACTGTTATGTGAAGGTAGATAGATGACAAATCATGATAGAACTAACATAAAATTCGTCCTTAAAATAAAGCTTATATCTAACAAATAATCAGTCAAATTTATCGTCGATTGGACGAATAGTATCGTTGTTTACTGACTAATCTTACTTTATTTACAGAAAAATAAGAGTGATCATAGACACGTTCGGATCTCACATCCACATCGAGCTGCAGCAGCGAGGAGTTGAACTATCCCAACTCTTTAGGTAAAAAAAATTTAGTTTTAATTGTAATTTTAATTTATAAAAACAGACTAATGCTTAGTGACTTCTATGTGATATAACAGAACAACTCTTTCATTGTGTAATTTTATTTATTTTGAGTTACAATAAAACTTGAACAAATTTAACACTTTTGATATAAATTAAAAACAATAAAAGCTTAAAACCATATTTATCAATGTCAAATCCAAGAACTTTGCTGAACCTCGTAACATTTATGTTGTATATGTTCTATATCATATGTTTCAAAGGTATTTTATGTATATTTTATATGTAAATTGCTTATTCTTATTTATGTGTAAAGAAGCAAATTTTTTAATAATCTATATATTAATACGTGAAGCAAAACTTTGTATCCCTTTTTACGAAAATTGCGCGGACGGAGGAGTACGAAATTTTCCACACTCATAGAGAATATAGAGAAGAAGTGCACAATGCTAATATTTTTTTAAAATAATGCATAAAAGATACATTAAAACAATAAAGAAAACATTACACACACTACATACCATGTATTTGACGCACACACGCATGCATACTATTAATTTGTCAAACTTTTGTTCTTGGCGTCTGTTGTCAAATTGAGAATAGATTAAATATTGTTTTCCTTTGTTAATACTTTTTATAGTGTAGTTTTGGCGAAATTTGTGAAGTATAAAATGCAATAGTATAAAATAATAGTGTACAAACTTTACAATTCCAATTAATTATAGTCGAATTTCGACTACTGCGGGACCTCTAGTATTAATATAACATTATAACCTAATATTACATTGTGTATTAATAATTGTATGTATATTTATGGATATATGTATGTATCTATGTTAATGTGTGTATGTATATGTATGTGTACACATATATATTTCACTGGATTGGTACACCGCGCGTTATTCGTTTCCAAATGATTCTTGTCCACCTGATGGCTGTCTGGAAGAGATCGCTCTTAGCGATAAGACCGCCAATTGTACTTTTTGTATTTAATGTATCGCAGTGTTTATTTGTTTTTTGGTTACAATAAAGAATACTCTCTCTCTCTCTCATTTGTATCATCTGTATAAATTCTCTATTGGTATTGGTATTCGTTCAGACAATACGGGCACCTCCGACCCGCGCTGCTGGAGCGCATGCCCGCCATGGAGCCCGTCGCCGCGCCGCACCGCGACGAGCAGGAGCTCGATCTCAGCGACACCAGCCCTGACCACACTAAGCCTGACCAGGTAGGTACTTGAACATAAGCAAACTTTGGTTTTTTTTTATTGCTTAGTTGGGTTGGACGAGCTCACAGCCCACTTGGTGTTAAGTGGTTACTGGAGCCCATAGACATCCACAACGTAAATGCGCCACCCACATTGAGATATAAGTTCTAAGGTCTCAAGTATAGTTACAACGGCTACCCCACCCTTCAAACCGAAACGCATTACTGCTTCACGGCAGAAATAGGCAGGGTGGTGGTACCTACCCGCGCGGACTGACTCACAAGAGGTCCTACCACCAGTATAATATAGTTGTGGTAATTTGTTTAATATACACTGCTGCTTCACGAAATATCTTATTATATACATAAATTGATATTGTATTCGCAAATATATATGCTAATTTAAGCTCATCAAAGATAATTAAATGAAAAAAAATTCTTAATTATACTAGAATTTAATAAAATGATGGGTCATGTTAACTAAACATGATATATGTATATATCGTCACTTGGTACCTATGAACGCTTATTTCAGAAAATAGTTACGTATAATAAGTGAATGGCAAATACTGATTATTTGAAATTGAATAGGACGCCTTATTGGACTTAATTAACGGGTCTGATTCGTTGACGAACGGAGATGTGGAACACCAGCCTGAACAAATCGCTACTACCAACAATAATACTAGCAGTAATGTGAGTCTTTTTCAAATTATTCTTATACCATATAAATATTAAAAGGAAGTCGTGTAGTTAATGAATAATAATTAAAAAAAATATCTATACACACAGGACATCTTAGACTTGCTGAGCGGTCTAGATCTAACACCGAGCGTACCCGCCGCCGCGCCCGCCGTGCTGCTCGCCAACAACAACGTGGAGCCGAGCGCCGCGCCCGCCGCGCTGCTGCTGGACGGGCTGTTCGCGCCGCCCGCGCCCCACCAACCCCCCCACCCGGCCGACGGTATAGCATCCCAATCCTCTTCTTGGACTCAATCAGTGGTGCTGTACTTGCGCTCCTGACTGTAGGCCCGAGGGTTGTGGGTTCGATTCCTACATCGGGCAAAACGGTTTGCGGTAGGCAGCGGCTTGACTCTGCCCCTGGCATTGCTGAAGTCCATGGGCGACGATAACCACTCACCATCAGATGGGCCGTACGCTCGTCAGACTACAAGGACAATAAAAAACTGAATGTTTGTTACCTGTATATTATGAAGTGTAGAGGTAAGAAGAACCATCTCTGTGTGTAAAAAGTGTCCGTTAAAATCTGCTAAATAAGGGTAGCGCTACAGTAGCAACCGGGTAAATTTTAAAAAAGGCGCTGAAAGTTATTAGAATAAGATAGAGAAATAAAAAAGGACGAAAGAACTGTAAGCACTACAAAATTACAAAAAGTATTTTATGTAAAGCTGATAAGAAAATGCAATCGATGTCTCCACATTTTACCACAGCAATAATTTTAGGTTATATTGACGAAATTAGTTTGGACTACGTAAACATGTGAGGTCTTGTATATTATACTGTCCCTAATTACTCTAGTCATTAAATATATTAAATTTCTTAACTCAGCACACTTCTATCAGTTAACAACTGCTCAATTCATATCCATACCCTGTGCCTATGCTAGCGCCATTCTCGAGGATTTTTGAACTGTTATTTAGTGCTGAAAGTGGGATACTTTTTCAAGTTTCTTCCTATATCAGACGGTTCTCCGGACGTTTCGGTTTGAAGGGTGGGGCAGCCGTTGTTATTATACTGAAATCTTAGAACTTATATCTCAAGGTGGGTGGCGCATTTACGTTGTAGATGTCTAACTTAACTGTCACTTAACACCAGGTGGACTGTGAGCTCGTCCGCCCATCTAAGCAATAAAATTAAAAAATTAAAATAAAAATGAATTGTTGAGAATTATTTTTGCTTCTGAATCATTTAGCTAATGAAGGGTATGCGGCAGGGGCGGAGTGGGAGCGCGCGGTGCTGGAGCGCGGCGGCGTGCGCGTGTGCGTGTCGGCGCGGCGCGCGGCGGGCGCGGCGGCCACGCTCACGGCGCGCGCCACGTCGCAGCTGCACACGCTCACAGACTTCCTCTTCCAGGCCGCCGTGCCGAAGGTACTCGACTTAATACTTATCGATCATTTGTACTGGACTCACGAACGAGTCCCTGCCTATTTCAGTCGTGAAGCAGTAATGTGCTTCAGTTTGAAGAGTGGGGTAGCCGTTGTACTGTTAAAACTGAGACCATAGAACTCATGTCTCAAAGTGGTTGGCGGTATTTACGTTGTAGATGTATATGGGCTCCAGTAACCACTTAACACCGGGTGGTAAGCGATAAATAAATAAAAAAGTATAAAAAGTGTATATATTATATTTATTTACAGAAAATCCAGTTGGATATGATGTCTCCATCCGGCACGACGCTATCGCCGCAGGGAGAGATCACGCAGGTGCTCAAAGTTACCAACCCGACCAAGGTCAGTTAAACCGTATCTCTACACCCGCTAGTTTATTGGAGATTTCGAACTCGAACAGGAGATCATCTTTAAGGTTTTGAGGGAAATTTTTTTTTATGGGTGGACGAGCTCACAGCCCAGTTGGTGTCAAGTGGTTACTGGAGCCCATAGACATCCACAACTTAAATGCGCCACCCACCTTGAGATATAAGTTCTAAGGTCTCAGTATAGTTACAACGGCTGCCCCACCCTTCAAACCGAAACGCATTACTGCTTCACGGCAGAAATAGGCAGGGCGGTGGTACCTACCTGCGCGGACTCACAACAGGTCCTACCACCAGTAATTACACAAATTATAATTTTGCGGGTTTCATTTTTATTACACGATGTTATTCCTTCACCGTGGAAGTCAATCGGGAACATTTCTGCCTATCTCTTTAATTTCTCGCAATTATTTCATACTAGCTTTTGCCCGCGACTTCGTCCGCGTGGAATATTTACTTTGGCATAACGCTAAATTTAACCCTCACTTCATTTACGTAGAAAGTGAAAATATTTTGAAACATTCTTTGTTGGTGTTCCACTTGTATGGGTCTCATGATGTTATATAGCCTATAGCCTTCCTCAATAAATGGACTGTCTAACACTGAAATATTTTTTTAAATCGGACCAGTAGTTCCTGAGATTAGCGCGTTCAAACAAACAAACTCTTCAGCTTTATAATATTAGTATAGATTACATATTATATTAACTGTTTTTGATCCCTCCAACGTCGGATGTACGTGAAGTGAGTTGTAATTGGCAATCATTAGATGTCTTGTTAATTCCACATAAGACAAGTAACTTTGCTCAATGCAATACACGACAAAAATGTTTTAAATTACAAGTGTCTTATTGACTATAATACGATAGATGTTGACATGGCTGTGCCTAGCATTGCCAATGTTGCACAGTGGAACTCCAACGCTCGCATCTCCAGATTTAATTCAAGCGCAATATAAGTGAAACTTACACTATTTGTATTTCATTCGTTATTTCTATGTCTGTAGACGCATCCAACTGTTTAGGAATTTTATGTAACGCGCTGGTGTTCGGGGTAAATAAAAGAATGTACCAAAATACAACTAAACACTGTATTCAACACTTAGAACAATTAAAACACTTCACAAACGCTTTAAAATTCTAAATTCGCCTCTCCCGCTTCGCTTCGGGTGATCCGTTCGCTGTTAGGCTTCGAGTAGTTCCGGTAGCGTGCAATTTCTGCAACGCTTTTATAGCCGATTACACATTCCTAGAATTATCGAGAATATTCCACACATCTCTAGTATTATGTTTCCGCTATCTGACAATAGATGGCGTTGTACTTCTCGAGCGTTCTAGGTGCTACTAGATCCCTTCCATATTCGTTCGACTATTTGGTGATAGATGGCGTCACTCTTACCGGCGTAACATTAATATTTTAAGAATAATATAATTGAATAACACTTTCTCGTTTCAGACCCCGCTTCGGCTGCGGATAAGGGTGTCTTACAACATTGACGGCACCCCGGTATTGGAACAGACGGAGATCAACAATTTCCCGGCCGACCTGTTCAACTGACGAAATGCCACGCCCCCCGCCTACGGTCTGTAGGCGAAAACGGACTATTGTGTGAAACGAAGTGCCGCGAATAATGTCGTACGGATATGTGATTCTGTTCCGGGCTACCCGGACATGTGTGAGCCGATCTATACTTCGCCTGGAAAACGTCTCGGTTAAATGTGCGATATAATTAAGTCATTCATTTCAATGTTGCAAGCTAACGGTCCTCATATCGGCACGTGTTGCATTAGAATTCGTTGAAAAATAAATGTCATCAAATTAACAGGTGAGTTAACATATCGACGCTTGAAAGGCAAACATGACTAAGCGACAATGCGTGAACTTTACAGTAGACTAATTTAAAGTTGAAATACCTGAAAATAAATCTATTTTAACGAATCTAGCTGTAGGATTGAAATTATTTTAATAGACCTAGAAATATATATTTTTTTGCGCATCGAATATGTTTATTGCCTATCATTTATGTACAAAGCAGATAATGTCGCTTAGTCACGTTTAGCCTTTCAAGCGTCGATATTTATATAACAGACTTGTTATGTTTAGAAAACTCCAATTGGAATTTACCTCTGGAGAATCACTTAACAAATCCACTTTAAAAAATATACATACCTAATTTATTTTCACCTTTTTTAGGTGAATGTACTTTGTAAATGAAATTATATTTATTTTATTACTAAAAAGTTCATACACTTGTAATTAAGAAATTTATTTGCCAGTCTCGGTAATCTTTTGACAATTCGATTATTCTGGATGTAAAGCGAAAAAAACTCATGAGTCTAGTTGATCCTTACAAAAATGTTTTAAACGTGAACTCACAGCCTATTGAAATCGAATAATTAAACAAGGAGGGACAAATCCCACACGCCTCCAAAAATACATCCTTGTACCACGAGAACCAGAGGCTAAACATTCGAAGAAAACTAACAAACCTTTTAGAATGTAGTTGTTATCGGAACTCTTAGATAATTAATTTAGTAATTAACGGTTCTGCCCCAGGCATTGCTGAAGTTCATGGGCAACGGTAACCAATCACCAACAGGTGGGCCGTACGCCCGTCTGCCTACGAGGGCAATAAGGAAAAAAGAGCCTGGAAAATACTACCACCTTGACATATTCGATTAGTCGCAATTTATATCGGCTGAGTTCACTGTGGTAATGTGATAAAAATTAATATTTTAATGTTTATGAGTGTTTCGTACACCATGTCCATCTGTACTTTGGTTGTCAGATCGTCCTTTGGCAGACGTGATAGTAGCACTCGAGTTTTAGAGATGAAGAGTTCTGTTTTCTCACTTGCTTTTTGTGGGTTGGCGAACAGCTCCTTGTATATACGATGTGGAGGTCGGCTATCACCAAACGCACCTCTTAGGGACGCGAGGGCGTGATCCCACTTGTTCATGGTAGTCTTAACTCCTTGCCACCATGTCGCGGCTTCATGAGTTAACAACATTGACAACCCACGTAGTGCAATAGTTTCGCTTACGTTTGCGCATTCCTTGTAGGCCTCTACGGCGTCTATAAATCCGTCAAGTGATTCGTCTGGCGCTCCGCTGTAGCGAGCCTTGCACGAGGCGAAGTTTCCGTGTGCAGGTTGAGCGGGCGGGGGCGATGACCGCTGCGATTGGTTGAGAACTGTATGTAGAAGTTTCTCAAACGTTTCCTCTTGGTTACGTTGCCACGTAGACATCATGGCGACCATGTCGTTGACGGAAATGTTTCCCGATGCAGTCGGCGGCGGGGAAGAATCGTCCTCTGCCGGGTCGAAATACTCGGATTGTCGACGAGACTGACGACGTGCGCGCGGTTTTGTCATTTTGTACGATAGTCACTTCTCACTAAGTTCGCAAATTGAAAAAAAAAAACAAACTTTCACAAAGAGTTCACACGTGGTTTATTCCAAAGCCACTAGTTGGGCGTCCATTTTTAATGTTCATGAGTGTTTCGTGGGTTACTTTGGAATAAAACGTCGAATAATCGTTCGAGAGGTTAATGACTATGACTAACTTTAAAACAAACACTTTAATCAATCTTACTATAAGCGCACGCGCACACACAAGTCGCAACAACAATAATACAAAATGGAGAACGTCTCAGCGCGTCGGCGTCAGTCTATCATGCGCAAGCGCAGTGGCGGCTTGCGATGGCGGCGCGGTCGCGGACCAATCACGGCAGGTTGAGGCGCGTTCCGAGGAACGCGCTGATGGGAATTAAGGGTGCGTTCGGAAATGTCCCGTCGCGTTATAATATGTTACCTTTATGTATCACAAGATTCGGTATGAACAGCAGCGATCGTGTGAACAGCTAGTACACAGTTTGTCGGAGTCCCTTAAAGTCTACGATTTAAGAATTATCGTTATGAAAAAAATCTAAAAAACATAATGAAAAAAACTTTAGTAGAATACTCGGATTGTCAAATATTTTATATTTATTACAAGGATGTTTATTAAGTCTCGAGTCAGCTTTATGACGCTTCCACAACTTATTTTTACTAACCGATTTCGCCACATTCCGTTATTGAAATTTTAAATATCATAATTTATTTTTATTTCCGAAATTTGTATTGACGGACTGCTTGCATAATGTCCTAAACGTATGCACTGGACTATTATAGGTATATTGAAATTATTTTGATAATTATCTAACGAAGAGATTATTTCTAAACTTATTACTAGGTCTGCCTTTGAATTTTTCGACTGAATTGTTCATTACGCGAAAATACTTGAAAAATACTACAATCTATGAACATTTAAGAAAAAAGAAATTTACTCTTTGTTTGCTCATGAACGACTGTTTCACTTGTAATAAGCAATAATATTCTTAATATTACTGTAATGTACACTATAATAATATAAATATACGAGTCAATTGATTTTAAGTATTTTTGAATGATCCAAAAAAAATTAAAATCCGTTATGAAAATAACATTCCTAAATAAGTAAACTGTTATTTTCTCATAGATCATGAAGTTTCATTAAACATGTATCCTAAACAAATTCTAAATTGTCATTTGTGTAAATAAAAGATTGACATTCTTAATATGTTAAGTTGATACTGTGAGAAATGGAGGGCTGAACGAATTGTACTTAAATAATGTTATAATCGAAATCTTTATAAATATAAGAAGAATATTATGGAATACAATTATTTTATCATTATTTGATGAATACTATATGAAGGAAATATAAAAATGGCATCTTGAATGATAACTTTTAATGTGGAGTTGATCGTTTGTGAATATTGTAGTGTAAAATTTTAAACTTACTAGCGTGCAAAATTTCAATTAATTTAAGAAAATTATAAATATCTATTTATATTCAAATTTACTGTGATTTGTTTTATTTCAAGCTACAGATCTAACTCCTCATATTATTAAAATATTTTAATTACTCGTTTTGGAATGTTATATGTAATGCATGCTTTTTTTTTTGTTAAGTCTAGTTATAATCTTAAGAGATTTTTCTCGTCAAATAAATTGTGTTTATGTTTTCACGCAGTAAAGAAAATTAAACCGTAATAAATTATTACCGTTTAAATGTATTGCTTAAAAGAAAAATGTATATAATAATTAAAGAAACATCTGGAATTATAAAATAAATTATTCAATATTTTTAATGAAAATAAATTAAGAATATTACGGTCAGAAGGTTTTAGATGTTACTTTAATTTTTATCCTATTTATATTATTTTAGTTGATGCACTAACCAGCACTATGTAGTTATGTTAATAAGAATTAGTAGTAAATCCTCACCACATAGAAAGCTTATAGCTTCTGCAGCTGCAATTACTTCTCTTCAATGAGAGAAAATGGCAATTACCAAATAAAATATTAGTAAAACCATTTGGAACAATATTACATAACGAATCTGTTTATTAAAATTAGTATGAATCAATCTTATTAGTAAATAACCTAATCCCCTGACTGTGTACAGAATTAAGATGTATTTTTCATACTATAAAGCTCCATATTGTATTTGTGAATGTTTTTAATTGTTCAACTTATTAAAAAAGAGCTTGGCAAATTGAATATATATATATTTGTAAGTTGGTGCTTAGTTTTACTATAATATAATCTAATAAATAGAAGGCCCTCCACGTTGTGAGATGTTATCATTTTGTGTATCTAAAGCTATGTGAAAGATGTACATAACGATTATAATGATTTTATGTAAATTGGTTAATAAATATTTGAAAATGTTTATATAATCAAAATGGCTTTTATTAATTTGTTTATACTGTCGGAAAACTCTGATTTCATTGTCCCTATTCTTTTCTAGATAAGACAAGCTTGTAAGCGTATCTAAGAGCCTTTTAATCGCAAATTATAGCCTCAATAGGATGATAATGGAAAATGGTCATTGGTCTGTAAAAATCCTCTCTAAATACTTTGCCAATCAAATAATTACAATTCCAAAACGGAATGCCTTTGAATAGAAATTCATGAGCCCTTTGCTTTACTACTAAACTGGACAGAATTTTAATACTGCTTTTAAATTTTATTATTTGTATAAATTTTATTAGATACATAAAATAAAACAGACCAATCGCGTATTTTTACATTTTTATTCTAAAGTGAGAGGTTACAAAAAAAATTTCACGATATAATAAATGTCATTCACTCGATCATAGGTGTGGGAGCAGCTTGGCGTCCGCACACGCTGTTGAAAAGTCTATCTTTGATCATCTGTGCCATCAGTCCGTGTATAACTTCGATGGTAGTCTTGCAGGCGTCTTTTGTAGCTTTACCCAGTTTGTCCTCAGTGCGCTTCTCGTGGGGATCCGCGCCGGCAACTACGAATGCGCCACGACCTGCAATTAGACAGTGATTTTCCGTTAGAAATTTTAACTTAATGGGTATCATAACAGCATCATATTTTTAGTAAAATAGTCCTTGTTGTTTCCGGTAGGTTAGTCAAACATTTTACAGCGGTTGTAAATGGGAAAAGGCTATAGCTAATTTATGTGTATTATGTATTATCTATGGACCATGGTTGGTGTTACAAATTCACAAAAAATCCGATCGAAAATAAATATTTTCTAATACCGTTAATACTAATATTTTCATTACATTACATAACGCATTTTCGAAATCAAAGGCAGCGTTAGGTCAACGGTGATATGCGAAAGTTCGTTCTTTTCGCGCACAAAACATGACGACCCAGATGTGATAATTAAGTAATGGCAATTTTTTTTCAATTTCTGTTGTATTTGTCTATCATTACAATTAAAACCAGAATTTTTCCCTTGCAAAATTTCCTTTTTCTTGACTGATTACAACAGTTTATGCTTTGCTGAAAGCTCGCAAATATTTCATAAGTAAGTCAAAAAGCCTAAATCTTGATTAAAAACCAATAACACTTACCTAAACACACTTCACTCTGCTCTAGTTTGTCTGAAAGATCAAATATCTGACCAGTTGTATAATCAGCATTCGTTATCAAACTCGAACTGCTGAGAGTATTAACCCAGTACTTATTCCAAAGAGAATCCAAAAGTCTTCTGTCCAGAGATGATTTGAAATATGAGACCTCCAATGAGTAATATTGTTTGCAGTGCACTCCAAAGTCTTCAATTTTATTGAGAGGAATAGTTTGGTATTCTGAAGGTTCTTCATTTGCTGGTTTGTAACCCTGAAATAGTGAGGGAATGCTTGGGGTACTTGGGTCACCATTTTAGATTAACATTTTGAGAATTTTAAATTATGTTATCCAAAACCAGGTCATATTTATTTTTAAGACCAGTTAAGTCTTCACTTTAACTTATTCAATACATTTATTGTTGTTCTAGCTCTTATCTCTCTCTAACTGTAGCTTATAAGAAGTTATTTTGGTAAACCTTACCTTAGGATAAGTCCTGAATGCCCCAAGACAAACTTTACCAGCTGAGATTGTTCTCACTGGATCAATGACGATGGCCACAAAAGGCTCCTGGAAGTTCTGGTTGAGCATTTGTGTTGACACGTCAATACCTGACAGCCAACAACCATACCCAGGGTGGCTGTGATACCAACCAATGGCATTTTCATGACGTCCAACCTGCATGCAAATTATAAATTATCTGGGTTTTGTGCAATGTGTCACTAAGACAGTATCATTAACTAACACATAAATCTCACCAAATTTGATTTTTTTGTTTAAGCATTTTCATTTGCATTACCCAGAGCACTGCACTATAAGGTTCAGAGTTTACTGGAGGTAAAACGCCTTGTGACCCCACACAGGTAGATACCACCAACAATTTTTGCAGTAATACGGTAATATTTTTCAGTTGTATTAGGTGAGACAGTCATTGTGCTTTAAATTGAGACTTAAAAGTTATGTCTCAAGGCGGTTGGTACCATTTACGTTAGATGTCTATGGGCTCCAGTAACCACTTAACACCAGGTGGGCTGTGAGCTTGCCCACCCATCTAAGTAATAAAAAAAAAAAAAAAAAAGCCTAGGTCTACTCATTTTTATCATGTATCAAGCACCCTTTTAAGCTTTTGGGATATGGTAAACTAAATCACATGAACAATGACAGTACTTCTTAGAGCAAAGTTTTAAAAAAAAGCATTAGTAAATTTTTATTTGAATTAGAAAATAATGGATTTATGTTTTGAATATGTACTCGACAATTAAGCCCCTTGTGACTTAGTCAGACATTCTCAGTTCTGGTAAAAGCAAAGAATCACAATAATATAAATGATTATGTATTTTGAGATGTCAGTCGCAATTACCTGTTTGGCAGCCTCAATATACGCAGTCATGTATTCATATGCTTGTGCTTGAGCATTCACACGTGTTTCAGTCCCCTCAACTGGCAGCGCGAATGAATCCATTACTATCATAGTATTTGCGTCCACTTTACCTATTACATTACAGGGTAATTATTTATTATATATATATAATTATTTAGTATAATGTATAATTAAAGTTTAATTTATTTATTCTGTTATTCTTATTAAGAGTGTAATTTATTTATTCAATTTCCCACTTTAAAGTAGGAATCGTTGATGTAAATGATAATATAGCAAACAGTTCCCTGTGCAGAGCCTGCATGGAGACAGGTAAGAGGGCAGTTAACCTCATTAATGATGGTTAATGACGGACGTGCAGGCTAGCGGTTAAAAAATTACAATACTTCAAGAATAACCCTCAACGTTAGCTGCCTCAATTGACTTCCTAGTGGATCTAGGTTATCATGAATAAATAACACCTACCCACACAAAAGAGGTACCACCTTTCAAGATTTAAGAATGCTTTGATAGCTTATTATAAATGTGCCATTGAAATTTTACTAAACATTTGATAAGCTTAAATAACATTTAAACAAATATAAATTTTTATACCTTTGATTATAATTAAGACTAATTAATAAATACAAATTAACAAATTTGATGTTCTTCTTTAAGATCTTGTCTTGTTTACTTCCGACAACTCAGAATTTAATATTTACCAATATGGGAGTAATTCTCTACCAACCAACACAATAATCAATTCTATCAAATTTGTGACATTGGTCCACAATTGTCTTTGGAATATAAAACTAAATATAAGCCTTGAAAGACTTGATTAAAAAAAAAAAAACTATTGGCCTAAAATATACTATACCAAGTAATAGTCCCATGACCTCCAGTGTGCCACCAGATCTTGCATGCATCACCATCTTCAGCAATGCAAGAGCTGATATCTTTATGTCTTTGAAGAAATGTGGGCTGCAAAATTCCATGTATTTATTTTAGAAACAGGAAGGGTGGTACTGCTGTCCCAATCCAACCAAATTTACTTAATTATTAATATTCACATTAAATGCATTTAAAAGAGTGCTTATAGTAGTAATAATGGTTTACTGGGTGAGCACTCCATTCAAATTAAATACAAAAAACATCCTAATTCTATCGCAAATTACATCTGTTTCCCTATTCTCATTTGAAATTTTGAATATGTTCGACTTTTGCATCGATTACAAAGTAGTTAAAACAATTGTAAATATACCTATATTTGATATGAAAATGAATGACAAAAATGAACTGTGAGAATTGTACACTATAGATTTTTTCCGCTTACTCTTTCTCCCATGGTTTAGCGGCGAGGATATCCTGTTGTTGTTTCTTGTCGTATCGATATATATCATCAACGTTCGAAACGGTTTCAATGTTATTCGCCATCACCCAAGTTTTCTGAGCAATAGATGCTTGTGAATCGGCACTTGTTGATGCCATTGTGTGTGATAAAATAATATTCAGAATATAAGTTAAGCTGAATCACAATACAATGTGAGTTTTTTTTTATTTCGAAACTGTATTGATTGAACCTGAAATTGATTTGACCACAGAACACTATTACTTCTAGCGATTTGACAAATTAAAAAAAATGCAAAATAGTACTGAAATATTGACAGTGACACTTGTAACAGTAGGTTGTCATTGCTTTTCAAGATTTTTTTTAAAAAAATGTTGAGGCAAAGTGTTTGGAGCTGTGAATATCCTATTATTTAAATTCTGTCATCGTTGCTCAATGGGCTGATAAATTAATCAGTTAATAAATTAAATAAAAAGGTTTGGTATGCTGAACTAATTGTTTTTTTACTTTATTACTAATTAACGTATATCTCAGGAGAAAATCACAGTGTAGGGTCGTGAAACGTTTGTTTTGTATTTGCATAATGTATGATTGGTTATTATAACAAGTGAACATTATTTTCTAAAAACATTCATCATGGAAATATTTTTTCAGTATTGATTTTAGATTTGAAACTCGCTGGTGGGCACGTGCTAATTGTTCATATCCTATTTAAACCCCAACACTAAAAGGCTTATTACACTTAGCTAAATGTAGTCGTCTGAATTCAGTGAAGTGTATCATTAAGTAAGCTAGCATACTAAATTCAGAAGCAAGGATGGTTTCTGACTGACTAAATCATTTAGAAGCCTAATTAGAAACGCATTTAGGAAAGTGTAATCGCATTTAGTTACTTACTGATTTCAGTCGTCCCATAGCTCTCCGTGCGTGAGGATTTTTTTTAGTTTGTTTTTTTACATCCGAATAAAAAAGTATTTATTTCACTCACTTTTATATAATGTGCCAGACATTTATAAATAGCCCGATATGTTTCAGGGATGTTTTTCGTCAGAAGGGCTTGAAATATTAAAGAAGTAAATTTTAAATCTTGATACGAATTTCTTGTTGCAAGAAATCTTAATGTTACAACCAATCTTTCTGTTGGACTTATACTATCTCGTAGGATAGTATCCTGCTTTCGAATAAACGGTATTATAATACAAGGTTAATATTCGGTCAAACGATCTCGAATCTATTCGTGGATCATTTTGGTTCTACATTACTCATAATACATATTTGCTAACTTTCCGCGCAGCAATAAATATTTCTTCACCCATATTCTTCTTTTTCTTTTTTTATTTCAATTGAATCGACAGTGAAGGTTACGCCAAGACCCATTTTTTGTTGTCTAGAGTCTAGACAATACTGGGGCCATCCTCATCCACACACACGACACGTCCAATTTCGTCGCGCTTAAACTGACAATTGATTCAGTATCTGAATTAAGAACAGTGTGATCAGAAACTTCTAACTTGCTTCTAAATTTGGTTCTGAATTCAGTAGACTAAATTTTGCCAGTGTAATAAGTTAAAGGCTAAATTTAAAGACATATAAAAGACAGATATACAGACCTTCTTTTATTCAAATTTTTATAGTCATACGCAATCATGATGTAAACATTAATCCTATTTAAATGGACCAGCTCGCCGCCTACCTCGCCGGTTATCGTTCTTGTCGAACCCGTCGCTTGCGAGTAAATTAATCCTCAGACACAGCCCACTGAGTTTCTCGCCGGATCATAACACAAAATTTTATCAAAGAAGCTTTTAACAGGTTGAAAGTATTGATTTTAACTTTCCAACTATGTTTTTATTGCATTAGATTGGTAGATCTTATGACTCATGATGAAATTTATTTTGGTAGGTTGAAAGTATTGATTTTATTTTTGCAACTAATGTTCATATTACATCAGATTGGTAGATCTTATGACTCATGATAAAATATAATAAATAGCGTTTGTGATTTTAATGTACGCTTTCTAAAAAAGTAAAATAGTAACCAGCGATTGTAAATTAGTAACGAAAATAATAAAAAATTAACAATAATTTTGTTCAGGTATTTAATTCTTTTTATTGATTACTGTGTGATTTTTACCGGTTGGCCTCATTTTTAAAAATGGCGCCGTCATATAATTCAGTTTCTTTCTCTTACCTGAACAGATCTCAATGTGCTATTTCTATCGTTCAATTGCCTTCAAAATCTACGTCATTTCTTCCATCTTGTTTTATCTCGCATCAATTATAGCTCCATCTTCTTTTGTCGTGTAATCATTATCGACATTTCCGCCCACTGATAACGACCAACCAATCACAATCGTCCACATACACGGCTTACACCAGCTCAAATTATGCTTTATTATTCATTGTGAGGTTGAATATGTACGACGCAATCGTTTGTTATTCACACAGAAAGGCATATCGCTTAAAAGTGCTCTATTAGTAGGCGTTCATAGAAAATTCGAGATAGCATGGTAATAAGAAATTGAGTTTTCTCATTGATTGAGTGGAGTGATTACGAAAAAATGAGTGCCCCTATAATTATAACGGTGCCTAACAACTACTTGGTGAAGGAGGAAGATTCGGATATGATTCTAGATGTAGCGTCACCGTCTCCGTCCAGGAAACGGCGACTGGACCATCTGACATGGGAAGAAAAAATGCAAAGAAAGTGAGTTTTCATGATTTTGTCAACGTTTGCATTACTATTGATCCGCTATCTGCGTACGTGTCACCAGTTAATAATTTAATAATACACTAATTATAACTAAAAATGAAGAATGTAAGTCCGCAATTGAAGTCTGTAGTTCACTTGTTTATTTTCGACGGTTCATTTTATAACTTTATTGTTTAAATACTGCGTTTATTGAACTCACCTACCGTTATGTACAGTTACATAGAAATTTACACCTCTAAGCTAATTCTTATTATACTACGCGAATTGTACGTGACAAAATATTATCACTAGCGGTTATGTTACTTATTGTGACAATGAGGCATTCTAACCATACCTAACAGAAATTAATGTTTATTAAGTAAATAAGTCATAACAGTAAAATTATGAAGTCATTACCTACTTAATGTGAAAGGTTAATTAAGGTAAAAAGTTAATTTGTATCGTAAAGCCAAGGGATTCCCATATCAGGTTCGATGCTCCCTAATGCTTCTCCAAATTTCGTTGGAATTCCCCGATTCGTAATTCGGAAAAGTCGCCATTGAAATGCATTTCATATTTTAAGAAAATGTCTTATGGCTGGCAGCAATATTCACATACGTAATTATCCTTATAATAAATCAATGGATAAAATCCAATTAATTCTAAGATTTTAAATCTTGCTACCAAACACGAATTACAGGAAATTGCATCATTCGTAGAGGAAAATGGTGATATTAGCTTGTTGTTCATAGTATTTGTGAATAAATAAGACACTATAAGATACGCTGCAATAGGCTACTTTTATGAATCAATTTCAAAAACCAACTTTTTTAAAGTCAAGAAGCACTATCATTAGAAAAAAAATGTTCTACAATTTAACAAATTGAACTTTATAATATGGTATATTTTATCCATTTTGGTGCTTTCATAAGATTCAGCTTTTTTACTTTAATTTTGTTTAAATTTAAGTCCAACCTTTGAATGTTTCATGAAATTCTGCACAATATTTCAATTATATATTGTTCTACCAAATTGCTCAAAAAAAGCTTTATTTGACAGGAAACTGAAAAATCGCGTGGCAGCACAGACTTCTCGCGACAGAAAGAAAGCCAAGATGGACGAAATGGAGAGTCAGATAAGGGATTTCAAAGAAATGAATGAGCGTCTCACAAGTGAGGTGGAGAGCTTGAAAGCTTTGAACGAGAGGTTGATTAGCGAGAACGCAGCGCTACGCGAAGCGGCGGCGGCGCAGAGCGTCCCGGGTGGGCAAGGACCAGCGGAGTCTACTCCTCAGCAGAAGGAGGCCCCCCCGGCGGCGGTCCGCGCGGCTCGCCTGCTGCTAGCGATGTGTCTCCTATCGCAGACCTCCTCGCGCAATTCGATTCAGAGGAATACATCGACACCTTACATGAACTTGCAGACTCCCTCCTCCAAGAAATTGATGCAGGTGCTGCAGGAACGACTCAACATGTAAGTTTATACATATAATTTAATAAACTCTATAATTGATCAATATACGATCACTGCACTTTTTTAACTACATATAAAAATGTCTGTTTTCATACAGTTTATATGTTATGAAACAAATTATAAAACTGGAAATACCAGTGTTGTTTAAATAAAATTCACGATCAGGCAAGTGATGTAACTTTAACACAATGTGACGTCATCGTGTTAAGTTAATCGTGTCAAGCAGATGTTTAATATTAATGAATACATAAATAGAAAATACAGCTGATTTCTATGTGCACAAATGATGAAAAAATTGCAAAGTTTGCCATTGAAATTGAAATTAAAAGTGATGTTTTTCTTTGAATGCAGGTCGAAACCAGGAAAGCTGGAGAGTGCCCTAAAGGAGATGAAGTGGTGGGGCCCGCAACAGAACAACTGGAACCCAGTCGAGGTGCTGTAGTAGACATCAAGCATGACGTCGACAGGATACTGGCACAACACTCTTATGCTCATCCCTACACACACGCAGAAGACCTTCTCGAAATCAAAGAGGAGAACAACGACAAAGGCGACATATTCTACGCAAGCTGTGACGAAGATAATGATTGCGTCACGATAGAACTTCCCTGCGAAGAAGAAATCCCAGTTCAGACAGAGATTGATTCGGTGACGAACGATTGTTCAGCGATCACGTTGGAGTGCGACATGAAGATGCTCTCGCCGATGACCCTGTCTCCGAAGTCGGTGGAAGATAATTTGCTCTTGTCTCCGGCGCACACCAACCTGAGCTCTGACTTAGGCTACGAGTCGTTATCGTCACCGCTCAGTGAATCTGATTCAATGGAGTTGCCAGATCTTTGGTGGGAATCCTTGTCGGAGCTATTCCCTGGACTGGCCTAAGTCTAGGGGCGTAATTCTGAAAAAAATTCCCACCAAAGACTGATTAATTATAAGTTTTAAGTTATTGAAATGTTATGTTTAAGTGAAAGAAATGACAAACTAGTTGCTTAAATATTGTTGCTACTTCGTCTATGTATTGTGACGGTCTATAAATTAAATGTGTCATAGGGATGTTCATATAAGTGTTGTAAATAAAGTGTTTTGTCGAACAAGAGATTTTATTATTACATAATATGATAAGATTCTGATTACATTGCGATAGTCACCACCAATTAAAATAACTTTTACATGAATTATGGATAAAAAAAAATTTGGGGATTCCCAGATTAAAGCCGCAAAATAAATGAATAAAACTACATAGAGTTAAACTATTGCCATAAAGACAAAAAGATACATACGCAATTCACTACACAATTATTGTAATTGTGTAGTGAATTACCAATTTTGTGAGGAGAATAATATAGCAAATAATTGTTATTTAAATTTCAACACCCTTTTTTCAAAGTAAGTAAAGCTAAAAGCACATAATCCAGGCGGACTAAAATCATTTACTTGTTGAAAGTAATTATTTATCCTTGCACCAAAATGCCTCGTTCTGTGTATATCTCTTTATTACTTACATAATAACGCAAGCCATGTCTACGCTGTTTATTTATATCCCAATTAAAAAACGTGGTTAACCTAAAAATCATTAGTCAAAAGAACATTATCGACAGTCTTTCTAGAAAGATATAAAACTGCTATCCGACCTTGTGGCTTGTTTATCAAGTACTTTAATAAGCATTAATTGTACATCATTTTAATTAATTATGTAAAAATAAATGATAATAATAAAGAGGCAGACTATTATCTATATCCGAATCTTAGATACGTGCCGTGCGTAAAATTTTCTGACAAAATAATGATTGAAAGTCTAAAGTAATATAAATTTAACTGTAGTCTGTATTTGCCGATGGTGTGATAATTTTTTATCTAGAAAATTTTGGAAATTGCAAAATACAATTTATCAAATTTTAATGCATTTTAATTCGTTTCGTCGGTAGATACATATTCTATGATGATGTCATATATTATCATCGTGGCGAGATGTTTTTAAAGATTGCGTAATTCAAAATTATAAGTTTTTATACGCGATTCCAAATGCTTAACTTGGACTATAACAGTTCTTTGTTTAAATGCTATAAAACAAACCATACCTACCTACTAAAGAGAAAGTTTCTCGGAGCCACTCCCACGGTTTGGACGTAATTTTATAATTCAGATACCTATTAGTTTATTAGTCAGACGCAAAATAGTTGAGAACATTTATAATCGCAAGTTTTATCTAAGTCCACCTCATACAGTATTAAAGTACTATGATTATATACATAATATTCTCAAACCGTCGAAATCTATAAACTATCGTAGTATAAATCACATTGTAACTAAATAATCATACAAAGAAGATGTTTATTTAACAGAAATCTGAGTAAATGAACAGCTTTAACTAGTAAACATTTTAAGATTCTTATTTTAATACAAACTGGTAACAGGAAAGTGGAGGTAGCAGGTAAAAATATGCAAAATTCCAAGAAAGACGTATGTGTGACTCATAATCTACCTCACAATCTTCATCGTGTGTTTTACGTCTTTGATTTTTTTAATATTCATTTATTCGACGACCCAGACGATCAGGCAACACAGATGTCGTCGATCTAAACACGTCAACACAGATGCCGTCGATCTAAACACGTCAACACAGATGCCGTCGATCTAAACACGTCATTTCGGATCCTCCCGATCCACTTTCGGTTCTTTTGGGTAGTCCAAGCACCGTTCACCGTTTCGTGGAATTCTTCGAATGCACGAGTTCGTCGTGCGAACTAGCCCATACACACAAGCCACTGAGTTTCTGAACCGATCTTCTCAATAGGTCGCTGTTCTGATTCAATGGTAAGATTCAGCGAAGGACTGTTCTTGTTAAGGCCAATGTTAGCAATTCTTTCAGGTTGAGCCCGTGAGCTCACCTACCCGTCCGCGAGAAGCTGGAATAGCCCCTTAGGCTATCAATGATTAGGTACGAAAAAAATACTCGACGTGGTATCACAGGAAGCTGTGTTTAAGTGGCTTTCGGAGCTTCCGGCAAGTCATCGATTGAATATGGATCGAATTATCAACGACTGCTGATCCGCTGTCACTTGGAGCGCCAGTATTATTATGTGACAGCCATAGAGTTAGTATTGTAGGTACTTATTAACTCCATGGTGACAGCCAACACTAGCCCAGCAGTCATCGAACGGCTCCCACGTTTTAATTTTTTACATGTCTGAGATAAATGTATTACAACAAAATAAAAGTAAATGCCTATTAAAATTTTTAAAAGAAACGTTTTCTCTCACTTTAAAATTTTCGTTTATTTAAAACGATAACTTTTCCAATTTAATCCTATAAAGTAAATTGGTGTAATAAAATTTTAAATCGCACGTCACGTAGCTAGCAGAGATGTTAGACACAAAACTGGTTTACTGGTTTAAGGAAAACCGAAACTTATACGCAATAAGGATGTTTTAAGTTATACTATTTGTACTAATGTATATGTTTACCTTAGAAGAACAAAGCCCATTTATTGGTAAGAAGTCATTGTCGCAAACGGGAACACGCCAAGGTCGCAATCAACCCTTTGCCTACCTCTAAAGATTATTTTCAAATCTCGTTTGAAGGGCATCTCATAACATCCAGGAAACATTAGACAGAAATAATCTTTGTAAACGCACCATGCATGAGCGCAGTGGTTTCAGGCAATATGAATAAACTATGCTATGGGTTATGCAATGGTAAAGACAAGGATCGTTTTCGATAAGGCTATGCGTCATGATAATCGCCTTATCGTTTCTGCCGCTGACTACTCCCCGAATCTTGATCATGCAGGAGACTTTCACCGTCGACGCCCTAGACGTCCTTACGGATCCATCAGATCTAATAACCTTTGCATTAGACGTCTTCAGCTCTAACACTAGGAGTAGGCTTAGGAACTCCGTTAACCGTACTCGTCGAACTCGACAGAGGTCGACGTGCAACCTAACCCATGCATCAGCCCGCTGAGTTTCTCGCTGGATCTTCAGTGGGTCGCGATGCCGATCCGGTAGTAGATTCATTCGCGAAGCAATTTCTCTTGAATTGTTAGGTCTTCTTCGGAGGCGCTCGGGCAGTTGTTAGCAAACCCCACCCCTCCTGGCTGAGCCTTTGCTCGTCCAACTGTCCTGGTGAAACTGGAAAGGCCTCCGGGCCACCAGTATTCTTTCAATCATAAAAAAAGGAACGTGATCTCAAACAGTTCCGCAAATCGCTTACAGTACGGAATGCAGAAGGAACTAAAATCCCTTAGCAAGCCCACAGGTTCACTATTGTTATTTTTTTTATTGCTTACATCGGTAGACGAGCTCACGGTCCACCTGATGTTAAGTAGTTACCGGAGCCCATAGACATCTGCAATGTAAATGCCGCCATCCAACTTGAGATATGAGTTCTAAAGTGTTAGTATAGTATAGTATAGTTAGTTAGTATAGTATATAGTATATATCGTGTTGAAGCGATGCACCGGTGTTCGAATCCCGCAGGCGGGCACCAATTTTCCTAATGAAATACGTACTCAACAAATGTTCACGATTGACTTCCACGGTGAAGGAATAACATCGTGTAATAAAAATCAAACCCGCAAAATTATAATTTGCGTAATTACTGGTGGTAGGACCTCTTGTGTTCTTTTTTTTTTTTATTGCTTTGTTGGGAGGACGAGCTCACAGCCCACCTGGTGTTAAGTGGTTACTGGAGCCCATAGACATCTACAACGTAGACGCGCCACCCACCTTGAGATACAAGTTCTAAAATCTCAATATAGTTACAACGGCTGCCCCACCCTTCAAACCGAAACGCATTACTGCTTCACGGCAGAAATAAGCAGGGCGGTGGTACCTATCCGCGCGGACTCAGAAAACAGTCAATTTTAAATTCGTATTTGTTATACTCGTAGTAATTGACTACAGTGTTAATTAACTTTTTTTATTGCCCGTGTAGACAGATATACCTACACCCGAGTATACGGCCCACCTGATGGTGAGTGGTTACGGTCGCCTGTGGACGTCAGCAATGCCAGGGGTAGAGCCAAGCCTCTGCCTAGAAGTGTAACACTCCCGACCACAAGATTTGAACGGTTTTTAAATTAGCTAATACTTTCAAAAAGAGTTTTAAAAAATACTTTCCATTTTATATTTGGATAAACGTATTTGAAAAAAAAAGATGCAATAGGACGCTTTAGTTTGCTTTCTTAAATCTTATTTCGATGTTCACTTAATTTCCATTGTTTCTCATATTCATCAAATATAATTATCAATAATCATGTTTATTATTGTGCGTCAACAAATAAATTTAATGAGGACTATTTGAGAATTTATTTGTGCATTGCGATTACTTGTTCCATCGAAATCCACAGCAAGAGAACTTTCTACAGAAATAAAATTAACATTGGAAATACCCACTATGTGAATCGGTTTACCGGATTTTTAATATTATCACATATTATTAAACTGAATATAAATAAAAAATAACAATAATTTACCTTTAGTAGGTGGCTACCAGATTATATGCTTATGTCTGTTGCTACAGACAAAGATAAGCTATCGATAAACTAGGGCGAATATTGTATACTTTCGCTTAGACTAAGTGCTTGTTCACGTCGAAAGAGCGGGCGCGGCGGCGAGTGCGGGCGCGGTAGACGTAGCGAGTTCGTGTTCACATTGGCCGGCAGGCGTTTGCGCGAGTTTGACTGTGAGATTAAAAACATCACGACGATATTTTATTTTTAACCGAAAATTCATACCTAAAGTGGGAGATGATAGCAATTAGAATCGGTGTGCATGAAATTAATAAAGAAAGAGAACGGTATGGTGAATTTCATACTTTATTCTTATTTTTTCAGTATTGAAAGACATATCGTTTCTAGCGACAAGTTCAAACTGGTTGAACTTACCCGACGTCGCGAGTGAATCGCGCGCTCCGCCGCTAGTTCGACGTGAACACACCCATACAACTCGCGCGTTTGATATTGTCCTTGCTTGCTTGCGCTAGTTTGCCCGCTACATAGACCGCGCGTGCGTTCCGTACGTGAACACTCATATATTACGCCATAATTATGTTTGATATTTCGTGACTGTGTCCGCGTGTCAACGTGAACAAGCACTTAGAGTCGTTTGGCAACCAAGGCGGTCAAATTTGAAAAAAGTAATATTTTTTTAATATTTATAATTAATCATAGACATGAACTTTTTTTTATGGCAACCCTATTAGTACACGTTCACTGACATTTTATTTGTTAAAATATAATTTTGAACTGATTACTAAATCATTGAAGGTCGTTCTTACTTGGGAATCTCTGCTAATAATTTCCAGTAAAATGCAAACAGATTTTTTCGAATTAGTAAAATTCCGGTCAATTAAGATTTAAAAAAAACCTTTGCATAACAGCCGTAAAACAAACCATTCAAATATTTATAGCTTTTATTATCGTAATGTCCATATAAACTCACATTCATTAAACGAATACATAACATAACAGGAAATAAATCGTACAGCATAATGTAAAAGCTAATGGAAGATACATTTCAACTTATTACAAAAAGATTAATCTCTTGAAGCGTAAAATAAAATGCATTTTTTTGTTTCGTTGACCAAGAGCTGCCTATGTTATCATTCTTTTCGCGTTTGACGTCACTACGTCATTAACAAAAGTCAGATATCTTTATTATAATATTAAAGAATCTGACTGAATTAATATCTAGCTCAGAAGATACCTCATATAATCCGTTCCACTGAACAAAACAAAATGTGGGTATTACGACTGTAGTACCCACATTTTGTTTTCTAACATAACATAACATCGTTTCAAGGGTTTTAATAATATAATTGACTGATGTCTTGTTTGTTAAAAACAAATACTGAGTAAAGAATATAATTCAATACAATATGTACCGTGTTGAAGAAATAATTTAAAGAGGCTAATGATGCTCTGTCACTTCACAGGTATATTATACTTGGTATTAAATTTCTATAACTGAAGCAATGACGTCATAATGGAAACAATGTGGTTTCTATCTTGATTGTTGAAACGGTCCCTTTCCAAATTGTTTTTAATACATATTCTTTTTTTTATATAATATGATGTCCATTTATTTATTTTATTTATGGTTTAAATTTTATGAGGCATTACCAAAAATCGGTAACCACATGGAAATGAAATTTCCGCGGATGACTGATTTTAGACAGCCGGTCGTTAAAATCTCCGAACAAGCTATAGTATGGGTACCCGTTGTATAAGTGGTATTACTTAGCGCTATTTAGGCAAGAAATGCTTTGACACATGAACTCCATATTCAACTCTTCAAATATTCCCTATTTGAGTTCTCTCTCCGTAAGTAGAATGGGAGATTTAGTAAAAATTCAGCGATTGTTACTTTACAAGGCTGTGCGGACCGTTTCCTAATTTATCAGCGTACCGAAATCTAAAACAAATAACATAGGAGGCTCCTGGTCTACACTATTTAATAAAATATTGTTTATGACCTAACCGCGTATATTTATTTATAACCTTATTCAATTAATGTCTGTGACATTTTAGACCGACGACAAAAACATTTAAACCTATCTAAACTGTATAAGGGTTTATATAAATATTTTATAATTAGTCATCACATGCACTTATCTAGCTACTACTATTTCAAAGAATATCCGTTATATTTTAAGACATTTTACATTTTAGTAAGAAAATGAATATTTTTTTTCATTGTTTTCTTTACCTTAATCATAATTGTAGTGAATTTTATAGAGATTTTAAGGAATTAATAGTAGTAAATTACTACTGCGTATTATTCCTTACTTTTACTGATAACTTTACAAATTAGACGAAAAAAAAAAATTTTTTTTTCGAAATTTCGGTTATCGTTTATCTTTTTCAATGAGCTATTAAGATCGTGAGCAGATGGGTTTATATTTAGACTTAATTGTTCGAGACTCTAAATCTCACAAAAAAACAAACAATGTTTTCACATAAAATCTAATGTTATTCCATTTAGTTTAATAATATAATAAATCGATTTTTATAACAATACGAATATATTGTATCCGATCAATAATTAATAAAAGTCGTATTACATAAAGTTTATTTGTCGATATCCGACATTTTGATGTGACAACAACAGGCGCCATTTTGCGTTCGCTCGCCGCCATTTTACCCGAACAGCTTGTCAAAGCACGCGTGGCAGTACGGCTTGTCGTTTTGTTCTTTGAAAGTGCCTTTGTTGAGTTGTCGAAGGCAAAACGCGCAGACGAAGTGCTCCGGGTGGAATTTCCTGAACATCGCCGTGATGCATCGGCCCGCGATCGGTTTGTGGCAGCCCGCGCATAATGACCCTCGCTTTCCGTGGTAATGCGTCTCGCAGTACGGTTGGCCCTCGTGCTCGAAGAACGAACCTCCGTGGAAAGGCTCACGGCATTCCTGGAACGCAACATATTTTTTTTTTTTAATAAGAAATAATTATTACATTTGCGCGTCACCGCATTCTCCATTAATGTGTATTCCTCGATGCAGATCCCCGTTTTTATTTATTTATTGCTTAGATGGATGGACGAGCTCACAGCCCACCTGGGGTTAAGTGGTTACTGGAGCCCATAGACATCTACATCGTAAATGCGCAACCCACCTTGAGGTATAAGTTCTTAGGTCTCAAGTATAGTTACAACGTCTGCCCCACCCTTCAAACCGAAACGCATTACTGCTTCACGGCAGAAATAGGCAGGGTACCCGTGCGGACTCCCATGAGGTCCTCCCACCAGTAATTGGCGGCAATTGTGTTTTGATTTATTCGTTTCGCAATGTGTAAGTGTACTATGGACTAGTAGATACTAAGCGAAGAGAAAAATCTTGAATTTACAAAAATATACCAAGAAAAAAATTTAAATAAATACATATGCAATTGACAAATCTGGGTCGCGTTGCGTCAGAATGTTTTCCATCTATCCTTCAACCGACTAACATTATAATTTGGACGCAATCCATGAAAACGTCTGGTTATCAACATTAAAGATTTTTTAATCTAATTTTATGAAATACGATGATTGTGTAAAATTTCAACGTTGAACATTATTAATGTTTTATTACGAGGAGTTTATTTGTTGAATTATTTTGTTTATTGATATGCTGACAAACCGACTGACCACCAGGGTGAGAGCGACTTTATATGAGTCGACTATTATCAAAGCCGGCAATGTGACTTTTGGACAATTATTGGTAAATCAGAAAAACGATATATTGACTTTGTATTCCATTGGCAGTCACAAAACTCTTCTGAACGACATCTTAGATATATAACAGGTTAACTATTAACCTTTATTTAATGCAGGTTTTGAACCGTATTCTTTGAAGGAGACGATTATATTCAAATCAATCTGTATTGACATATCAATAATTTTTTTTTGTCCAAATGCACAAATTGCCACCTTTGATAATAGACGACTCATAATATGATACTTCATCGCGTTGCAGAGAAACGGAGGCCGTCAGTACCAACCAAAGTAACTAAAATGCGTGTTTGACTTTAAAATATGATATACTTAGTTTGTTTACTATAATTAGTTTGCTAATTACTATCATTGTTATTAGAATCCCCCTTTTTTCCCCTACTTATTCGCTGGTACTGGTATACCCGGATGGATGAGCTCGCGTGCTCAACCTGAGATAATTTGCAAACACTAGCCCAACAAAAGCAGTGCTTCGCTGAATCTATCAGCGGATCGGAAACGCGACCCACTGAGAAGATCAGACGAGAAACTCAGTGGGCTGTGTCTGTAGCTTAGTTTACTGGTGAACGGTGACCGGTGATTGAGTACCTAAAAGCACCGTTAGTGGATCGGGATATCTTGGACGAATTTAGTACATAGTATTTGATGATTGGTCGCGGCGTCAAGGATAAAACCTTCGTGCAAGTGTATCAAGCGATGCGACTACCGGTCACCGTTCTGAGTTTCTCACCGGGCCTTCTCAATGGGTCGCGTTTCCGATCCGGTGGTAGATTCTGCGCAGCACTGCTCTTGCTAGGGTTCGTGTTAGCAACGTCGTCAGATTTGAGCCCCGTGAGCTCACCTACTAGTTAAGGTTACGCTGATATTGTCTCTCTAGAGTACTCCAGACCGTCAGCTTAGGTAGGAAAAAAAAGATGCGACTATGCCGGTGGGTGTCTAAGATTCGGTAGAGAGTTATAATTTTCTACACGTCAACACGTATTTACGAGCGACCTCCACGATGAAGGAATAACGAGAAATGCCTGTTCGTGTTCTCTAAATTGTGTTTTCTAAACACAATTGAAACCATTAAAAAAGGTCGCAAGATCGGTTTAGTCTCAGACGATCGCGAGGTCGTTGACCCTAAGTTTTGAACTCGTTCATTGCGGGTTCACTAAATAAGAATATATGGTTAGCCTTTTTATTTATTGCATAGATGAGTGGACGAGCTCACAGCCCACCTCGCTCGTTAAGTGGTTACCGGAGCCCATAGACATTTATAACGTAAATGCCGCCACCCACCTTGAGATAAGAGTTCTAAGGTCTCAGTATAGTAACAAAGCTTAGCAAATTATTATTGTTAAGATAGTAACTATACCGTTAAATTTTCGGTAATACTTTGTGTATATATGTACTCGTGTATGTATATGTGTATAAGTAATAGTGCAATAGTATCTTAAACTTATAGCTAACAGTAGCTATATAACTTGAACTATAAACCTGAACGAAGTGTGTGTAGACCCTATTATTCTTGTATAATGTAATATGTTACTTTCTCCAAGCAATCCTCTATTTTAAATATAATTTTCCGAATTCGCAGCTTACGTCAAGAATGTATATAATGTATATAATAAATGTGAATAAAATAATAATACGTATACACATAATATTATGTTGTCTACAAACTACTCTACTATTATTAAATTAAAGTCATTCAGAACTATATATCTACAGATTTACTCGGTTAATTTTTTAAGCTAATAATTAGGTAGTGTGTAGTAGTAGTATGTAGTAGAACAGTGATTACGTCACTGCTGTTTGAGAATTAATCCTATCATAGCAATAGCTATGTCTTAGATATTCAAAACAACAGTAATTATAAAAATGAATGTAATAAATTTAATAATACATTCATATCAGCACGATGTGCCGAAAAAAAATTCCATCAAATGGAAACCAATACGTTCAGTTTATACTATTTTACTTGTTCGCATTAAACCTAATTGAAATAATATAATTTCCAAAACACCGAAGCCGCAATCACGCGCATCCAATGCAACATAAACAATAAAAATTATATTTATAAATATCTAATCTAATTACACACGTCGCGACCTGATTACCGACAGCCGGTGTGGCTGCAGACGCGCCTGTGACGTCACCGCTCTATTTATAACCCCAACGAGTTCGCGAGCACACCGGGAAACCCTACACTCTCCTAGCACTTGACCTCTTAAATTATTTAGCTTTATTTTTTTGTTTCTTGCACCTATATCCATCGGTCGTACGGAGGAAACAATGAAAGGTCATTGTCGTGTACGCACACGTGACCTTCGCCCGCAGCGCTACGGACGCGCCCGCAGGTGCGTGCAAACTCAATGTATTTTGAATATTTTTTCCGCTTTTATTTTAATATTTTTGTTTTATTTCTATATATTTTTTGGTTCTCTTTATTTATAAATCTTACATTACAATAAATTACAAAAATATATATATTTATGTATATTACATTAAAAAAAAACTCCCTATGCTATTACTATGTGTACGTTGTGTCGTGTTGTGTGCGAGTATCATCTGTGTTTATGTACGTGTATATGTTTGCATTCCTTTAGATATATTGGAGCATAGCTGTAAAAAATTGGGGAGGGCATTCGTTCTGAGTGGGGAGGTCATTCGAAGGCATTCCTTATTCATCATCATCGACTCCAACGCATGTTGGGCATACCGGCTTCCCTTCCATGGCATAGAAGGACTTCCCTTTGACGGGATTCTGGCAGTCCTGCGATTACAACCTTAAAGTTAATGGACATCCTAAATACACAAAATTATTGTTTCTGAATATCTAGGAATACCTACAAACTCACCTGGCGTATGACCCTTCAAAAACAAGAAGCTTACCAATATTTCCTGTTAGCCTGTAGGGTATTATGATACGAACCTTGCAAACGAAACAGTCTGGATGCCACTGGGTGTTGAGCGCTGAGATATAGTTTTCCATTATGGGTTTATTGCAACCACCGCATTTTGGGGCGAACATGTCAAAGTAATCAGCCCTGCAGTAGGGCTTCCCGTCCCTTTCATGGAAACCCTCTTCCCCAAATTGCTGACCGCATTGAGCGCAAAAGAAGTGCTCCGTGTGCCACGTTTTCTCTAGAGCTGTGACGCATTTCTGAAATCAAAACATGGCTTTAGAATCACTAAAATGTTCACTCAAATCCGGTGAGGATGTTTGGGTAAAGACTGACATCCAAGATTGGTCCGTTGCAGTAAGCGCATCTCGGTGAGAACAGATTGTGGTAGTCGGGCTCGCAGTAGGGCCTGCCGTCGCGCTCGAAGAAGTTCCTCGTGCCCAGTTCCTGGTTGCAGTGAGCGCAGGTGAAGTGCTCAGGGTGCCAGGTGCGACCCAGCGCCGTGATCACCTGAAGCACAAAACCACATACGTTTCACATTGTCCATCACACTGAAGCGACTTCAAATTGAAGTGGAATACGATATCCACCTGTCCAACGATCGGTTTCTCGCAGGCGTTACAGCATCCCTTCTGGGGGGTTTGTACTCCTTGGCGGCTCATGTCTGCCCGAAGAGATCCGAGCATATGCTCGAGAGACGCGGACTCGGGTTGACGCGGGTTGGTGCGGTACTGTTCCTGCCACGCGCGTTTCTCTCTGTACACGTGAGTCCCGCTATCTCCCCCTGTGCCGCTAACCTGTGAAACGCAAACGAGTAATTAGTTTACGATTGCTTCCAACCTCAAACTACAGTTAAGGCGGGAAGCAATCGATTAGTATTGGTTTCTCTAGCTCTGACCAAACAAATAGGAATATAATTGAGAATGATCGATTTTAAATTCGCGGATTCAAAACGTACAGCACGTATAGAGCCGGACGGGTGCTTTTGATCGAGACGAATGCCGTCGGAGTGAAATGTTTTTCTATGTACTCTAATATTATAAGCTCGCGTCCCCTCCAAGCCCGTGATGTAACGCTCTGAACTATCTTTAGACGTGGCAGTTCGAACGAGCGAGAACGAGAGAGGCGGTATCGCTGGAGTGACGTCTTCAGGCCCGGCTGGAAATAGCCGTGGACCAAGAAAGGCGAGTTGTAAATATTATAATAAAACGGAAAAGAGTGCCGTAGTGCAGTGTGCCGAGGTGGCCGTGACAGTTGCCGATCTATACTGAACCTTAATATTGCTGACTCATAGCCAGCTCAACACGACCGTCGGGTGTATGCTCATAAAACCATCACTCCGGTTCAAAGAAAATATAAATACGCTTTTATTATTATAATAAAATCGAACTGGATGAATGAAAAACATTTGAAAATAAGCCAGTTTCGATTTAATCTACGAATTTTGTTATACTGTACTATTGGGTCAAGCGTCTTTTTGGCAAGTTAACGCAACGACCCATATAGTTGATTATCACATATTTATTTAAGAGGCAACCTTGCGCCACGAGATGTGTGCACAAAAGTAAACAATATTCACCAGTGGCGTACCAATTAATTTGTAAGATGTTGATTTGGAAATTACATATCTTATTATTGGATCGCATATTGAATAACCCACAAGTATACTATGAACTTTAGCGATACGTGACTCCATTATTTAATGTAATAATTTTGAGGTTTTCTGACTGACCACATGGGTTTTTTAATTTGTGAAGCTGGCCTATATTTAATAGCGTCCTCCAGGTAAAAGAAATGAAAAAAGAATGAGATATTGGAGTGCTTTTTAAGCCGAAAATAATCTTACATGAATTCACAGATCTTTTGGACACAAAACAAGGTACTTAGCCCTAAGCAAATTCTTAGTAGAAAATAGAAGTAGATTAAGTCCATGACCCAATTGATTTTTAAAGAAATTATTGGTTATCAGATACCTGGTCGATCTCCGTTACAATTTAATAAACAGCCATTTCTACCAAAACACAACGCATCATTGCTTTATGCAAAAAATATACGAGTTTGTGGTCACATATATGACAATAAATGACGGTATTTTGTTTTCAAATTATCTTGTTGTATTTAGCTTGCTGTAAGACGCGATAATTGGTAGCAGTATGCTGCTTATATTTTACCACAAATAAATATATTTCATATCTACGAAGGATTCATGTGTATTAAATATAATATAAGCTAGAATTTCTCATCACTATAATATATAATACACTCTGAATAATTAAGTTAATATATTTAAACAGAATCTTCGACGACCTTCAGTGACGACGAAGACAGGTGTATATTGATTAGACGATACGCCTCCAAAATGAGATCGATTAAATATATTTTCGGATGAATACACAGATGTCTTACCTTGAAGTCAGAGAGCGACGCCATCAAGTCATCAAGTTCCTTGGTGGCGCTGGACGCGTGGTGCTGGTGCCGGACTACAGGGGCCGCCACTGGAATCTGTTGCTGAGCCTGAGCCGGTTCCACAACCGTCTCCTGCACGGTGACGGTCACCTGTTTGGTGCCCGGTCTCGGGAGAGTTCCTCCCGTCGATGGCGGTGGTATTGGAGATGTGGATTGGCGGCTGGCGACAATTATTGAGAGGAAATTGAAATTATTTTTTATTTTAGACATGTGGTCGGTTTCTTGTTACATTTCAAAAGCGCGATCGACTTTTACTTGTTGCTCGATGAATTCTAACTTTTAAATAATCAGATGATCGAAATTAAATAATTTAATTTAAGATTTTGATTTAGCACCTTTTTTTTATTGCCCCTTTAGGCAGAGGAACATGCGACCCACCTGATGGTGAATGGTTACCGTCGCCCATGGACTTCGGCAATACCAGGGGCAGAGTCAAGCCGCTGCCTACCGTCTAACATGTCTAATTTAACCTATCCTAATCTAACATGACTATTTTGTAAGCTAATATGTGAATATTTGAGCTTTGTTACAGTTTCTTAGGAAAATGGTGTAAATGATCTTAGCCTGAAATTATAGTTTCTTTCTCTGTCTCTTTGTTTGAGAACAACGCAAAAGCCACTGTCTCCATTTCAATCATACTTTATCTTACGATTAGTTTCTCTATACAGTAACTGTAGTAAACAACAAATAATTTGCCAAAACGAAGTCGTATCAATAAAAAAACAATGATAAAAAAATCTTCATTCTCAATTCAACGTGGGCGAAACCGCGGGAACAACTATTTCCTGTTCGAAATTATCACATATATACATAATATATACACCTATATATATTTCGGGAGTTTTATTCAATAGACTTATTTACTATTACAACCTACGCGAGAACGGACCCGGTACTCACAAATTAATTACTGTTAATTTAATGGATGCGCAAACGAGATTATTTTGCGTATTCACTTCGAACGTATTTTTTAAATGTACTATAAACTATTTAAAAACTTTGCGAACGTACAAAATGTTATCTTAGAAACTTGTGATCATATCCCACAGATAACCCCGCCCCACGTTATCTGTGTCATATCCCCTGTATGTACGGATGGCTATTGATTTTATGAGCCTTAACAAGCTAAATACTTGATCGCTGATAGCCTAAGGGGCTGACCATTCCAGCTACGTCGGGACAAGTAGGTAAGCTCACGAGCTCAAATTGAGAGAATTTGCTAACACTAGCTCTCTAGCAAGAGCAGTGCTTCGCAGAATCTACCACCGGATCGGAAACGCGGCCCACTGAGAAGATCCGACGAGAAACTCAGTGGGCTGTGTTCGCTCGTCGACGAGTTCGACATACCCGATCCTGCGGACCGAATGATAAACAGCCGACGTCGCCCTAAGCACATAATTTTGGATCCACCCGATCCACTAACGGTGCTTTTAGGTACCACAAGCACGGTCACCGTTCTCGTCGAACCCGTCGCTGGCGACGAAGGGTTCGGCGAGTAAACTAACCCATGACACAGCACACTCACTGAATGTCTCGCTAGATCTTCTCAGTGAGTTGCGTTTTCGATTCGGTAGTAGATTCTGCGAACAACTGCTCTTGCTAGGGCCAGTTTTAGCAACACCTTCCGGTTTGAGCCCTGAGAGCTCACCTACATACACATTAGAGTTACGCTGACATAGCCGCTCAAGGCTATGTGAGTTCAGGTAGGAAAAAAAAGACGAGTTCGACGAAGACGGTGACCGCTGCTTGAGGGGACTAAAAGCACCGAGAGGATCCGGGGGAGGATTTTGAACATAGCTTAGTATCGGATGACGATGTGTGAAAAGGAATAATTTGATACTAATATATTTAGTTCCTTAGTTAAAAAGATTTATAATTTTATTTTTACTGAACATTTTGCTTTCTGCTATTATTTGGCGATGCGTCCTTTAACCATGAGATTGAAATTTTTATTTTATTTTTATTCTATAGGAAGCACGATTGTGTTAGAATCTAACTAAATTAGATCGTGGTACCTTTCGGTTTGTTCGTATTCACTAGTCATCGATAACAGATCACTGTATATAGGATGCACACATGTGATAATTTATATTGGTTCAGAATTTGGCATTCCCCCTTCGGATATTCCGTGTTGCAGTCGTATACAATAGTATCAATTCGTAATACAAGGATAAAAGAAATGTTTGATGTCATTATGACGTGAGCATATGACCACTTGATGGAGAGGATCTACTGTTGATCATGGCCGTCAACAATGTTTGAGGCACAGCCAAGCCGCTGCTTAGTTGGAATAATCCAGTTCTAGTGGAATAATCCGGCTCTAGTTAAATGAGAATCTGGGTTTGGTGATAACGATGATGTAGGATACGGAACGTTTAGAGTAAAAGGGATGAACGCATGGGTAAGAAACGGGCGGAATAGAGATGTAAAAGATGGCGATCGGGCATTATAAGGTGAACAACGAAGACGTGTGCAAAAAATATATATTTTTTTTACTTTTCCAAAAACTGTGTAATTTTACTTTGAGCTATCCCACAATGTTATGTTACCAAAACCCGTGCCTCATCCGCTTCTGTTTTCCTTACAGCTTCTGACGAGTACAATTAAATTAAATAATAAAACAAAGATTATGACAAATGTATTAGAACAGGTGGTAGTGTTGAACGTAACCCGTAAATACTAATTAGCGAACGGAAATGTAGTTCACGAGTCGCTCTTTGTTCTTGGCCAATGATTATTTACCTTCGTAACGTTTTAACAAGCTTCTATGGACATACATATTAATGATGTTTCAATGAAATCGATTTGTGAAGACAATCGAAACAATCTAGACGATATCTTAATTTTAGGATAGATATCGTTGTTGATTCGAATTTAGTAGATAGTTTTGAATTCTTCGATGACATTGTCAGAAAGAGCGGTGACAATTTTGAAAAATTGATGGTAAGGATGGATGGAAAAGAATGCAGGCAAAAGATGTGGTGGCCGCAATCCAATGCGCTGGTCCGAGCAAACCCGCACCACTCTGGATACCACAGTCTACGATGCCATACACACCGCCGAGAACAGAGGAAGATGTCCAAACATCATCCAGAGAAGGATAATAGGAGGAGACGGTCACGACCCTCAGACATGAGGAATGCGACTAAGGGAGGAGGAGATAGCGAATTCACATTGAAACTTTTATTTGAAAATCGATTTTGTATCTGCTCTATTTCTTTTTTTTTCACATTACCGTATATTAACTTATGACACTATTTGCAACTCCAAATCTTTTTATTACTACTAATAGGAATATCGAACTAATAATTATACAAAAAAATAAAACAGCGTTTGTTTTCGTATTTATTCTTTGGAGAGAGATATATTTTCGTGCTTAGTGATATAATTTCGGCAATATCTTATAAAATACGTACCCACACGAGACTATCGGATGTGATGGCGTGATGCCAGTTTTTCGATAGTGAAAAATCACCTTTCCGAATTGAAAGTTACTGCTGCGGTAGGGTGAATATGTATTTTAATTTTATTTTTTAAGCAGGCCGCGGTGTCCGTATGCGCTTCGCTAAAAGTTCGATCCAAGATTTATTATGAGCCATTATGATTATTTACTGGTGATTTTTTACTGGTGGTAGAACCTCGTGTGAGTCCGCACGGGTAGGTACCACCACCCTGCTTATTTCTGCCGTAAAGTAGTAATGCGTTTTAGTTTGAAGGATGAGGCAGCCGTTGTAACCATACTTGAGACCTTAGAACTGATTGTTTTGGTTTATACTGTTAATTTGTAAGTAGACTAATTAAATAAATAAATAAATAAATAAATATAAAAAAAATAAAAAAAATTACCATTGCGACGGTGAATAACATTTTTGTCATTGGACATTTTAATTACTAATACTAAACAGATAACACTGACCCACAAAACGGAATTCTGTAACATCGGAAAATTTACTTAGTAATAACCATGTAAAGGCACATTTTCGAAGGCGGCAAATATAAAAGCGATGTTTTACAAATTAATAGGAAACTCGCAATGCCAATAACAATATATCAAAATATTGTACAGGACAGGACAGCTAACAGGACAATTAGAGAAAATACGTAAAGATGTATGTATATTAATTAATAATAATAACTGGGAACAAATGGCGTACGGTCATCCGGCTCCAATTTACGATTCCCTGTGTTATGTATGGGTACCAGAGACTGATAAACATACTTATATCTATATATTAATACGTGAAGCAAAAACTTTGTACCCTTTTTACGACAATTGCGCGGACGGAGGAGTATGAAATTTTACACATTTATAGAGAATATAGAGAAGGCGTGCAGATTACCATTTTTTTTAAAATTATGCATAAAAAATACATTAAATCAATAAAAAAAAGCATTACATACACTACCATGTATTTGACACAACATACATACAAATATACTCTTTGTTTATTGTCAATTGTCAAACTTTTGTTATTGATTAAAGCCTGTGGTCAAATTGAAAATAGATATATAGATAGAATATTGTTTGTCTTTAATTTTATTTATCTATAGTGTAGTTTTGGTGAAATCTGTGATTATATTATAAAGTATAATAGTGTTTGACAATACAATCATAATAATGTTTAAAAATAAAATTTCAATTAATTATAGTCGAATTTCGACTACTGCGGGACTACTTGTACTAATAAAAATATAATGTATCTAGTACTTTTTTTTTTAAAGTATACCGTTTGGATACCCGATTATTGCCATTATAACAACAAAACTGGTGACGTCACGGCCGCGATCTATTTGCGGGCGCGCTACAAAAATACGCAGAGATTTCACACGGCCCGCGGTCCCTGCGACCCGTCTAGCCAAACCACAGATGAATTACTATTAACAATGAGACTAAAAACCTACGCATTGAGATGAGAGTAAGAAAAAGTTCGTTTAAAATTCCTACTTATTCTAGTAACCGCGAGGGGTTATGTTAGATCCACCGAACGAGTAGGTGAGTTCACGGGGCTCTAACCTGAGGACGTTGCCAACACTGGCCCTAGCAAGAGCAGTGCTTCGCAGAATCTACCACCGGATCGGAAACGCGACTCACTGAGAAGATCTGGCATAAAAACTCAGTGAGCTGTGTCTATGGGTTAATTCACTCGTCGAGCGACGGGTTCGACAAGGACGGTAACCGGTGCTTGAGGTACCTAAAAGCAGGAGGATCCGAAACGACGTATTTAGGGCGACGTCGACTGTTTACTATTCGATCCGCAGGATCGGGTATGTTGTTACCAGAGGTCAAGACGAGGGCGTTTCCATGTCGCGCCGCTTTCTCGAAATGGGAGAGTTCTTAATGAAACAACGGAGCGATATTAGAAAATACAGATTTAGAGAATTTTATTAACCAAAAATATAAATAACGAAAACTATTATCAACTTCTTTTTAGTAAAATGTACGCGTCATGAGTTTTAAGCTTCAGTTCTATAGTGGAACGGCGGCCCCGGTCCTCAAACCGGAATGCATTACTGCTTCGCGGCAGAAGTAGGAATGGTTGTAGAACCTACCCGTACGGGTTCAAAATAAACCCCACCAGTATTCAACTTTTAGTAAGTTAGGTCGGTACATGGTATCATGTCGATACTGCACTTTGAATTGGTTGACAATTTTACGATGTATTTCAAACTAATTTGAAAATGGAAGACTTTGGCTTAACCCTTTTCAATCCTAAGACTAATGTAAGACTAAACTGCATGTCCAATACGTGTGGACCGTGGACCTAAAATGGTTAACGTATCGAGGGAGAAATCGGTGTGAGAGGCATATTAAGGCGGGTGGGTGTATGCCATGCGTCTACTACCACGCGGCAGAAATAGACGATGGCGCATCTACCATTTCTACAATTAATAAAACAGCCCGTAGTAAATAACAACAGCACATAAAGAAATCAATGCCACAGCTACACAACATTGTTGTACAGATTTCAAATAACCCAGGAAAACATACTTCGCATGTACACTTGGCAAAAGGATAAGCCTAGCAACAATAATTCTATGTCGAGATGACAATAAATGAATGTTTGATAAAGTTGCCAATAGATTCTTAGGAGTGTGATAACGACGAATGAAATATGGCGTTGTCAACAGAGTACTCAATAAAGGCGACACCTAAAAATTTCTTGAATCAAAAAGCAGATTGTTGTTGCAGACGCTACATTTCCTAAATATTTTAATTTTTGATCTTATAATTTGACAATCCTATTAGCGTGTGCTGTGAATGATTTACGTAATCTTATCGATAACTTTTTAATTTTTATTTAAACACCCAATAGCTTAACCTGTATCTGTGTATTTATGCAAAGGAATCTTTCAACGTAGTTTTCATTGACTTGAAAAGGTCTGTTTAATTAAATAAAAAATGCACGTTTTTCAAAGAACAATGGAAATACAATATTTTTAGTACTCAAATAGATCAAAACGACAAAACAATTAGATGATCTAGCTATTTAGGTGTAGTTTTTATTGTATAAACTAAAATACATTCACATATTTCGTCAGCACAGCGTTGAATTTTTAGTGTTATTTCAATTTCGCCTTAGGGTCGCCTACAAATGTTTAACATCATAAAATATACAGCATCAATATTTAACTTAATGATAAAAAATTATAAAAACTAGTTTGAATTACATCGTAAATCTATACTAATATATAAATCTACAGTGGTATTTTACGGATGTTCCGTTATAAGTACTGAACCATGCATCTGATTGACTTGAAACTCCATGTAGAAAATACATGTACTTAATGGATAGGCTAATATTTATATGAGTGTTGGACTCCCTAATAATAATGACAATAAATAATAATATTAATTTTAAATGCCCAACGAAGCGGACGAGTACGGCCAGTCTATACTTAATATTATAAAGAGGAAAGATTTGTTTGTTTGTTTGTTTCGAATAGGCTCCGAAACTACTGGACCGATTTGAAAAATTCTTTTTCCATTAGAAGCCGACATTGTCCCTGATGAACATAGGCTACTTTTTTTTTTTTTTTTTTTTTTGTTTCATGTGTGTTTTAATGTTTCCGAAGCGAAGCGAGGGCCGGTCGCTAGTCGTAAATATATTTATAGAGTCCTTCCATTGACACGATTCGACCGACCACATCAACAAATCGAACAAGGTTGTTGCAGTTTTATTACAGCGTCATCGTAAAAGACATCCGCGCGGTGACGCAACGTTACAATAAACTAACACATCTCCGAGATACGTTTACGAGATCAAAAGACGTTATTTACGTTCGTAATGTAGACCTAAAGATTGCGCGAAACTGAGGCTTCGTTTCGATCGTACGAGAAAAACAACGTTGAAGTGTTCGCGAGGTTATGTTACTATCGTGTTTTTGTTGTAATTTTTTTTTTAGATACATTTCTCTCTCCTTTTTAGAGAATGATCGTATTTCGAGAAAAGAAAATTTCATTGGTAGGCCCGCGATCAAGCACCTTCGTCTTCGTAGAGTACCGAAATGACATAAAACTCTTCAAATGTAGTTAACTACTCACGAACAAAATTCAAGATAAAGATATATTCTTTGTATTTATAGGAATGTTGGAAAACGACCGCATGTTTCAAGAATCAGTGTGCTTAGTGCGAGTTTCTTAACGCTCTCGATATCGTAAAAGTTAAGCCAATTTTGTATGCAGTTGGAACAGCGGCAAACGTACGCAAACGATCCTATTCCATACAAATTTAATATGAGCTAACTTTTACGCTATCGAGAACGTTTAAAAACTCGCACTAAGCACACAGGATTGTTTGCGGGCGGAGTTCATTAAGGCGACGTCTTTTAATTGCAATAACCAATTAACGCCAGTGTGCTTAATGGCTTAGCTTCCCATCGTTTATGCCTAGGGTCGCTGTTACAAATCCATACAAATTTGAGTTTACTTTTACACGATCGAGTAGTTAAAATACTCGCTAAGCAAACTGGTGGCAAGTGGGCTCGACTATACGTCTTAGCAAATAATGTGAACTACTTTCTTAATTATGTTTTAGTCCGATATTGGTTATCATCTTTTTTTATTATTTTTACAGTCGTTAGTGAAAATGATAGTAGCTGTTATTCTGAGGTGACGAGTATACGAACCTGGTTCTCTTCAATACACACAATAATGGTACAGCTCCTTTCGAAGCATCTAAATTAAATTATCTATTATTTTTCCCAACTCCTATGGTGACAATCGAAAAAAAAAAAAATTAGTCATATTTTTTTTTAGTTCTCAGGATGCCAGACAGATGCTCGATAATAAAACAGGACGCTTAGATAAAATCGCCAATCTTACATATTGTAATAAGAGAACGAAGAAGATTAACGGTAGCGCTGAAAGCTGTAAAGTACTTGAAAAGTGTGTGATTGTAAAATGAATAAAATTGACTTCAGATTAACCTGTAACATTGTCTTTAATCATATCTGCTATTTGTTGAAAATTCCAGACTTACGATATTAATAATAACCAGTGCCCCCCCCCCCCCCGCACTAGTCGAAATTCGATAATCACAGATTTCGCCAAGACTACAATTATAGACAAATAATATTAAAGACAATATTAATCTATTCTCAATTTGACTACAGATTTTAAACAATAACAAAAGTTAGACAATAAACAAAGAGTATATACTCGTATGTGTTGTGTCAAATATATAGTAGTGTGTGCCATGTTTTATTTATTGATTTAATGTATATTTTATCGATAATACAAAAAAAAAATAACAATCTGCACTCCTCTATATACTCTATAAGTGTGGAAAATTTCATACTCCTCCGTTAGCGCAATTTTCGTAAAAAGAGGTACAAAGTTTTGCTTCACGTATTACGAGTATTATGTAGATCAGTGCTAAATCAGTATTTAAAAAGCAAAATTTTGTTTATATTCGTGGTACTCACCCATTAGGTATTTCCGCGCTTAATTGATCCAGCAAGGAGTCGACGGTGGGCCTCGCTGATGCCGGACTGATGGCTCCGTTACTGCGCCCGTAGCTGTCATTTACTGTACGGAAAAGAATGATGATATCATTATTAAACTTTTTTTGACGTAGACGGTTGGGTGAACTTACAGACCACCTAGTGTTTAATAGAAACAGATGGCGGGGATATCAAAACGCGAATACCGGTAACCACTCGGAAAATCGGAACGGAACGGAACAAAACGCTGTTTCCACAGTCCACGTTGCGATCCACACAGCCGAGGATAGGCAGGAGTGGCGCAAGATAATCAAGGAGAAACTTTTAGAGGAGGCCATGACCCTCAGTATTGAGGATTATCGACGAAAACGAGATATTAAGAATTAAAATTTTTTTTTTTTTTTTTTTATTTATATTTGAGAAGTTTATGTTTAAAAAATAAATGTATTTACATTTAGTCACATTTTAAGAATCCTTATTTTTTTTTTATTATTACTTACTACAAACTAAAAAAAAATATAAGTAAAAGAAACTTCGAACCGGGATCCATTAGAAGACTCTTTTTTTATGCGTCAGAACTTTACCTAAGTTATTTTTTTAATTTCAAAGTAGCTGCTTCTCATGTGGTCCCATTTAGGTTTTATCAAAATCTGACCGCTAGTTTGTGTGTTATGTTTAATAATGGATATTCTATGTACTTCCACTACATTGATGATATTAACATTTTAGTCGCTTTTTTTTTAATTTTTTTGTTAAATAATATTTTGTTTTATTTTTTCCCTCTCAATGTATATGTAACAACAACACAATAATGAAGCCAGAAATGATATTCTCGAAATTTCGTATAAGCAGGTGAAATTTAGAACATATAGTTTTCCATTATTGTCCATACAATTCGGAACTGTTAAGTTCTCACCGGAATGCGTCTCGACAGATTTCACTTCATGCCAATTACCGTTCTATTCAAAACGTACGTACGAAACTAATTAACAATTAGAAGCCCAGCCAAAACCGATGCTGTGTCGCCGTGTTGTTTTGCACTCATGAATTTCGAGCGCAGTAAATGATCAGTAATTTCAAGCTACATACGTGACAGATGCAAGAAGAAAGCTGCACATTTGTACCAGATTCATTATCCGGCGATTTCAAATGTATTAGGATTTTGTTTATCATATTGATATGGGTGAACCAGCTCCCAATCTACACGATTTTAAATGGTTACCAGTTTTTTATATATATATAGATTAGATGGGTGTACGAGCTCACGGCCTACTTGGTGTTAAGTGGTTTTAATATTGTTCTCGAGACATGAGACATGAGTTGTAAGTCCCACTGTTAACAATACAATGGTTATCCCACTCTTAAAACCGAAACGCGTTAACGCTTCACGGCAGAAATAGGCGGAGTAGTGGTATCTACCCGTGTGGACTCACAAGACCAAGCACTAGTAGATATTACCAGTCCATAGATATCGACAAGAACATCAATACGACCATCTACCTTGAAACATGTCGTCCAAATATAGTATAAATAATGGTTTTGAAGTTAATACTGATGAAATAAATTTGAGTTTGAGATATGACCGCGATTTAGATTGCTGTAACTGAGCAAAAAAATATCTTCGGATAATCATAGATCGCTGTTTCCTCTGATTACTGATATTTGAATTAACGTTAGACCTAAAACCAATATCGTAATTAAAAAAAAAGTTCAGTACAACTTTGCATGGGTTAAACAATAACCTTAGCGCGATAATTTTGAAAGGTGTGCCGCATTTTTTTTTCCTTCTATTACCGCGTCTGACTTTAGACAAGTGTTTAGCTGTTTAGACAACACAAGAACACATTATGATAAACGAGGGAATAGGTACATGAGATATTTCCCTGTTCCTGGCACCGGTTCAATGTTAGCACGACACTTGACATTTTAATGTTACAACTGCACACATTGAAGCCCGCGGTCTCTTCTTCTCCAGATTTATTATCCGACATACGAACGCGGAAAAATCGAATATCATAAATATACCGAATGTAATTTAAATAACGGTTGCCTTCGTATAAAATTTTACCGTTCATATTTATTTATTGCTGTAAGCACGCACGCACACGAGGTTATGACTCGTCCGGTGGTTAATGGCCATGCCGGGCCTCAGATTAGACTGCGCGAAAGCTATCAAGGTATCTAGAAGACTGATTCTCGGCAGATATAGGTACGTGGAATAATAGTACCTTCCCCTGGGGATTCAAGGTTCAAAATGGTTTACAGTAACGGCAAGCGGCAGCTGAAAATCCTTAAATACTAATAAATACACATTGCTTCACAATGCTGAAGGAACACCGAAGAGTTCATTACAAAGGATATTGTTGGCGGCGACTTGGCTCTGCCCCTGGCATTGCTGAAATCCATGGACGACAGTAACCTCTCATCATCAGGTAAGCCGTGTGATCGTCTGCCTACAAGGGCAAAAAAAAGAAAAGAAAAAAGTTCTATGTTTAATTAGAAAACGATATTAGTCGTTTCAAATTGAAATCATTTTATTTTTATTTATTGAAAAATTAACGAAATACGATCGCGTGGTTTCATTTCGGTCAATTTATTTGACAGCAAGGAAGGTTGGAGGGCAGACCGCGCGAGACCACGCTCTTATAGTGGACCGACCAGATCATCAGATTGTAACTATACTGAGATCTTAGAACTTATATCTCAAGATGGGTGGCGCATTTACGTTGTAGATGTCTATGGGCTCCAGTAACCAGTTAACACCAGGTGGGCTGTGAGCTCGTCCACCCATCTAAGCAATAAAAAAAAACCAAAGCTAGTGGCAGGTCCCTCAAATGAACGCAGCAGAATGACCTGCAGCAGGGTGAGATGGCGGGACATTGTAAGCAGCATCAAATTTGCACCCTTCCAACTTATCTTACAGCAAGGAAGGTTGGAGAGAGACCGCGCGTAAGAACACTCTGGTAGTGGACCGAATAGATCAAGGCTTCGGTGGGAAGGTACCTGAAATGAAGACAGCAGAATGGCCTTGAGTAGGAAGAGATAGTAGGACATTGTAAGAGGCATCAAATCTGCATCCACCTTTGGCCTTCTTTTTTTTCCACCTAAGCTGGTAGCCTAGAGAGGCTATTCCAGCGTGACCGTAACTAGTAGGTGAGCTCACGGGGCTCAAACCTGACGACGATGCTAACATGAACCCTGGCAAGAGTCGTGCTTCGCAGAATCTACCACCGGATCGAAACGCAACCCACTGAGAAGATCCGGCGAGAAACTCAGTGGGCTGTGTCTGAGGGACCACCAATGCCACATAACGATCACGACTACTATAAAGAAGAAGCCACTATTAACAAGAATAATCTTACATAAATAAAATCTGGTAAACAGAACAGAAACTAACATAATTTCAATTGTCATAAAAGTTTTAGTTTAAAGAAAGCATTTGTTTCCATAAAACACAACATCAATGTGCCCGATTCAAAGTCATACGTCTAAATATAGATTGTCACCACTGTCACCGACCTGCCAACGGACTGTCAGTTCTCCATAATTTTAAACTTCACGGACACGGTACAGCTGTTACAAGATTATTCGCTTGATTTACATTTACAACTAATTACGCTTTAATATTGAAACACGAGAGAGAAAAATACATGACCATACGCAATATTAGAGATACGGTTGAGTACTTATTTTTGAAAGGCTATTAATTTGATCGGTGCTGTGGTAAACGTTCGTTATTGTACTGAAGCAGGTTGTTTTAAAATAGATTATAATATTTATAGACGCATTCGCCGCGAATGCAACTATAAATTTACATGATTTAGACAAAGACAGGTTTAAATTGAAATAGAGATTGCAGAATAGCGGACTAAGCTAAATAAAAATGTTGTTACAAAAAGCATGCACACCAAAACATAAATAACATTGAGAATAAGTCAACAGACATGTATTGTAAGTACAACGGGCGGTTTTATGGTTAAAAGTGTCTCTCGCAGAAAGCCGTTTTCACATAGAGAAAGTCTGAAGAAAATACCAAGAATCAGACTACACTCAAATCATTACTGTGAGTTTGTCTATTCTCTACAGAATTGCGCAATTTAGTGTTATCTGTGCAGCTACGGTTTCGAAATTCTAATGCCATAATAGAATATGACCTGAGCTGAGTTTATGCTAATCAAAATAATTAAAAAAAAAAACACCAAGTGAGCTACGAAAATAAGACGTCTAACGTAAAATTCAAATAAAACCGTCTAATTATCTTTATCTAATTTGTATACACGATTTATCTTCTATATCGTTCTCTCACTGCTGAGGACCGCGACCACATGTGACGTTCTTCCACTGTGTTCGATAATGGGTGACAAGGGCCGTATGGTACAGACTACCACCAAGTGCATCTCTTACTAGATCTGACCATCTGGCTGGTGTTCTGCCAACAGCGCGCTTGCACTCTATGCGACCCGCAATTATGAGCTTCTCTATTATTCATGTCTGGCAGACCGCATGATGTGTCCGAAGAAGCTCATAACACGTTCCCGGCAGATGGAAGAGAGACTTTTTCGGATTTTTTATTTTTTATTGCATAGATAGGTGGACGAGCTCACAGCCCACCTGGTAAGTGGTTACTGGAGCCCATAGACATCTACAACATAAATACGCCAACCACCTTGAGATATGAGTTCTAAGGTATCAGTATAGTTACAACGGCTGCCCCACCATTCAAATCGAAACGCTTACGGCAGAAATAGGCGAGGTGGTGGTACCTACCCGCGCGGACTCACAAGAGATCCTACCACAAGTAGAAAGGATGTTTGCTCCTATGCTAATGCTCCTAATCCTCCTAATGCTCATAAAAAGGAGGAGCTAAGCACGCTTTATGGATGCACAGTATTTGGGGCACGAAAATGTATGAGTTAGTTTCACAAAACGAGAAACTAGTTGCGAACTGTATGGGAGACGAAATCGCCCGTGACGCCGTTCTATTTCTGTAGATTAGGGAGGAAACGATCGACCTTGCCGACACCGACGTTTTCGGATCTCTTTCTGCAACTGTAAATGTTTCGTTTAACTTTTTTAGTGATTATTTCAAATTATCCGTTAGCGAACACATTCGTTCTATTGTATTTGATTGGCGCGTTTTTTTTTAAATTTCTATTCTTTTTGTTTCGTTGATATATTGACTACTGGCCTTTATCGAAAATAATTTACAATTATCCGTAATCACTGAAACTTTAAATAATTCGAGAAATAATATAGTATGTAATGTCAAGAAAAACGCGAAATTAAACCATAAACGTACTTTTAACAAATTATTTAACACTAAACTAATTTTTAAGAAAAAACGTGATTTATAAAAAAGACTTCTCTCCTTTAGTTTTATTATTATTTCCTAGATTTCCAAGCGATACATCGAAAAACAATCACCGTGCACATTACAAGCATATTACAAGAAAAAAGTTTTTCTTATAACGCGTTGAGGCGCTCCGGATAGAGTCCCTTCCTTTATTTCACGTGAAAGTCCCGCTTTTGGATCAACTTGTAATTAACACCACAATCGAAACAATACGAGCTTTATTTTTGCAGCGGTTTACACAGTTATAACACTTTTTATTGCTTCGTCTTATTTGGCGGTAAAATACCATCATGTCACAGACAATCTTCTTTTTTTCCTTTGGTGCGTTCCGGCTCACGCATCTTAAAAAAAGGTGCATTCTTAAACGCCACAGCGTTCTCGTTCTTTCATCGCGTTCCCCAATTCTAAGGGCCATTACTTTCACTGAGCACTTATTTGACCTCTATTCCTCTATTCCTCCCTGTGCCCTGCGCAGTGGATAACGACAATCATGCTGGAGTCCAATGTAGTCTTAATTTAATTGGACCAGGGCATGGGACTACGATCGGACTAGGTCCCTCTCCTTCCACTTTATCGGCGATGATAGTTTTTGGAGATCGTCACCCTTTTTCCTCGCAACGTAACCATGACTTATGTATTCTGAGTGTTTTTTTCCCGTCTTCATATTTAAGAGGACGGTTCGTATTTGATTTAAAATTCTTATGCTTCTCGATTTTTAAATTCATTTATTCATTCATTGTTTATAGGTTTTTCTATCATAGAATTGTATCAGGTGATGAGTCAGGTGAGGTGATGAGTAACCAATAACGTATGACAACAACTTTCCCCTTCTTCGCCGCAAGCCCTCAACCGAGTCAGCATGATGCATGAGGATACACGACAACAATTAGTGCTAGAATTCAGGAAGTCAGGGAGTCACGGCACGAACTAGACGCACAGTATACGAAACTGTATAGTTACTTAAGCTAAAATTAAAATATAATAAAAATTTAATTGTAACAGTCAACTCATTCACCATAATCTGCTGTAACAATTTACAAATTGTTATTTTGAAGTGTAACTTTTTTGCGCGCATGAGAATAATTTTTTTACGGACGAAACGCAATAATTATAATATTAGCGACACAAAAATGTGGGACGTTTTTATTCGTACACGTTTGACTTTATTTTATTTTCATTATCATCCCATGGAAGCCTCTTATCCTTTCAGATCTATACAAAATATCGAAGCGATTTTTATATCAACAAAAAAATCGTACATGACTAACTATATAGTCCACGGAATTTAGTTCACATGCGCCTATGAACATAAGAAAATTACGTTACCGAATTTTATTACTAATCCAAAAGCAGGTACAAAATAATAACGATATATCAAACTAAACGGATGTGTTTGAAGTTAACAAATTGTTTTTGATAACACACTAATGTAAATGAAATGTCTGAATTTGATTGATAACAAGAAATATCACTGGGTCTGTTTCTGAAAGCTTTTGAAGTATTAAGGATCTGACCGGTGTAGATAAATACTAATTTTTTTTATTCCTTAGATTAGTGGACGAGCTCGCAGCCCACCTGGTGTTAAGTGGTTACCGGAGCCCATAGATATCTACAACGTAAATGCTGTAGAGAAGTCGAGGAAGATTGCCAACCAGGTGGACGGACATTATCAAGGAGGCCACAAACACCACAAACACCACACCAAAAACTGGACCAAGGTGGTCACGACCCTCAGTAATGAGGAAACGACAAAGAAGAAGAAGAAGAAGAAGAAATGCTGTCACCCACCTTGAGATATGAGTTCTAAGGTCTCAGTATAGTTACAACGGTTGCCCCACCCTTCAAACCGAAACGCATTATTGCTTCACGGCAGAAATAGGCGGGGAAGTGGTACCTATCTGTGCGGACTCAAAAGAGGTCGACCTCTTCCCCCTGTACCTTGCACTACCATACATCTCCTAGTCATTTGCATCTTCTCTCTACGCATCACATGTCTCTGTTGTGAATTGAACTGTTGATGCGAATACTAAATAAAACGCAACTTTAATACAAAGATCAATTAAAAAAAAAAGAGACATTTCGCTTAATACGCAAGCGAAATGTCTCTCTTTTTTTTAATTGATGCACAAAACAAATTACAATAATTACAGTACATATTAGCTAAATCGTACAAATAGTACCTAGATCTAATCTGGATTGCAATCTAAATAGTATGTGCACTCAGCAAAACCATATTAATGTGCATAGCTTTAGCTATTGAAAACACAATTGAAATTACAAATATTGATAACTAGCCATTGTTAAATAGGATATCCTTCACACATTTGACAAATCCCCTGAGTCTAGGCTCAAAGATATCAAGGTTACCGTGACATTTAGCCAAATCATTATACTGCCTGACCATTCTTACCATAGGGTTATAGTATGATATATTATTTTTATATGTCCGTAACGCAAAGAGGTTTACCAAATGCCGACCTTCTTAAACCAAATAGCCCTTAACTCCGCCATATGTAAAACATAATGTCTCTTTGAATAAATTTCGAATGTATACTATCTATTTTTTGCTCTCTTGGTTCACAAGGTTACCGACCACCACTATGCCTAAGGTATATTGGGAAACTAGTGGCAATAGTTTGTTAAGCACATACTCGGTAATGTAAAGAAAAAACTCACCAGATCTTTCGGTGAACGAAGTTTTTTCTGCGTAATTCCCGTAGCGGGCACTGCTCAAGTCGTCGAGTAGGGTGTCCAGCTCGCTCAAGTTCCCTCGACCACCGGTCCTGCCGTAGCCTGGCGATTGTCCCACGTTGTAACCAGGCGTGTGGGCACTGTAGTTGCTTTGGACGGTACTCGTATATTTGTGCGGAGTCATCTTCTCTGAATGGAATGAGCTTGTGTTTTGGTAAGTCGGCTGTGGACAAAGGACGCACTTATAAAAACTTGAGTAGTTTTTAAAATTTTAACATTTTGCACGGTTTCATAAAAATCAAACGTGCAAAATATTTTATTTGCGTAATTGCTGGTGATAGATCGATTTGTTTTTGCCTGTACGAGTAGGTACCACTGTCCCGCTTATTCATTCTTCGAAGCTGTTCTAGTTTGAAGAGTTGGAACAGTTTTTTATTTTCTATTGCATAGAGGGGTGGACGAGTTCACAGCCCACCTGGTGTTAAGTGGTTACCGGAGCCTATAGACGTCTACAACGTAAATGCCGGCACCCACCTTGAGATATCAGTTTTATCCAGTATACTCGTAGTTACAACGGCTGCCCCGCTCTTCAAACCGAAACGTATTACTCCTTCACGGCAGAAATAGGCAGGGTGGTGGTGCCTACCCGTGCGGACTCAGAGGAGGTCCTTCCACCAGTAATTACGCAATTATAATTTTGCGGGTTTGATTTTAATTACACAATGTTATTCCTTCACCGTGGTAGTTAATCGTGAACGTTTGTTAAGTACGTATTTCATTAGAAAAATTGGTAGGTACCCGCCTGGGATTCGAATACCGTTGCATCGCTCGATACGAATGCACCGGACGTCTTATACTTTAGGCCAGGAAGACTTCGAAGAGATTATAGATTATAATAAGGTGTTAGTGGAGTCATTCCTATTATATAGTCTATGAATACCGGTTTTTTTTTTATCAGGAGGAAATCGGAGTCGTCGGAGTCGGAGTCGAACTGACTAAAACCTCCTGTCGCTCAACAACCAACACCAACCAACCAACCAAACCTCGCATGAGACAGAACTCATGAAAAGGCAAAGGGGGAAAAGTGAAACGTTTAGTGCGGAGCACATCTCTCCCATCACCCTCCCCCTCGGGACGCCGGACTGGCGTCACGACCACCAGCCCTCTCGGTCGGCAGACTGTCCGAAGCCCGCCTAGATGGTGCCGGTTAAAGTGGGTATGAATACCGGTAACCACTTAACACCAGGTAAGTGCATGACCCGCTACACGCACTACAGATAGCGCATGAGTCGATAAATCAAACAATGCAACAAACTCCTCATTGAAATACAAAAAAGCTTTTTAATATTCGGTATTCAATAATGACCATTATACTATACCTATACTCTAACTATTATTAATAACTAAAGAGATTTAAAATCATGCATCTCACTGCAGTAGGTATTAATGAAAGAATTTGGTACTGGATCCCTATTTCAAATAACAGAGCCATCTGTATCGTAACTTGGGAACTTTATAGAAATTCTAGATTGTATCAAAACGATAACAGATGGCGTTATTTTCGTAAAACCAATCAAATTATAGGTACAGTCTGCAACAACAGTTAATTTTAATATCTTGTTCCGTATGTAATAACATCATCATAATATAATTTATAAGTAAGGACAGCGTCGCTGTTACATATTGTTATACCTATTAAAACCAAACGAGTGTGTGTATGTATATTCAGTCAATGCCGTTCCCACCTTGAGGAATATTATGTCAAGGTGTATTTAAATGAAACAAATAATTAATTGAACTAAGTAAATACTCGTACAACAACATTTGTTCCTTATCACGCATACTAGTTGCTCTCTGTTACTACACAAACAATATTTCCTTATTGTCACCATTTTAAAAGCACGTCTTCCTCGCTTTCAAAATAACGTGTTTGGAAATACATATTATTATTAAATACAGTCGATAGACGATAAGGGCCCGCGTGGTTAAATGTTTACCGAATCCACTTATCCTCAGACGTGAGTTCGAATTCTCACTTGTATTGTGTAACAAAATCCCGACTCTTCAAAGTAGACAGCTCCGTGGCTGAAATACGCAAGTTGGTCATATCGAATAACACACCACTATCACTACCGCGGTAAATGTATCTTGTCTTCCTCTGTATATTCGTATAACACACTGAGAACAATACTGCCTTTTCTCATATGAATGGCTTAGCTGACCATGAAACAACCCTTCCCATATCCAACCCACTGAGTTTCTTGCGGGATCTTCCCAGTAGATCGCAATTCCGATCCGGTGGTAAAATTTGCGAAGTACTGCTCTTACTAGGGCGTGTTAGTAAATTCTCTCAGGTTGGGCCCGTGAGCTCCACCCGTTGACGCCATCTTGGAATAGCCTCTTAGGCTACCAGTGAATGGATGGAGGAACAAAACAACAATCTGACGCAGCTATACGATTCTCTTACATGCTATTATTTGCTTGATCTCTATGTATGTAAGGGAATCCAACCCTAATCGGTGAGATTTTGCTTAAGCATTTTCACATATATCAAAATAAAGAAGACAAGTGCCAATACAAGAATTTTATTACTTTGGTCAAATATACCAGGATATAATGATAATCATAGCCAGGGATAAGACAAGACACATGGCCACCTGGGCCCAAACTAGAATTCCTGTACTATGGAAACCAGAGACTGGTATGCATACTCATATACATTAACACTTGTTTATTGCCTTTGTAGGAAGACGGAGCCCAAGGTCCACCTGATGGTGAGTGGTTACCGTCGCTCATGCACACATTGCCTACCGCTAAGTACTCTCCGTAAGTTTCGTTTGAACACTGTGAAGGTGAGTTCATTCCATAGTCTGATGGGACGTGACAGAAAAGGTCTCTGGAAACGCACTATGGATAAACGCAGTGGTACTAAGTAATATGGATGTAATAATATGGAAATAATAAGTAGTATGGATGAACTCTACTCGGGAGGCGGGCAGTGCGATGGTAAAAACGAAATGATGGGACTATCTCAAAGAATTCCTTATAACACTCGCCATAGAACACCCAGAAAAAGAAAAAACAAACATGTTCATCACACAAATGTTTCTCCAAATATGGGAATCGAATCCACGACCCTCGGCTCTCCAGTCTGCAGGAACGCTAACCAACTGTTACACTAGCAAGTAAGTCGAAAAGGATAAAAATATTAATTAAACTTTCTATACTGTTGTCTGTGACACCGGTTTTATTTTATTTTATAAAGTGTGTTTATAATGGGCGTGTTCAGGTTCATAATGAACTTTCTTAATCATACAAAAAATTTACAGCATCCATTCAGGGCACGATTTCATTTGATTCTTATCTTGAGCACACATAACATAAGCCCGCGGTCTTATCAACAAAATTGTTTCATAACGAATCGATCAACAAAAGCTGATAAAACTCCACACACGGTATCTGATGAAACATGCCTATTTTATAATCAAGATAAGATCTTTTGACTTGTGTCACTTTTTCTTTTCTTTTCAATTAACTTGGCAGCCAGACAATTTTGCGCCCCATCTCATTTACAGGGGTCACCGTTTCTGGCGATGCCAGGAGCGCAACCAAGCCGCTATCTACTCTCTTAGGACTCTTTTCATTCATATGAAGGGGTCATATCATAGTTTCCGGAAAACGCTGGAAGATTCCATAAACGGTTAGCGCATGTGAACAGTGATATGTACATGGGCACGTTAGGAGAACGCTAATCGAATAACTCCTTGAGCGATATCTAACCATTAATACTAATCATTCGTCTATCAGCAATACGATGACTAGTTCCTATGTCCAGCAGTGGACGTCTGTGGGCTGATCAGAAGAAGAAGTTGAAACTCACCGAAGCTGGTTTTGCATAATCCGAGCTAATATTCCTAGATCCATTGATGGATCCGTAGCCGGTGGAGGTGGGGGAACTCAGGCTGCCTGACGAGCTGAGACGGCCCGGTGAAGTGCCCCTGCCTAGAGGAGATCCAGTTCTGCCCGGTGAGCTGGTGCGACCACCGGGCGACGTGGTCCTGCCGCTGGGGCTGCTGACTCGGGCGCCGCCAGGGTTGATAGAGTTCTGGAGATCGGCAAGCAAAGCATCTGGAATTGAAAAGGATTATGATTTTTATAATGTGTTTACGATATGAAATTACGAAGTGAATGTACGTTTTTGACGAAAGTTTAAGCTGTGAATACATTTATTCAAGTATAAAGGGCCTTAAAGCTTAAAGCGGTGTTCGATAGAGCTTGTTTAATTTTACGATATAAAGAACTTAGATTTTGATCAGGTAAATAATGTAAACATATCATAAAAATAGCATCAATTTTCTACTTCTTACTAGCGCCCCGTCCTCGCTTCGCTTCGGAAATATTAAATTTTATTATTAATAGCTGAGTCTCGCGATGTTACTCGTGGTTATTGTCGTACCGCGATTGACGCCGCGGGGCGAAGCTAGTCTAAAAAAAAGTTCTACCTATCAGTGAAAGTCTCGTCAAAATCGGTCCAGCCGATCCAGAGATTAGCCGGAACAAACAGACAGACAGACAAAAATTGTAAAAAATGTTATTTTGGTGTATGTACCGTATATATATTCATATGCATGTAGTAAAAAGCGGTTATTTCAATATTACAAACAGACGCTCCAATTTTATTTATATGTATAGATTAAACGAAATTATATTCATTATATTACCTATTGTGTTTACTGGTGATTTAAAATTAAAACCTAACGGTTAAGGGAAAAAAAATAAAATTCTATTTATTTATGTGCATTTTTATCCGGTGATGTAATTCATTTTAGACGCGACTGGTTTTAATTGGATGGAATTAGTGTGCGTCGCAACTGCTGTTTTAATAACGGATTGTAGGCAGCTTCTTCGTGAGCAGTATACACAATTGTAGCGCCAGATCAAATTTATTACGACTAAAAAGCGGATTGGTCATAGAAAATAGCCTTGTTTGACCTAGAACACGATTTAGCACTAGATTCCTTTAGTTTCCGCGAATCTTAGATCTATATATCTATATATATAAAAATGAATTGCTGTTCGTTAGTCTCGCTAAAACTCGAGAATGGCTGGACCGATTTGGCTAATTTTGGTCTTGAATTATTTGTGGAAGTCCAGAGAAGGTTTAAAAGGTAGATAAATACGAAAATGTTTGGAATTAAACAAAAATAACAATTTTGTTTTTCCTTTGATGTGTCCCCCGTCGGGCGGATTCCTTTTGTTTGTTTTATTTTTATTTTATACAAAAGTTCAGGTCTCTTATTTATCGATTGAGGCACTACGAAGTCTGTCGGGTCAGTTAGTATATAATAAAATTAAGACTATTTTTATGGTTTAGACTCGCGTTTTTTTATTGTCATTAAACTGTTTCTGACGCATCGAATACTTTACAACTTTTTTTTTTTTTATTGCTTAGATGGGTGGACGAGCTCATAGCCCACCTGGTGTTAAGTGGTTACTGGAGCCCATAGACATCCACAACGTAAGTGCGCCACCCACCTTGAGATATAAGTTCTAAGGTCTCAAGTAAGTTACAACGGTTGCCCCACCCTTGAAACCGAAACGCATTACTGCTTCACGGCAGAAATAGGCAGGGTGGTGGTACCCACCCGCGCGGACTCACAACAGGTCCTACCACCAGTGAACTAATTTAGTCACACGAACGAATTATGACTAGGGATGATGTTTGGAGAGAAAGTCAGGTAGGGGATGGCATTTAGGATCTGGAACTATAATAGAATTAATTTTTCCGTTTCTCGCTTTTGTTAAATCGCGTGAATTCTATGGACGATGATTGTTTTGAGATACAATTATTAATACATAATAAAAAAAATCTATTATGAATCAATGGACAATCAGTTTCCAAGGAAATTTTGGTAATTACATTGCATTGTAAGCGATTAGTCAGATCTGGTTAAGAGAGCGGTTAGTGGTAGTCTTATATCATGCGGTCTATCACACCCATGACTGAACACTATGGAGGAAAGTCACATGTGGTCGCGATCCTCAGCAGCGAGGGAACGATGAAGAAGAAGATGAAAGCGATTAAAATATGTAGAGCTTGTTGATTTTTAAGTAAAGATCTCAAACGAACACAGCCTTTGATTCGAATCTTATGTTTAATCAACCAATTTTCTATATCCGTCGAACTAATGGGGATACTCTTTAATTCCAAGAGGGATTTCAAAAATATACATACATATATACATATTTGCATTGTACAACCGCAATTAAACGTATCGTCCGAAGCCCTGGTTATCGCGAAATCCTTTTGTACCCCTCAAGACTTGTCCAACAACTAGTTTGTATTTTCGGTGGGTTCATTGACTTTCGCATGCCACCTTTAAGAGTCCATGAAATGTATTAGGCCACAGTATCGACAAAATATAGATGTGACCTTAATTGAAATGGTTCAGTTTACCAAAAAGGTAAGTTGACGAAAATTGCAAGAATCTGATATATCCGCTCCGGATGAGTAATGAATGAGTGAGAAAGATACCTATTTAGAAACCTTTTAAACACGAAGGTAGGGGTAACTGTCAAAAAACAAAAAAGGATACATGACGTCCCCGTCTCTAGTTGAGAGCGTGCGAAAGAGATGGCGATAAGTTCCCATTATGCATTATCCTCCACTTTCCATTTTGTTACGTGATTGTACAATCCAACTGATTCTTGTGTTTTAGTCACAAAGATGTATTTTAAATACGTTTTGACGGAAGTACTTCCGCTATTCTTTATGTCTCAAAGTGTACAGCGGAATTGATGTTGGAACATCGATGATCGTTTGGAGAGCTAGTGGCCCGCTACACAGAGAATCGATCTTTCACTTATCCCTGTGTGAGGTCATTCCCGATCCTGCGGAAAGAATGGAAAGCAGTCGACGTCGCCCAAAACACGTCATCTCGGATCCTCCCGATCCACTAACGGTGCTTCTAGGTACTTCAGGCACCGGTCACCGTTTTCGTCGAACCCGTCGCTTTCGACGAAGGGCTCGACGAGTAAATTAACCCTCAGACACAGCCCACTGAGTTTCTCGCCGGATCTTCTCAGTGGGTCGCGTTTCCGATCCGGTGGTAGATTCTGCGAAGCACGACTCTTGCTAGGGTTCGTGTTAGCATCGTCGTCAGGTTTGAGCCCCGTGAGCTCACCTACTAGTTAGGGTTACGCTGGAATAGCCTCTCTAGGCTACCAGCTTAGGTAGGAAACAAAAAAAAAAAAGTGTGAGCTGGACACAAAATTTAATTAATTACAGTCAAACCTGGATAAGCGAGAGTTCAAGGGAGCACAATCTCATTCTCGCTTATAGAGGTTTCTCACTAACCCGAGTTTCTCGCTATTGCTCCCTCTGAATTTCATTTCGCGATTTTCCGGATTCAAACGCATTCACTATTTTAAGTTTATCACTTAATGACAGTACTTTAATTTTCCGTTTTGACATGATGCAGAACAGAACTTTCATTCGCAATTGATTAACGATAAATTGAGTAAGGCCGACTAACAGGACGGTACTCAGACACACGTGTCCAGTCGAAAATAATGCGATAAAATAACAATTTTATTTAGTTCCACGAAATAGAATAGGTTCAATATTGACGAGAAAAAAATACAAAAACAATGGTAGTTCCACGAAAGTTAAGAATGAGTCATAAAATAGCAGATGTTAAATTTGTAATTTGTTTTGTCATTTGTTCCTCCTAAATAATATAAATAAATAAAGCTCGACTGTCGCTTATAGAGGTATAGATAAGTAGCAGTCTCACTTACGGAGGTCCATGAGGGAAAAATGACTCTCTCTTACACAGGTTTTTGTTTCTCGCTAATAGAGGTTTTGGGAGCTTAAAATGACGGGTCCTGGCTATTACTCTACCTTATAGAGTTTTCTCACTTATCCAGTTCTCGCTTAGCCAGGTTTGACTATATTTGATATTTATATTTTATTTATCGGTTGCTTCTTTGAAATCACCCCTTAATGGTAAGCTTTGAATAGGACGAACAAAATATGAATCAGTGTTTTGTTTACTAATTTACCCCAAGTTAGTAAAGAAAGTGAAGATACTATTACGACCGGAAGACGAGGTTACAGTACCTACTGGTGGTAGTTGTTGCTCGAAAAGTCTAAAAATATACCTTATCGGTCACATCTCTAAACGAGATAAAGAGACAAACATATATCGTGACCATAATTTTTTTTTTTACTAAAACTTTTTCTTTCACGTTGCTGGTGATAAAATATTAATTAATTACCTAAACCTTCCACGGCCTGGTAAACCTCGGCGTATTCGGCTTCAGTGTCCGTGCTTGTTTTAATTACTTTTCTATACATGTCATCGTTGACAAAATAATGTGTATTCGACATTTCGATAATATCTTGACACTCTCGAGATATCACACAAATTTTCAAAAAACACCTCAAAACCGTTTTTTGAAATTAAAATTTCGATTCGAATCGTATGTTATTCGAAAAACCGAAAACTTAATTGGAATGTTAGAGATTCTATATTTAAATTTATCTCCCGACTTCGTAAAAGCGCGAGCGACCGTCCTCCTATGGCGCGATACACAACTGAACAACATGAACACAACTGATTCATATCAGCCGTGGAACGCAAAAATCGCTCTCGGCTTAACCGCGAAAGGCTCAACACATTGTTCGCATAAGCATTTGTTTATTTATCCTTTTCTTTGAAGCGCTTAAAGCGCTATAATTACGTCCATCCTTTGGTTACGTCGCTGTGTAAACTCATTAACATTCGTACATATCGGTCGCGATAATCGACCGTGATTCAAATTCGTGAAAGATTTTGGACAAAAACCAATTTTAAGTTATACAGTTTGAAGGAAAGAGGAAAAATATAAATATTCCGCATTAAGAAATACGACGTTCTGGAGTTAGCCAATGAAAATTAATTGAGTTATGTTCCTGAACGGACTTCAACATCCAATACAGAGCTACATATATATTTTTGTAATCTGACGAAGCATGTTGCGGATAATAACATGTACTTTTAGTTTAAGAATATTGTGTTCTTTTTTTTTATAATAAATAAATTAATTTTATTTATATTTTCGCAGTTAAGTGGACACTGTAGTTTGAAAACATCTCAAAACAGAGAGAGAGCAACAGAGTATCAACGGCTAGCCCAGCCTTTAAATGCATAACACTTTACGTACTCACCTCAGTAATAACGCAAAACCAACAAACATTCGACTAATTCCTTATTTGCGTAATTAATTTTGAAATTATGGCTTAACGAAGCGCTTTAATCGCTTGAAGGTGCAATCCTGAATGAACTCGCTGACGCCGACCACGATAATGAAGACCCGAGGCGTCATACGATGACGCTGTCTCAGGAATGTATGTCTTATTGCTGCTTGGAGGTACTTGCAAGGATTAGGTCGATAAAAAAAAATTTAGTAGTATAATATATTTATTTATACTAAAGATTTCGGTCCTTGTCAACTGTCCATGCAGCTATATTATATACCTACTCGAAAATTACCACAGCTCTAACAAAAAAAAAAAGAGCCACGAACAAACTTTTTGTTATTCGTAAATTCTTTCCTTTTGTCAAACTATACTTAGAAGGGTATCGATTTTTTTTAAATGTGTGTTTATTTATCCGTATTCTAAGCCGCACGAATATTGTACATTTTACTATTGTTTTTTAACCAAATTACATCTTGGCTGAGTGAGTGACATATTAAGGTAGAATTGAAATTTAATTCATCATCATTCGTGTCTGGCATTAACAATAACAAGAATAATGAGAATATATAGCCCTGAGCTGGGCTTCAAGCATTGTAAATAATTTAACTTTCAAATACTTTTTGCACAATTTACAATTGTACCAAAATAATTGTATCGTTTGTGTGAAATTGTTAGGATAAGTTGCGATTATTTGCATTCGTATTTTCTACTACTTTTTAGTAGTCGATTAATATGTTACAATTAACGATTAATATCTTACATTACAATTATAAGCATTTTCTTTTTCTTTTAATATCATAAGTTTAGTACGCTTCGACATTTAACAGCCCTCTCCATACCCGATCATGTGGACCGAATGGTAAACAGTCGACGTCGCCCTAAGCACGTTATTACGGATCCTCCCGATCCATTAACTCTACTTTTAGGTACCTCAAGCACCGGTCACCGTTCTCACCGAACCCGTCGCTTGCGACGAAGGGCTCGACGAGTAAATTAACCCATAGACACAACCCACTGAGTTTCTCGCAGGATCTTCTCAGTGGGTCGCGTTTCCGATGCGGTGGTAGATTCTGCGAAGCACTGCTTTTGCTAGGGCCAGTGTTAGCAACACTTCCGGTTTGAGCTCACCTACTCGCCCGGTTACGTTGACAGCCTCTCAAGGCTATCAGCTTAGGTAGGAAAAAAAAGCCCTCTAATAGTAGGTCGGCAATGTCTTGGTTTTTTTTTTTACCTACCTATCTTCCAGTAGCCTCGAGTGCCTATTCTGGCTTTACCGTGAGTGGTGGGCGAGCTCGTGGGGCTCAGCCTCAATGAATTTGTTAAGACCCGCTCTAGCAAGACCAATGTTTCGCTGAATCTACCACCGGACCGGAAACGCGACCCCCTGAGAAGATCCGTCGAGAAACACATTGCATTGTGTCTGTTGGAGGTCCGAGTATATAGGTCGTCCCGCTGCCTCGCCAAGGACTCTTTCAATACTAATAACTAAAGACATGATTGAATGAAGGGATATGATAAAATTTGTTAATTTTGAGAAAACGGACAGCAAACTTTTGTTACTTGTACTTTTTCTTCGCACATAACTCTTTTATCACATGAAATTTCTAAAAATAGCCTTTAAACCTAGAGTTTTAAGGTCTAATATGGTTAATAAGCACATAACACCTTCATTAAATGAAAAATCTTAAAAATGGTACTTAGTCCCTTCATCCACTTCAACTACCTAACTGCCGCTGAAGCACTGTTAGTTAGTGTCTAAAAAATACCAAAACGCCTTACAGTTTTATTAAAGCAATACTTTACTAAGAGTTTCAATAAGAATATCACGGCGCGGTTTCTCACTGTGGACAACTCATAGACATTAGTAATGCAAGAAAAAAGGCAAATCTCTGTCTGCTGTTAACTTTTTGCCTACTTAATCGTTGGTAGTCTAATTCCAACTAGGCGCGGATCGTAGCTGAGCTACCGGCTCAACCTGAAAGAATTCCTAGCTCTGGCCCTATCGAATGCACTGTCAACTGATTCAACCGTCTAAGCAATACATAAAATACCTTTGAAACAACTAAGACAATCTAGTTGAAATATTCCATAAATCCAGACAAATAAAAACCTAAAATGCATTATGTACAATCTAATATATAAAATTCTCGTGTCACAATGTTCGTTCCCATACTCATCCGAAACCGCTTGACCGATTCTCATGAAATTTTTTATGCATATTCAATAAGCCTGAGAATCGGCTACTATCTATTTTTCATACTCCTAAGTGATTAGGGTTGTCCACCCCTAACATTTTTTTTTTTATTAGGACTTTTTTTGTTATAATGAGGTATTATATGGTTGAATGGGGTTTTGTTATTTTTATTATATATTCCCTCAACGTTCACAGCGCTACATGCCTCTTTCACTCATTTACCACATCCTTACACACTTACAATAAGTTAGTTTTTTTTTCTACACTAGTAACTCCCTAGAAATCTTATATATGGCAAAACAATGTTTGCCGGGACAGCTAGTATAACTTTATAATTATATTAAGATTGTAAACATAATAAGGCCGTAACCGATACGAGCAATAGTAAACTATGGTCTAAGTATTGATAACAATTTGCGGTAGTGTCTCCGACGCCGCCGCGCCGCAAGGTTACCTGTCCACGTTTGACACTTCGCCTTGATCAACCGATACGGGCAGGTTTGCGCGTTCTCTTCGATGCGAAAACTTAGAGAACTCAATCACAGAATTTAAAAGCATAAAGGATCTAGTTTTTATTTTTATTTCCCTCGACGGAAAGACGTGACGTTTTATTAATACGCTTTTATTAGCTTCAGACGTAATATGTATGTTAGTATATAACGGAATCTTTGAACATGATTTTAACACCCCGATTTAACTCGAAATTTTTAAGGATCGATGACAATTCAATATTAAAAAAAAAATTGATAAGAATAATAATTGAAAAAATTTAAATTCAACCAAAAAGTGAAAAATAAATAATAGTTAAAAAAAACTAGCAAAATACGCCTTTATAGAAAATACAACTAAAAATAGAAAATAAATTTTAATAAATTTGATTTAAAAATAGTGTAAGAAAAAATGATTTTACTGTAAAAAAAGCGTGGGGTGCATGGTATCAGTAGTTTTAAATATTTTATGAACAGATATGAGTAGAAGGGTTATTTTGATAATATCCTGAAAAGCACCCCACGCTTTTTTTTTACAATAAAATCATTTTTTCTTACACAATTTTTAAATCAAATTTATTAAAATTCATTTTCTATTTCTTAGTTGGATTTTCTATAAAAGCGTATTCTGTTAGTTTTTTTAAACTATTATTTATTTTATTTCTCTCGCTCAGAGACAAGTAGTCTTAGATTGTTATAGGAGTACGGACTTAGACGAAAATGACGTCATTGACGTTGAGACATGAAGTAGCAGTTATATTGTATCTTATAAGGGTTGTGTGGACTCCGATAGCACTACCCCTTTCCCCAATGCTGTTAAAAAGGCGACTAAAGGATTATATTCGCTGAAGAACGAACCGCATGTTCTGTGTATCGTCAACCAACATTCACTTGTAGGGTATATTATAACCCAGCACGGATAAGTAGTACCATCCTGCATATATCTGATAGATAAGAGTTTTCCACCAATGCAACCGAAACTTTTGATGCAATGAAATCTTTGTGCTTAGTGCGAGTTTTTTAACGTTCTCGATAGCGTAAAAGTTAACTCAAATTTGTATGGAGTTGGAAGGTTTGACGCTAGGGGCGCTGTTCCAATCTATCGCTATCGAAAACGTTAAGAAACTCCCACTGAGCACACTGATAGTTGCTATACCCGAGCTGGGCCATTCATTGGCCGTCTATGCTAATAAACTATGAAAGATCAAATTTAATAATTTCTGTTCAGCAAGAGGTCAACGTTATGCAGCTCGATAAGGTGAGGAAAAAAAATTAAAATTGACATAGACAACTATTATAATGTACTTATGATTTTAAGTGAATACATTTTTGCACATCGACTAATTACGCAACATTTGTTTACCACCGACAGCTTCATTAACAAGCAACCGATATAGAACAAGGCCGCACAACTGAAGCACTCTGACTCATAATTTTGTTCGTTTCCAGCACCGACCCGATCTACTCACCTAGATATGCACTGAAATCCGCGAAGTATCTCCTCCAATCCGACGATCTCAGCTCGGGGGGAGTCGAAGGTCCTCTCTCCACGCTGTACTTCCGTTCGAGTACAGGAGAGAAAGAGACCGATTTGGGGGATGCAGAGCGCGTGCGCACCGTAGCCATCCCTCTTGTTTAGTATATAAAGCGTTACGTTTTAAAATTGACGGGCAGTCGTGGTCGGACCGCGGCTACAAGAAGACTAGTTATTTTTGGTGTAATACAGGGTTATCTGAACGAGCGATGACCGTTGATAGCGGTGTCACACTGCGAGCCAGACGTATGAGTTACGCGACGTTCTATTCCCGTCAGGTGGTCATTTCCGAAATAATATTTCATAACTGATCACGGACTGACTTCATTAACCCATTTATTTACGATAGAAGGTGAGAAGATGGACGTGGGCCGCGCAGGGCTCGCGCGTCCGACTTACATAAGAGACAAGTGTGTCTGCGTTGCGTGGGCGGGCGGCGCCCTGCAATAGTCAATCGCGGAACTCACGTGGTCGCCGAGAGTAAACAGAATTAACCCGAATCGCGATTTTATGGCGGAGTAACAACAAATTCGTATTAGCGGCCGATGCAGAAACTGGGTTACTAATGACAAAACTTAAATTAAGAGCTATCGGTTTTTTATAGAGGTTCTACCTTTTTTTTTGTGTATTTTGTACATTTTCATGATTCTATTTACTAATTAGTATCAAAATACAGCGGTTTTGGTTACCATGAATTTCTTAATACTCACATAAAAACGATAAGACGATAAAAATACTAAGAATATCTAATTAACCCAAATCGCGATTTTATAGCGGAGGAACAACAAATTCGTATTAGCGGCTTGTGCAAAAGTGGGTTGCCAAGGACAAAATTAAATTGCGAGTAATGGATTTTTTATATATTCAATATATTTTTTGGGCATTTCGTAAATTTTCATCATTCTATTTATCAACTAGTATCAAAAACAGCGGTTTTGGTTACCGTGGATTTCTTAATACTCATATCAAAACAATAAGACGATAGAAATACTAAGAATTTCTAATTTCTTGAATAAGAAGCCCAATGTACTTTTTTTTTTTTTTTTTTTTTTTTTTAAATAACTAGTCTCTCCTCCAAATTAATTGGAGACCTGTTGTACCTCATTCATTCTAGTTCTATCAATCATCCTTCCGCATCTATACCCATACGTCACATCCACGCACTTCTTTCACATTATTGCCGATGGGATTTCGGCCTATTTTATCTAAACTATATTTTTAATATTTTGTACAGGTTCAATAATTTTAAGTTCTTTTGTTTTATTATGTGACTTATAGCTATCAGTCTACATTTAAACATTTATTATTTACACTATTACTATTATCTAAGTTGCTTATTATCTATTTTCGTTTCTTATATACTATTACAATTGTTAATATCTAATTTTTACACTTTATTTACATTCTTATTTGCATATCTTATCTAACTTACATTATATTACTATTTCTTATCATATGTTAATATATACTTATGATATACGTAATCATATGTGTGTCTATTATTTATTTTTACTTATGACTTTACTAACAATATCTTTACAATACGTTATAAAACTGTCTCTTACTTTTTTATTTTCCATTATATTTTTAATTTCTACTGTACAAATTTTAATTTTTATCTTAGTTTCTAGGTCTTGCCTCTCCCGGCTAAATATGGCACATTCTGTTATAANATATACTTATGATATACGTAATCATATGTGTGTCTATTATTTATTTTTACTTATGACTTTACTAACAATATCTTTACAATACGTTATAAAACTGTCTCTTACTTTTTTATTTTCCATTATATTTTTAATTTCTACTGTACAAATTTTAATTTTTATCTTAGTTTCTAGGTCTTGCCTCTCCCGGCTAAATATGGCACATCCGTGAATAAAAACCCCGCAAAACGATATATGTATGCCCTTCCGTAATTACTCATGTTAGTAACGTATAAAAAAGTCTGCATGGGTAAGCACAATTATCCTTTTTACTTTAACAATAAAACAATAATGTGCTCCTGTCTGAAGAGAACTACAGCCATTATAAAATACAATTGAGGCTACGACCTCATGTCTCATGAGAGACAATAATATAACGATGTCTATAACGCTGGTAAACTCTACCACAATCTACCATCATATAGGGCAAGATACATTTAAAAAATAAATCACGAAATTAGTTCAAACACGCAACATAACCAATGAAGTGTGTTCCGTGGTTAATGATGTGTCTAATGATTTTATTACTCCTAGACGCAGTCGATGTCAACAGTCGTAAATTTTACAGATCAACGCTGTCTTTGTCTTGTGACCTATTAATGATCAGACAAGACTTAAAATCGTGTACAGAGATACTTTAAATTACATTACATATACCCATATATTAAGCATGTGTTTGTATACTTGAACAAAATCGGTTAATTATTTATTAAAAAAATAAATTGACGATTGATTTTTTTTATTGCTTAGATGGGTGGACGAGCTCACAGCCCACCTGGTGTTAAGTGGTTACTGGAGCCCATAGACATCTACAACGTAAATGCGCCACCCACCTTGAGATATCAGTTCTAAGGTCTCAGTATAGTTACAACGGCTACCCCACCCTTCAAACCGAAACGCATTACTGCTTCACGGCAGAAATAGGCAGGGCGGTTGAGCAAGCAGGGATTTTTTTTGCCAATTCGCCTATTTCTAACGCGAATCATTCAGCGGTTTGCGATCTGAAATACAATATCAGAATACTATTGATATTTTATTCGCATTTAAAAATTGTTCATTAAATAATCATAGTTATTAATATAAAATTTTCGCAAGACATCTTCTTGTATTTATCACTATCTTCATAGTATCTCGTGAAACGAAGGAATATGGTAAATTTTTAATACAAATTAAGACTGTACCTACTGTGTATTTACAAATAAGCAAAGAAAAAACAGTTAACTACCGTTTTCTCCTCTGTTTCTCAACAGACTATCTATTTTTTTTAGTGGCCACTAACAAGCTTTAGTATTATCAACAAAAACATTGGAAATTGATATTTTTTTTATCTTTACAATGAAACAATTTTACTAATAAAACAAAAGAGAAAACGTAATGCATAAAATAATCAAAACTAGAGGTCCCGCAGTAGTCCAAATTCGACTATAATTAATTGGAATTGTAAGTATGTACACTATTATGATTGTATTTTATACTTCTAGAATCACAAATTACGCCAAAGCTACTCTTTAAAAAATATTCATAAAAACAAACAATATTTAATCTATTCTCAATTTGACAACAGACGTCAAGAACAAAAGTTTGACAATAAATAGTATGCATGCGTGTGTGCGTCAAATACATGGTATGTAGTGTGTGTAATGTTTTCTTTATTGATTTAATGTATCTTTTATGCATTATTTAAAAAAAATATTAGCATTGTGCACTTCTTCTCTATATTCTCTATAAGTGTGGNAACAAACAATATTTAATCTATTCTCAATTTGACAACAGACGTCAAGAACAAAAGTTTGACAATAAATAGTATGCATGCGTGTGTGCGTCAAATACATGGTATGTAGTGTGTGTAATGTTTTCTTTATTGATTTAATGTATCTTTTATGCATTATTTAAAAAAAATATTAGCATTGTGCACTTCTTCTCTATATTCTCTATCAGTGTGGGAAATTTCATACTCCTCCGTCCGCGCAATTTTCGTAAAAAGGGATACAAAGTTTTTGCTTCACGTATTAATATATAGATCTAGAGGTGTTAGTAAATACGATTTGGATTACCCGACGAACAATAATTAAAGTAAATTTGCTATTCCAATACCGATCCCACACTTGGAATTCAGACCACAAACGGTACAAAAACCTCTTTATGGAAACAGTAGATTGATTACAAAAACAAATGCAGTTTTTTTTTTTTTAAAGAACATCTCTTTGTTCGTTTGCCTTCGTGGGCGACGCCCATCCGAGTGGGTCGCACCCACCAGCCTACTCGAAGGCCATATTGAACCATAAAATACTAACATCATGATTACGTTTTAAAAAACTGAATTAAGATTAGAAGATATTAATAAATCTTAATATATAAAAATGAATTGCTGTTCGTTAGACTCGCTAAAACTCGAGAACGGCTGCTCCGATTTGGCTAATTTTGGTCTTGAATTATTTGTGGAAGTCCAGAGAAGGTTTAAAAGGTAGATAAATATGAAATTGCTCGGAATTAAATAAAAATATGTAACAATTTTGTTTTTCCTTTGATGTGTCCCGCGTCAGACGAATTCCTTTTGTTTGTTTGAAGTTTATTTTATACAAAAATTTTGGTATTTTATTTATCGATTGAGGCACTACGAAGTCTGCCGGGTCAGCCAGTCATCAATATAAATCTGACAAATCGTAAGCGGACGAATGTTTATCACTTGAATGAGCAACGATTTTTAATAATTGTTGTCGTGGACAAATGCCTATGCGGCACAATCATTTGTTTACCATATTTTGGGAAATTTTGATAATGATAAGACTCAAGGCACCGACGAATTTAAAGTTACTTTAAATTTAAATTTCTCAACTGACCGATAATTCATAATGTGATTCAACGTCGAATTATCATAGAAAATCGAACGATGTATAGATGTACTCTAAAACAGAATTTACGTACGCGCCATACCTAATCAATGAAATGAAAAATTATCGGCCATCAATATTTGTAACAGCGATAATTGAATTTGGCAGCCGTTCGTTGCCTAGAAAGTGGTAAAGTAGGTTCAGCTAATCAATAGAGTTTAGCATATGTACACAAAGTCGAAATACCTTATGTGCCTTTTCAAATGATGTATCCAAATCACAACCGACAATTGCTTTTGGGACCAGCCGCATTAGGTACTTTTTTTTTTATTGCCCTTGTAGGCAGACGAGCATACGGCCCTTCTGATGGTGAGTGGTTACCGTTGCCCATGGACTTCAGCAATGCCAGGGGCAGAGCCAAGCCGCTGCCTACCGCAGCCAAGCCGCTGCCTACCGCTGTATGTACACACAAGTGTCTATTCCAGATTATCATTACGAAAGTCCACTAACTCATAAATATGTTTAAAGTTAACATAAATTGAAGAATGATAATTC